ACCTCCACCACATCACTTCCTAATGCATTCCATTTGTCTACTACACTAACATTGAAAAAATTCTTTTCTAACGTCTCTCTGGCTCATTTGGGCACTCAGTTTCCACCTGTGTTCCCTAGTGCGTGTTCCCCTTGTGGTAAATAGTCTGTCTTTATCTACCCTGGCACTATGGAGCCAGGTAGATAAAGAGGCACAATAGGGGCACTATGGAGCGCAACTCCATAGTCTCCTGAGACTGATGGATACCTACTACTATCTACCCTGTCAATTCCTCTGAGAATCTTGTATGTGGTGATCATATTCCCCCTAACTCTTCTGTCTTCCAGCGACGTGAGGTTTAATTCCCGTGTACTCACCTATTTGTGCTTGCGGGGGTTGAGCTTTGGCTCTTTGATGTGGGTTTGTGTGTGTTTGTTTGTGTTCGTGTGTGTGGGGGGTTTGTGTGTGTGTGTTTGTGTTCGTGTGTGTGGGGGGTTTGTGTGTGTTACCTCGATTCTGCAGGTACAAATAGTATTAGCTCTTAGACCTCTCCTTTCTAACCAATCTATTTTCCCCAAGTATGTCTACTACATTCATTTCTCTCTTAACGCGCGCGTGCGTACACATCCCCAGGAACCAGCCCGTAGCAGCTGTCTAAACCCCAGGTACCTATTTACTGATAGGTGAACAGGTGCATCACGGTGAAAGAAACTGCCTGTCTGCCCGGCCTCGAATCGAACCCAGGCCCTTAGGATTACGACCCCCGAGCGCTATCCACTCAGTCACCAGGCCTCCCCCCCCCCCCCATCACACGGGATTTTTGTCTGCCAGTTGTGTTTGCTTCCATACGATCTCCTTAGGGAACGATCACACTAAGACATGAAGACCCAGGGGTTTTTAAGTCTCCTTGATCACATGGAAGTTACCAACATACCCAGAGCCTGGTTGACCAGTCTAGCAACCAGGAGGTCTGGTCGAGGACCGGGCCGCGGAGACGTTGAGCCCCGAAATCATCGCAAGGTAAGCCGTAACTTTATACAGGCCTCCTCCACGTTCTCTGTCCTGGTTGATACCTGGTTGATGGGGTTCTGGGAGTTGTTCTACTCCCCAAGCCCGTCCCGAGGCCAGGCTTGACTTGTGAGAGTTTGGTCCACTAGGCTGTTGCATGGAGCGGCCTGCAGGCCCACATACCCACCACTGCCCGGTTGGTCCGGCACTCCTTGGAGGAAAGAATCTAGTTTCCCCCTGAAGATGTCCATACGTGTCTTTTCTCGTAGTTCAAATTTTTGTCTTGTGCCTTTTCATGCGAGGGTTCCATGCCGAGGCTGCATATTCAAGAGTGGATCCCATTCTTTGCGCGCGTGCACGTGCATCGCATTGTAGCTCAACTTTTGGTTTATGTTTAGCAAGTGTTGCTTCCTCAGAGAAATTATGATTGATATGAGGGGTTTCATATTTTAGTACCGAAAAATATATTTGACTTTGATTTACAAGTTATTTCTGGTGAACTAAAGAGCTAGTGATAAAAAAAATAAACAATGTGCTCGGTGAGGAATATAGACTTGGTTATAAGGTGGGCACATCTGGCATAGTGCCGATTTACACCACACCCCCACGACATAAGTTTAGACATGGGTAAGTGTTGCTTGACTAACGAAGCTGGCATACAGAGTAAAAGCTCCTGGAGGAGGAGGAGGAGGGAGCTGCTACCCGAGCTGATTGGCTGATGCGATCTCGTCGTCCCCGCCTCGGTGCTCAACCTGATCAACCGGTTGTACATTCATACGTCACACTGCGAAGAGCGGCCAGGATAACCCAGATCAACGACCAGGAGGCCTGGTCAGAGACCGGGCTGCTGGGACATTGATCCTCAGAACCAAAGCATGGTGTTAGGTGCACACAGTGAACCCATGGACCTTTGGGTTTTGACGCGTCCTCTCCTCAGGTCAGGCTTCTTGCAGCGGAGGCCTTCCCCCTCCCCCCCCCCCCAAGCCGCAGTCGTCAATATTAACGTATTGAGTATTACAAATAGGATTGCTCTCGCATATAAATTAATATTATATATTAAAATGTTATGTATTAATAGGTTAAGGTGTTTATGTTATGTTGGCGATTATTTGTATTGTATTGCCTGAGTATTTACAAATAGTTCGCTATCGAAATACTGTTCGAGAAATGCTCAAACGTCGTCAGTGTTGAGTCGTGTGTAAAACGTTTTTTTTTTATTCGTATTAGTTAATACATCCTTTGTTTGGAGGCTAGATTAACGAGTATTTGGAGTGGTTTGCCCATCGGGTTTAGGTAACCGACAGACTGGGTGGCGGTGATTGGAGTGGCGGACTGACAGACTGGGTGGTGGTGATTGGAGTGGCGGACTGACAGACTGGGTGGTGGTGATTGTTGTGGCGGACTGACAGACTGGGTGGTGGTGATTGTTGTGGCGGACTGACAGACTGGGTGGTGGTGATTGTTGTGGCGGACTGACAGACTGGGTGGCGGTGACTGGAGTGGCCGGCTGGATACTCAGTGACCACCTCAGGAATGTGGCAGTCGGTAGTGACCGTTTGGCCTCGATGTGGACGCCCAACACCCTCCCACCCATCCACTCCCTCCCCACATACCCACAACAATGCATTTAGCCTATATTGGTGCTTTCTATACTTGTTTTGCACATGTCGGTACACGCTTCTATGTAGGTGAACACGTAGGCGCCTCACACGCGTGGGAGGTCTGCGGTTTGAGTCTGCTAGAGCCCAGGAATATACTGTCCGAGACTGGAAGCCTGATGCTTGGGGCTAGTCTCACCCACCAAGTAACCGCCCATGGGGATTTGTAATTGTATAGAGATTATAATAGGAAGGGGGGGGGGTCCATCCCCATGTTTCTCTTTAAGAAGGATCGGCTCTTATTGCAACGTGTATGAATTCTGGTATTGGGGTTTTGTTTTCCAGAGACTTTTTCGTCAGGGAAGGGAGAAGTAGGGAGGGAGATGTAGGAAAGGAAGGGAAAGGGGGAGAGGAATGTACGTTAAACCATTGAATCATGGCAAGGTAAGGTAACTAATAGCAGTTACTGGGAAAAATTGGACGAAGCTAGCTGCAAGCATCTGGCCTCCATCGATTGATTGATTGATGAAGATTAAGCCACCCAAAAGGTGGCACGGGCATGAATAGCCCGTAAGTGGTGGCTCTTTTGAGCCATTACCAGTATCAAGAGCTGATACTGGAGATCTGTGGAGGTGCGACTGTACCCTGCGTGACGGGAGATGTCTCCCGTGTTGCCTCCAGCCTTGGAGAGATACTTCCATTTCTAGATATATCTATATCTGTAACAATGTTTGCCTGTCTGACCGATGCTGGAGGCCAGATATTTGGTTACCTCATCCAACTTTCACACATGAAACATGTGGGGTATGGGAGTGTCATAGGTCAGTCAGGAGCAGCACCCAGTGCCACACTAAGAAATATCGGTATCTACCCCCCCCCTATCCTGTCGTGCGATTTTCACGGAGCAAATACTGAAATATTCTGTTGGCCATAGACTTAGCAGTTTCAGTGTTTTGTTATATAATTTTTGAGAGAAAGACAGAGGGAGGAGGTGGAATGAGAATATTTGAAGAGACGGAAGGAAAGGGTCGGAGAAAGGTGGATAGAACGGAGATAGGAGGAGATGGGAGGAAAGGGGTGATGTTGGGAGAGGGAAATGGGGCGGAGAGACCTGGACGCAGCCGGGTACTCCCTCTTGTAGATCTATGAAAGGAAATGTTTGTCTGTATAAGAGGCCATAAATTATGTAACTGAGAATAATTTACAATATAAAATCATTCATACTGATTCTAAATCTTCGCTCCAAGCATTGTTATCCAGCCAGCACAGAGATAATATACAACTCATCACATAAATCCTACATAGAGAACAAGAAGCACACAATCTAGGGCTGTCAATCACCCTAAATTGGATACCAAGTCACGTTGGCATAGATGGTAATGAAAAGGCAGACTCACTAGCAAAAACTGCCATTGCTCTACCTGGTTAAAACACCTCCAAGTTTTGCACAGATTAAGGAGCAAATCAAGAAGAAAATACTCACAACTATCAAAAGTCAAAGCAGAGCCAAAGTAGCGGAAGGAAGATCCACTGCGATGTGGTACGAGCAAGCTACTACGTACTACTCTTTCAAGCCTGGCAAAAACCTATCCAGAGACATTGCAGTAGCCATACACAGACTCAGACTTGGCTACAGGCGCTCCTGGGAGGTAATAACCCCAATAGTTAGTGTTATATCTGTGGAACAGATGCAAAAAATGCCACTAATACATTACTTACTGGAATGTGAAGCAACTGACGCCCTGCGCATCAAACTCAACATTCAACCAACAAGAGCAGCTGCATTAAAGGCAAAATCCACAGCGACTACAATGGTTAAAAAAGCAGTTGAAGAATAGGACACACTAGTGAACACTGTGCATCTATATCCGCCACCAAGATAACATTGTTAAAACAAAAGACTAAACTCAGTGCGAAAAGACGGAACTCTACCTTCTTTTAAAACTTTGACCCAGATATCACAGTAACAAGGTTATCGTGAATAACTGAACTCAATTTCGGGTTCACCATAGCCCGTGCTACATGGAAATTTTGTTCCAAGTAGCTGAATCTAAAACAACAATAACAACAACAACAACAACAACAACAACAACTGTGAGTCTGCCCAAAGCTGGAGGCCAGATGTTTGAGACTAGTCTCACCCAATTTTGCTTGCTGAATGCTGGCAGATACGGCACTGTCATAGGCTAGTCGGGGTCGACCACATTGCCCATCTTTAAGAAGGATTGGATCCCATTGCAACCCCCCCCCCCCCCAGCGATTCTCATAAAGTCTGAAATTGTGTTTTTGCCTCTATGTAGTTTTTCATCGGGTTTTCAGCTGTTCATAATATCGCATGCTCAGATAGAGATAGACAGGTAAACAGGTAGATACACAGACATGAACAGAAAGATAAATATTTCTATATTTTCAGAGTGTGGCGTTGGCAGCAGCAAGAGCAGCATTGTGTCGGTGTGGCAGAAGGCAGGCTGGTGGGGAGAGTAGAGCATGGTGGCAAGAGAAGTGTGTGCAGGGAAAGAAGGGTAAGCCAGCCATCAAGCCAGCCAGCCACGCCCCCCTCCCTCCCCTTCCACCAGCTCCACCTGCCACGGGTTTTAATTTCACAACGGTAAGAAGTGATGCGGATGTAAGTTATATACAATTTTGCCTTGCTATGTCATCTGATGTAATTTGGCACGTTGCAAGATTAGTATGATCAGTTTTGCGGCTACAGTGTAAACATTTGTATAATTATCAGAGACAGTTCATTGGTGCATATATGTAGTTTAATAAGTTGCTTGGTCACTGACTGAATAACGTATTGCGTACATGTGGGGGGGGGGTGTATTTACTATTTGTGCCTGCAGGAGCGAGCTGTTAGCATGCGTAATTATCTAAATGTAGTTACAGGATGAAAGCTACGCTCGTGGTGTCCCGTCTTTCCAGCACTCTTTGTCATATAAAGATATGACACATATTGTCATATCACACATACATGAAACTACTGACGGTTTAAACCACCACCATCTCTCTTGTTCTGTGTACCACTCTGTTTTCGAAAGTGAATTTTTTTACATTTCTTCGACAGCTTTGTTTAGGTAGTTTAAATCTATGACGTCGTGTTCTTGAAGTTCCAGATCTCAGGAATTCTTCCCTATAAATTTTGTCGAATCTCGTTACTATTTTGTACGTATTCATCATATCACCTCTCTTTTTCTTTTACCTTCTAGTTTGGCATATTCAGTGCCTCTAACCTCTCCTCGTAGCTATTGTGGCATGATGACCTTACACGAAATATAGGATACAGGACACAGAGTAAAAAAAAAAACATGTAAAAGATCTGGGAATTACAACCCGTCCTGGACTAAAGTCCATTCCGTCCAGCGGTTGACCCCACAGACGCATTCATCAATTTTAACATGCTGTTCATTCAAAATAGGAATTTTCTCAAATATAAATTAATATTATAGTATATTAGCATATTGTGCATATATAGGCATAGTTTAGGTGTTTAGGTTCTTTTGGCGATTATTTGTATTTGTAGTACGTGGGTGAAGCATTTACAGCGTTGTGGTTCGAACAAAATTCGTCAGTGAAGCACTTGTTCCGGAAGTGTTCGAACGAAATCAGTTGAGTCTTGTGTAAACAGTTTCTCATTCATAAACAGTGGTTTGGCGGGTGCATGAAATCACTTTTAAGTCTTTGTTTGGAGGACGGGCTGGGGAATTATGAAGTCTGACGATCTGATGTTTAGTGAACATAACCGAGCAAATATGGCGGCAACCAGGAAAATGATAGAATGGGATATGAGAACGTTGAAATCCAGGGATCCCACAGCAGTGCTAATACTATTTAAATCACTGATCCGGTCCTTCAGCGCTAATCAGTACTCATTTCCCCTTTCAGAGCAGGAAGAGTGCTGAAATAAAAGGAATACAGAAAACCTATGCAGCACGCATAGACATGATAAAACGCCTAAATTATTGGTACCATCTATTTTTTTTTTTTTTTTTTTTTTTAGTAAAGAGGATGGAGAGACACAAGTGAAGGGACTCTGGAATATCTCCATTGCCGAAACAATTATATATTAGTGATAAGACATTAATGAATAATAACTTACTGTAAATATATAGCTCTTGAAATAGAACATTCTCTAACTAGCTGACTTTGAAACTATAAGGTGTGCAGGATAGATGATATTGTTTATGTAATAATCTAAGATGAGGTCTGATAAAGATCTTCTCTGCCCTCTGTAATGCTTTTTGCGCTACCGCTCGCAGGATATGTATGGGGTGTACAGTAAACTAGCCGCCTGCAGCGGCAACAATCAAGTGGAGGGAAAAGTTTAGAAATGGGAAATATAGAACCAGTTATAATAGCAGATGGGCTGTCTGCCTTTCGGACATGTGGTTACCTTGTGGTGATTCCAGAGTAATGTTTCCTTGGCCCGTTCTCTGTCCAGGGTCTCCTGGTTGATGGTTTGACCAACAGTATATATACTTACTGTGTGTGTGTGTGTGTGTGTATATATATATATAATATAATATATATAAACTGAAAACTCACACCCCAGAAGTGACTCGAACCCATACTGCCAGAAGCACTGCAACTGATGTACAGGATCCCTTAACCACTCGACCAACACGACCGGACAAAAGAGGTCCGGTCGACATGGGGCACACGTGAGTTTTCAGTTGCATATAGTCCTGGGGACCATTCAGGCTTGTTCGCATTTGTGTTCCTCATGTGTGCCCCAAAGAATGAGGTGATTTAATAAAATACTATGCCCAAGATTACCATCCGAGTGCCAGCAGGGGGGGGGGGTTCAAATAGCTTCGGCTATCACCTCCTTTTGTCCGGTCATGATGGTCGAGTGGATTAAGTTGTGTCCTGTAGTTTTAACACTTCCTAACCAGTTATAACACCCGTTGCGTTGCTCCTGGCAGTATGGTATGGGTTCGAGTCACTTCTGGGGTGTGAGTTTTCATTTGCATATAGTCCTGGGGACCATTCAGGCTTGTTCGCATTTGTGTTCCTCACGTGTGCCCCAAAGAATGAAGTGATTTGATAAAATACTATGCCCAAGATTACATCCGAGTGCCGGCGGGGGGGGTGGTTCAAATAGCTTCGGCTATCACCTCCTTTTGTCCGGTCGTGATGGTCGAGTGGATTAGGGTGTCCTGTACACACCCGTTGCGTTGCTCCTGGCAGTATGGGTTCGAGTCACTTCTGGGGTGTGAGTTTTCATTTGCATATAGTCCTGGGGACCATTCAGGCTTGTTCGCATTTGTGTTCCTCATGTGTGCCCCAAAGAATGAGGTGATTTTAATAAAATACTATGCCCAAGATTACCATCCGAGTGCCAGCGGGAGGGGGGGGGGGGTTCATATAGCTTCGGCTATCACCTCCTTTTGTCCGGTCGTGATGGTCGAGTGGATTAAGGTGTCCTGTACACACCAGTTGCGTTGCTCCTGGCAGTATGGGTTCGAGTCACTTCTGGGGTGTGAGTTTTCAGTTATTTATTTATATATAGTATATATATATATATATATATATATATATATATATATATATATATATATATATATATATATATATATATATATATATATATATATAAATATCTTAATATATAATATGTGTGTGTGTGTGTGTTGCGGCACAATCAGTGTTCACTATGGCACAATCAGTGAACACTGCCTGAAAATCAAAGCTCCACGGCTATTCAGTACTTTCCCAGCAAGCATTAGAAATATTGCTAGAACAAAGGTGAATGTCTTAAGAAGTATTTAGATAAAATAAGTTCTTTCAAGAAGTGCCAGAGCAACTATGTTGTAGCGGCTCTGTGGGTTTACAAGCGGCTCCAAGGAACAACCTGTTGGACCTAGTTATTACAAGTCGAGCATGGCCCTGGCTTGGGCTCAGGTAACAGAAAAGCTTTCAAAACCCTCTCCAGGTATGCTGGAGAGGTACATCTAATGTACTCAGTTGTACCTAAAACTAACTTAAAGTAACCTCAAGGTAGTCATTGATGATAATTATCAAAACATTAGTACAAAACTCTCAAGGGTGGAATACTGTTGCACACAAACTGCTCCATTTAAGGCTGGTTTAATTTTAGGCCTCTAGAATGTGCAGATAAATTTATGGTCTGAATCCATTTAATAAAACTCTTAAATTATTGAAACTTAAAATTCTTCAAATTGAATTCTCTCAAATGCAAATGATGGAGTTACCTGATGATCTACAAATGGAAAATATTAGAGACTTTTTCCAAATAAGCACAATGAAATAACTATTTTCAAAACCAGGAGGCATGGTAAAATGTGCAAAATAATCCCACTGAAAAATATTGTTAAAATAAATATACTTAGAAGAGAGAGGTGCAGAGATCATTTACTGCTAGAATCCACTCGGTAAAACATCTAAACTACTGGGACCGACTAAAGAGCCTAAATTCTCTTGAGCGCAGGTGGGAGAGATACATAATAATTTACACATGGAAAATAGTAGAGGGGCTGGTCCCAAACCTGCACACAGAAATAACATCACATGAGACCAGAAGGCATAGCAGGATGCTAAATACCCCTGTTGAAAAGCAGATGTGCAACAGGTACTCTGAGAGAGAACTCTACATGCTTCCACTACACATAAGGGGCATAACTGGTCGACCCCTCAGAGTGTTCAAAGAGAGAACTTGATAAGCACCTCCAAAGAATACCTGATCAACCAGGCTGTGATTCATACATCAGGTTGCGAGCAGCTGCGTCCAACAGCCTGGTTGACCAGTCCAGCAACGAGGAGGCCTGTTCAACAACCTGGACGCCGGGACGCTAAGCCCCGGAAACACCTCAAGGTAACCTTAAGGTAGATATATATATTACAGTAATGTTCTGTAATTATAGTGTACTGTACTGTGTAAGCATAAAGGGCCCAAGACTTTTCGACACCCCTCACTACATGTAAATGGGACTGCCAACAGACCTCAAACTTTATTAAAGAAGAAACTTGATAAACACCTCCAGAAGGTGCCTGATCAACTTGGTTGTGATGCAGTAACCAGTAGCATGATTAACTTGGCTATGATGCCTGATCAATAACCAGGAGGCCTTGTCATAGACCATGGGGGCCATTGACTTTTCTAACCACCACAAGGTAAGTAGTTAGCCACCCACCACTTCCTCATCTCCCCTCCCCCCCTCTGCCTAGTACTCATTACAGCACTGTAATTTTAGAGATCTTGTACACAAAACACCATTCTCTTTGTATCCTCAGATGTACCAGATTTTAGATAACATTTTTCAGCATGAGGCTGTTTGAACCATATCTTTTTCTTAATGTTTTAAATCTTAGGGTGACATTTTTATGAGTGTTTGGGCTTTTTCAGGGTTGGAGAAATGGTGGTTAGGTAGCAAGAAACGAGGGGTGGTAACTTTTAATTGTTATCACCATCACCCCAGCTCCCACTTCATTGTAGCCGCAACCATGACTTCCATACAGCGAGGACCAGGACTCTATGAGTTCCTAACTGAGGCTGAACTTCAACACTATTTCAACAATTTTAAGAATATTCTCAAGGTGTGTACATGGTGTGGCAATGAGTTTTTGTTATTGTTATACATATAATATCTAGAGTGCTATTCTAATTGACGTGCAACACATCACTTTTGTATGATGTTAAAAGAAATACATTAGTGATGTTTTGAATATCCAGTTCATTTTTGTATTAGATCAGGATATCTACTTGAATAGTACTGTATGACAGTAATATGCAGCTAAATTGCTTTTATTACAGTTTAAATTAGTTAATTTATCTGTTGAAATATACCTATACTCCTATGCCATCTGTTCTAACCACTTCTTAATTAACGATATTTTGTATAAATCAGCACTATTCTGTATACCTATATACGGTGTTTATATTATTAGACAGACTAAGTGTGTTCCAATCTAGGAATTCGCTTTGTAGTCCTGTTATAAAATGGAATCCCATTTTCTCTGGGGTTTATTTTTCCAGTTGGAAAGTTAAGCCAAGATGGAAACCTAAAAGAGTAAAATAATTTGTTCTTACTTGATGTCAGTGGTACCATTGTACCATTGTCATACCATTGGTATGGCACCACAAAAACTATTTATCAATTATTTATGCTCAAAAGATGTTGAGGTACTTTCCCGGCATACAGTGCCAATGGTTGAGGTCATTTGACAAAGTAAAAAAAATAAACTGGTCAAGGGTTTCCTAGGCTTTGGGTGTTTTTTGTTTTTAATTGAAATCTTTTTTACTCATTCTGACAGGTGCAAAATGTAGGTCAAATAAAGTTTGTTGCTGATGAAGACCTACAAGCCATGGGGATGTCCCGCCCAGAGATTCGCCGGCTCAAAAAGTTCTTCCACAAATACTGTCCTCAGACATACTTGTCAAAGTTCAAAAAGGTTTGTTTCTAAATGAAAAGAAATTAAATTTTGAAGTTGCCCACATTCAAAATAAAGTCTGTTTTGGTACATTACTAGAATTCTTTTTATAGATTGTTTTCTGAATGTACAGTTAACTCCAGGGGAAATATTTTGTATTTTGTTAAGTCTTGTGATATTAGAAAAGTGAGAAGAGTGTAGGTAACATGTGTGTTTATATCTGATATCCACTAAAATTAAATGTTATTAAAAGGATTAAACATATATTGTATATGAATACTGTGCATATCACCACAAAATTAATAGTTTAGAAGCTATAATAAAGTATGACTACAGAATATTGTATTTGAATGACTTATCTTACAGATATTATTAACACGTAAAGATGGCCTAGACTCTCCAGAAGTTGTTGTACCTGATGATGTTGGAGAGCGTCCTAGTGTTCGTGTTCCTAGTAAACACATCATCCCTGCTGATGCCATTGTCATCAACAAGGAGTTGGGTGTTGGGGAGTTTGGTGTGGTCCAGCAAGGGGTTTGGACCAATGAGGAAGGAGAGAGAGTAAGTATCATATATAAATGTAATGCACAAACCTAACTGAATGCCTAATTCTAATTTTGATATCAATCTTAGCTTTTGTGTATTCTGTGAAATTGAATATTATGTAATTACTGGGTAATTTAAATATATGTTTTCCACAGATTCAAGTTGCTATCAAGTGCCTCAGTAAAGAGAGAATGCAAACACAGCCAATGGAGTTTCTGAAAGAAGCAGCCATCATGCATACCATAGACTCTGAACACATTGTTCGACTCTATGGTGTTGTGCTTGACACAAATGCTCTTATGCTGGTGAGGATTATTTTTGTTGGAAAAAATATTCCATAAAAATAGGCAGATAATGTATTGCATCATTTATACAGTGCCATTATGCATTCCGTAATTTTTAAGTCCTGGATAAAATAGTGCCATTATGTTTATGGGAAAAATTTTAAAATGCAGAATAAGGCCTTTTGTGACTTCTGATAGCTGTATTTTCAGGTGTAATTTTATAATGAAAGTGTGTTACTTAACATATTTTCTGTGATAGTGGATTAACTGTGGACCATTTTAATGGGACTTCTCCTGTCTTAGCCTGACCTGGGGCCACCTTTCCCAGGTTATTGTCTTGTCTAAGAGACTTTTTGTCTGTGTAGCCCTCAGGCCCACATTGCCACCATAACCAGGCTGATTCAAGCCTGGCCTCGGGCCAGGCTTGGGGAGTAAAACAACTCCCAGCACCTCATCAAGCAGGTATCAAACAGATCCAGTATTTTCAGCAGAAACTTGTTAAATTCTCTCTTTGAAGCTTTGTATTGAATTTTGATCTACAGATACACATGGAATTGTATATACACTATAACTATAATTAATATACACTATAACAGTCAACAATATATATTAGTATATGTTTACAGTTAGTTATTTGTGACACTATACTGTAGTCAGGATAGTGATGGCTGCAACATGAGACACATTGTCATGAAGCTAGTTCAGGCAAGGAGTGAGGGAAAAGCGATATGTTTGTTGACTGGCTGGTGAGGCTGTCTTTTCTGATAGAGTTCAGATTGTAGTCTGTATCTGCATTATCCCCTATGTATAGTATTTACACACAAATAATTATATATGAAAAGATGCATATACATTTTTTGAGTGGCAAGTATTATTGCCACACCAGCTCAATTGAAATATCATATGGACTGGGCAAAAATTTTATATGCAAATTATATTGTATTATTTCTCCTACAATATAATATAAGATCAGAAAACCATATTTTTGTAATAAAAATCTTAAATTTTTTAAGAGTTCCTTTATCATAAATAGAGGCACAGATTTCCGAGGCTCCCAAAATATACAAACAGCTGCATTACCCCTTACAGTCCATATTATCACAGATTGCTTATTTGTATGTATAGCTTAAGTTAATTATGGCACATTTTGATTATTAATATAGTATGAAATTTAATATAAAGTTCTTATTTATTCTTTGTCATTACAGGTAACAGAGCTGGCTCCTCTGAGATCATTGTTGGAGTGCATCAAAGAACCTTCTCTGAGAGTAAGCTTTCCAGTAACATCTCTCTGTCACTTCTCTATTCAGATATGTGATGGTATGTCCTACCTTGAGGCCAAGAGACTCATCCACAGGTAAGATAATTTGGATCATGCTTAGTTACAGTTTAAAATGGAAAGACTGTAAATCAGAATGCAGTACTTATTTTAAGTGAAGTGTAGTAAAAATAAAATCCTCAATATGCCATTTTCAATAGGTAAATAGGCTTCGAATACAGTGGTAGGAATATATTGGGGTGTATTATTTTCCTCAAAAATTTATACTTGAATATTCAGAATTTTAAATTTTCATCTACTTAAATTTTGTGCACATTTCATTGAAATATTCCTGGTTAGTGACACATTACAGTGCATGATTGTGCATTTGTAAGCATGTTTATTTGATAAGGTGATCAGTAATAAGACTTAAGAATTATTTCATTCTTTTCAGAGATTTGGCTGCAAGAAACATCCTGGTTTTTTCTAAAAACAAAATAAAAATATCAGATTTTGGCTTATCGAGAGCTTTAGGTGTGGGCAAAGATTATTACCAAACGAATTTTAATGTTAATTTGAAACTTCCCATAGCATGGTAAGTCTTTTATAAAACTTTATTAAATGATATGTGAAAAATTTCAGTGTCGACCGTTTTGATTTTTTAGATACAGTACAGTACTTCTTAATGTAAATAATGAAGTTAAATGCTCCTATATTTTTATTAAATTCTATGGTATTACATTGTTATTCTTTCATGAAATTTTATTTCATAACTTGTATTCACCATTCCAGAAATATAGTTAAAATTTGCATGCTTTAGGTGTGCTCCGGAGTGTATAAACTACCTAAGGTTTACATCTGCTTCGGATGTTTGGGCATTTGGCGTAACACTTTGGGAAATGTTCAGTTATGGCTTCCAACCATGGGCAGCACTTACAGGGCAGCAGATTTTGGAAGCGATTGACGAGCCAAATTTTCAGGTTAGTTTCTTGGCAAATCTAATTTTTTTGTATCATAAATTAAGATACAAATACTGTAATGTCATTAATTCCAGGCCCCACATAAACATCAAGTTTATAGCATATCTCTGATCTGATCGGTGTTAGTACCACCTGTTCAGTTCGGGTACTCTCCATTACCTTATGTTTTGTGCATACTTCTGCCTCTTGTATACATTCTTTTCTCAATATAACATGTTCTCTCAGCCCTTTTCTGTTTGTTTTATATCCTACTTAAATGGTAATTCCACTTACACATTACTATTTGTATTTAGTATTCGTTTTTAATGTTTTTGTGTGTTGATGCCAAGTTACACCTGGGAATGACTATTAAGTTCATGTAATGTAACAGTATCTTGTTTCATAAAGCAACAGAGTACTGTACTGTTATGAAAAGTGATTTGTCTTAGACATTTAAAGCTTGATTTTTTTACATATCAGCATTTATTCTGTACAGTTTTGTTCAATCAGTTATGCTTATAATACTCTACAAATATTTGAATTAACACTATCGCTCTCCCCACGAGAGCGCCACAGTCTTTGACGTCATGGGGCCAATGGTGCGGGCGAGCGTGCGGCAACGCCTAAATGTTTATACTCGTTTCAGTTTTCTCACCTTAATTTTCGTGCTACGTCGTTCATTTTGGTATCATTGTGTTAGCAATTAAAATCCCTGCAGATGTATATGCATATAATGTCTAAAAGCCTTGCGAGACTCCCCACAGCAAAGCCTAAAGTCGGAAAAGTTACCCGTGAAATCAGTAAAATGTGTATACTCGTTTCAGTTTTTTCACCTTAATTCCCGTGCTACGTCGCTTGTTTTGGTATCATTGTGTTTGCAATTAAATTCCCTACAGGTGTATTGGAATATAATGTACAAAAGCCTGGTGTGCCTCCCCGCAGGAAAGCCTAAAGTTGCCCGTAAACAAGCGCCAATTTGTATACTGCAACCTATTGTGTATACTCGTTCAGTTTGATAACATCAATTTTCGTGTTACGTCTTTCATTTTGGTATCAAATCGTTCGCAATGAAAAGGCGCGTATTTTAAAACTAGTCCCGTAATAATAGAGCAATAACTGGAATTTTAACAAATATTTTAATTCTTGAAGCTCATCATCATAATTATTTATATCTTTCCAGTGTTCTGACATAAATTTTTGTGTTACATCTTTCATTTTGGTATCAAATTGTTCGCAACGTAAAGGCACGCATTTTAAAACTAATCCCAACATAATAGCACAACAACATAATAGCACAATAGAATTTTAACAAATATTTTAAAATTTTGACCAAAAACCCATTTATAATCGTATAAGTGTTCGGACATCAAGTTTCATGTTACATCTTTCATTTTGGTGTCAAATTGTACGCATTCTAAAGGTGCTTAATTTGAAACTATCCCGAGGTCGATCGGATAAAAAATGATTTTTATATAAATATTTTTGTAGTGAATGCAATTTCAAATTCAGTGATTTCAAATTTTCTCCCTTTAAATTTTTTGGGGAGAAAAAAAATGGACATGATAGGTGTCCAAAGAGAGCGATACTGTTAAAATGACAGAATTTAATATACAATACAGTACATAGTTATGTTTTATGACTTGTAACATTGTTCTTTCCAGCGGCTAGAGCAACCCGAGGCATGTCCTAAAGAGTACTACACTATAATGCTTAAATGTTGGCAACATGACCCTGCAAAGAGACCCAAGTTTGTAGACCTAATGAATATTCTTCCAGATGTGAGTAAAACAAATTTGCCACCCCTCTCTACAATTGTTCTATTAAACTTTTTTTTTTCCTGGGCAGCAAGTGTTATTTCCTAAATGTTTATGCCTAAAAAGTATAGAAAATGGCTATTATTCCCTCCTGAAAATTTACTTTTGTAGCCAGGACAGTCATATTTTTAAATTTACAAGTACTGTACTGTACGTATCTATTTTCAATAAGAAAACAGACAAATTTGCATCATTTGTTTTTTCTGGTGTGTGTGCTGTCTCAAAGGTAAAGATAGATAGATAGATAAATTGGGTAAAGCTGCCTTGGAGACCCACCAGGAATGCAGCCATTTTGAAGACTAAACCACACACCAGAAGATGAGGAGACGATGACGTTTCGGTCCATCCTGGACCATTATCAAGTTGTCATGATAATGGTCCAGGATGAACTGAAACATTGTCGTATTCTCATCTTCTGGTGTGTGGTTTAGTCTTCAGATCTTCAGCCACGTTATTGTGACTCATCGTCAGCCATTTTGAAATCATCGATGACCTCCTAGCTGTACTCATCATGCTCAAGGCATCCAGCGAAGTCTTGATGTAATCCTCTTTGAGGTGCACTGAGTGAGCTAGGTTAAGAGATGAGGTACTTGTTCCAATTAAGGAGTGAGGTAAATTACAAAATATTATTGTCCTAGTCATAAAAGAGAAAGCTTGTGGGGAATAATAGTCATTTTCTATACAGTACTTTGGAGGCATAATAGATTAATAAATAATACTACCCAGGAACTCCCGCCTCAAATTTTTTATTAGTTTAATGGTTTCAGAAACCTTCGAAATTGTGACTTAGATCAGTAGACATAAATAATCTGAGGAGCATGAGTATGCTCCTCAGATTTGTATAAACATAGGAGAATATGTAAAAAAAAAAAAAAACAATAATATTATGGAAAGATATGGAGTGCAAATTTCTGTAACTTTTATTACTGAGGATGGTGTACTATGCTGGTGTTGTGACACTAAATGAATAGATGATCACAACTTTTTAATTCCATGTTTAGATCATTACCCACAATTCATGTGCACATATATGCAGTAGCTTTCTTATTTAATTGTTTAATTTCCATTATATGTTTGCCATTGTAAAAACAATAATGATACTTGCCTTAATTTTTGACAATTGGCAGTGTAAACCTGAGCAAGTTCAAGTAGTACGAGAGTGTGAAGACCCCCCAGCTACACCAGGAGGAAAGAGAGACAGACTTCAGTATTCAGTTGGGGATGTTATCACAGTCTTGGATAAGAGGTAACATGACAACAAAACCATAAGGAATAACTAATGTTGCACCTAATAGCCAGAACTGCACTATTTGGTCTAGAGTGCAAGGCCCAATTTGCCTAGTTGCTTAAAAAGCAGTGTGATTTTTGTAATTTTCTAATATTTCTTTCCAAATTGTTTATTCCAATTAATATTACAGTATTATATTACGAACATTAATTACCGAGTTAGGCTAGGTTTGATCAATTTATATGTTTTAATTGAAACAAAAATTCAAATCATATATAATGGAAAGCTTAATCATTCCATAAAAAAATTGAAAAATTATATTTCAGATAAATTTGGCTTTTTAGGTAACTTGTACATGTGTATATTTTCTTTTTTCTAACAGGTTATTGTGCAATTTCTCTAACACATCACCGTAGTGCCTTGAAACTTTGAGTAATTTAGATTGAACAAAAAAAAGCGTTTGTAATTTTGTTTCTTACCAGTTCATTATTGTTTGTGAAAATACTGTCTAGGTTGTTCTTTCTAGCTGCCAGAACTTAAAGAATAAGGAGCAGTCGAAAACCAAGAGCATTTCAAACAAGATATTCTAAACCAATTATAGTATTTTAAGACACTAATACAGTACTACCCAGGATGGAATGCTGTTGCTCATTAGCAACCCCATTCAAAGCTGGATCCAGTTACTGACCTGGAGAACAGAGAGAGAACTTTTATGCCCGAGTCCATTCGATAATACATCTAAGTTACTGGGATTTCTTAAAAATCCTCAAGTTGTACTTGCTGAAATGCATGCATGAGAGAGACATCATAATTTATATCTGGAAAATATTAGAAGGACTGGTTCCAAATTTTCACATTGAAAGAATTCTTTACAAGACCAGGAGGCATGAAAGAATGTGTAAAATATCCCCAATGAAAAGAAAAAGTGAAATAGGTACTCTTAAATGAGAATTTTATGAACATCCCCCTAAATATTAGGAGCATAAGTTGCCAACCACTTTTCGGCATTCACAAGGTAACTTGATAATACCTCTCGCCTAACTCACGGTCACTTAGAGCGCCGCCCTGCTCCGTATTGTCCAAATTGCATTGTTTCCTTACAGTCGTGCATATCCTTGTTGAATGTCCTGACTTCCAGGACGAGTGTGTGTCTTGCTTTCCGACCGTCCCTCGCAGTCACTTGTCCATCTATAGAATTCTTGGTGAATCGGATACTTTTGATATCGTTCGCCTTGTACGTTTCTGTTCTCGTATTGGCATCCTTAGTGATATTTAGCGCTCTCTGATTATTCCGCACATTTGATGGTGTTACATAGCCTTCCCCGATTTGGTGCCTTCTTTTGATAATTACTTGATAATATCTCTGAAGGGTGCCTAGCCAGTTGGGCTGTGATCCCTGCATCATACTGCATGCTATGGTATTCAACAGCCATGGTTGGCCAGACCAACAACAATGATATTGGCAATTTTTTTTCCTTCCCCCTCTCTCCCTCCCCTCCCCCTCCCTCTCCCTCCCCCTTACTCCCTCCTCCTCCCTCCCCCTCCCTCCCTCCCCCCCCCCCTTACTCCCTCGCTCCTCCCTCCCCCTCCCTCCCTCCCTCCCCCCCCCCTTACTCCCTCTCCTCCTCCCTCCCCCTCCCTCCCTCCCTCCCTCCCCCCCCCCCTCCCTCCCTCCCCCTCCCTCCCCCCCTCCCTCCCCCTCCCTCCCCCTCCCTCCCCCCCCTCCCCCCCCCCTCCCTCCCCCCCCTCCCTCCCCCCCTCCCTCCCCCTCCCCCCTCCCTCCCTCCCTCCCCTCCCTCCCTCCCCCCCCCCCTCCCCCCCCCCCCCCTCCCTCCCCCTCCCCCCCTCCCTCCCCCTCCCTCCCTCCCCCTCCCCCCCCTCCCTCCCCCTCCCTCCCTCCCTCCCTCCCCTCCCCCCCCCCCCCCTCCCCCTTTTTTTTTTTTTTTTTCCCCCTCTCTCTCGGGTGAATACAGGAACAGACTGCTACTGACTCCTGTTAGCAGGCTGAGAGCTGTTCCTTCCCATACCTCATGAAAGCCTTGCCCACAAGTTTTCCTTGGAACATGCCCAGCCATTTGGTTAACAACCAGGTACCTAATTACTGCTGGGTGAACAGAGGGCAAACAGTTCGGGATTGATGCCTAGGCAGTTCTCCCTGGCCAGGACTCGAACCTAGACAAATTGCCCATTAGGCACTGGAGCGAGTTTTTCCACTGTGCCGTCATGGACTTGTGTAGCCACAGATAGGTAATCACCCACATCTTTCCAATTTTTTTAATCATTTATGTACTTGGCAAAATTCCAAGTATCATTAATTCTTGTTTGTCACTACAGACCCATGCCAGACAACCCCTCAGTTTGGAAAGGAGTTTTGAACACAGGCAAGACAGGACACTTCAACCCAGCCAACACAGTTACTTACCTGGGCACTAATATTCCCTCCAATAAATCATCATTCCAAAGAGGAGGTAAAGTGTAATTTTTACTTGTTAAATAAATGATTTGCTTGTTAAGTAAATAATTTGCTGGTTAAGTAAATAATTTTCTTAAGTAAAATTATTGATGCTTGTTTTGTTTATATATATATAATGTACTATGTGTATTTAGTGTAATGTACAGTATACATGTATAGTGTAATGAATATATTTTAATACAAATACTTTAATGCCTGTATTTATTGTAATGTATATACAGCATGTATTATAATGTTGGCATGTATAGTGTCAAGTACAGTATTGTAAAGAATGTATACAATGTATACTGGTATGTACAGTTATGTAATGTATTTAATATCTAATGTATGTAATGTGTATACAATAACACTTTGGATATTTCTGTATTCATACCGTTTTTTATTACTCAACAGATGGCAAGAATCCATATTCCTCACGGCGGAGATTGAGACCGGAGATGATTTCAGGACCCCAGGGAGATTTCAAGCACACTGGACACGTGGGACTAGATGGAGCATATTTTGGCGATGTCTCCTTCCTCGGAGATAAGGTCCAGGATGGCAGATTTGTTCAAAAAAAGCTTGATAAGGTCATAGTGTGTTTTGTTTTTAATTAGACTAGTATCCCTACCACAGTGGGATTTGGTGATAGGTATGATATGGGTATTTTTTGTTGGAAATAACATTTTTAATTTTTTTAGAGATTATGATAGGATTCACACATTTGCTTCTCGATTGAACTCAAAGATTTTACTGCATTTCAAAAAGATTCATTGCTATTATGAGCTTTACTTCCTCTGTCAATACAATAAAATCTTTGTGGATTACCACATATGCGATGAGTAAAACCATGATGGCAGTGATGAAATTTCTCTTATTTAAATGTTTTATTGAATTGCTTTTCATATAACCAATTAACAAGAGATACTTCAGGAAAGGTAATGTGAATATAAAGGACTACAGTAATAATAATGACTTGTGTAATTCCTAAATTATTGTAAAGTTATTGGGGCAGTGATTATGATGGTTTCAGAAACAGTATACTGTAGAATTAAGAAGCTTGTTAGGTAAAATTTCTTTGATTCAGTCCAATTGTTACTTAATACTGTATCTGCATATCCTTCATACTACGTGATTACAAGATAGTTTATATTAGCCTTGACAATTTTAGTCACGAAACTAGCAGACCAGCCAAAGGCATTGGACTGGGGAAGAGAAGAGTGGGGTGGGGGTTTATTATGAATGAAACGAGTAAGGTACTACTTTGGCTTGGCAGACCAGACTTAGTGGGAGCTGTGCAAGAACTGAAGTGGTTTATTCATCCATAACTATTTTCATATTTTAATTATATTGCAGTGAAGAAAAGAAAAGAAAGTGAACACAAGTTAAACTAAATATTTAACTGGTATACATTGTTTATTCAGCTAACAGAATTTGCTACAATCTGATTGGTAACAGAGATGTTATTGAAATATTATCTGGCCAGTTTTATTCGTTTACTTTTATATAACCGTAATTGTTCTAATTTTGCATTTACTGGGAGTTTGTTGATAATATGATATTTATCATTAGAGGCAGCTAAAACAACATAATGAAGAGTGAAGCTGCTGTTTCAAGTCGAGTCATTTGTCGAGGTCTGAGAGATTACTTAATTTAGTTTCCTGTAGACTCTTTGCAATGGTTCCACCTAGAAATTGTACAAAATAGTTAGATTAATGCAGAAAATTTTGCTATGGTAGTTTAAACTTACAATATTTTTGTATTTGTTTCTTTGAAGATTTTTTCTTCAAATGATGCTTAATTGATTTGCTTGAATAAAGAGGAGAGATAAGCAAATATAAAAATTAAGGAAACTGGAGAAGAATGGTTGCAGTAGTAGAGGAGGCATGTGTGGAATTCTGATAGTTCCATATCAGTCAATGATTATAGGTGTTTACAATGTTGATTACAGTTTGTTAACTTTTTGGATCATTTTTATTCACTGCTTAAAAATTTATTATTGACCTTCACATGTAAATCGAGAATCACTTGTATGTCGTAAATTTACTTTTCAGTTAGCATTTATCTGCATATTAATCAGTGGCATGCAGCTCATTTAAAATTACTTGCATGCTAACATATACTAACAATAAGATAATGAATGTTACATTTTTAATGTATAGCTTTCCAGTATTTAAAAGGTTAGAATGATTTTAATAATTTGTAGTTATTCATATTATGATCCACAGCTCCTTCAGTCATTTCATGAAATGGTAAAACTATTAGAAAATGAAAGCAATGAATCCTTGTTTCTGTTACTTAGCATAATCCAGCCCATCATAACAAGACACATTGAAGAGGATGAGGCACTGTTAAACATAAACACTAAGGGGGACTTTAAAACCTCGCATATAAACATGAGCAGTATTCAGCTATCAGTGACTATTGGGTTGAAGTCTAACCCTCGGTGTCCTATTTCCTGGCATTTATGTAACTTGTCTGAATTTAATATCTTTACGTTTGAATTCTGTATCTTATATGCTCTTAAAGTTGTGGATTGAGGTCATATTTATGCCATGCTCATTTAGTGTGTAGTTCTTGTCAGCCATGCATGCTGAGTAGAAGTACAGTACCATGATTCCTGTTTCTATGGTTCTTTGTGGTTTCAACTTTCACTGACATCCTCTTGTCCAATTTTTTTTCTTTTAAAAAAAAAGTCCACCTTGTCTAGAACCCCTCAATTTATTCTGTAATCCTTGTCCACCTTGTCTATTTCCCTCAGTATATTTTAAGATGTGATCATATTCCCTCTGCTCCCTTTGTCCTCTAGGGTAGTTAGGTTTCCTTAACCTGTCCTAATTGCCTAGTCTTCTGATTTTAGGTACTAGCCTTGTTTCAAACTTCTAATCTTTTTCAAGTTTCTCTTTGTGCTTTTCAAGGTGTAAATTTCATACTTATACTGTATATTTAATTGTTGGTGTATCATAGACTCTGTAAATTGTCTTGAATGATATCTTGTGTCCTTGTACTTTTTCCCTTCATTACACTGCTCTTGTTTAGGTTGAACTTTATAAGTCATGTTTGTCCACTGCTGGAGTTTAAGATCGTTTTGAAGTACTCTATTGTATTCTCAATTTTTACTTTTCTCAGTAGTTTTGGGTCATGTAAAAACCAGGAGAATCACATAGATTAGTAACAACAATGCCCTTAGGATTAATCCTTGGAGGATTCTGCTTGCTAAACTCTTTCGCGTGGGGACGACACAGTATGGCGATAAAAATTTATTAGGCGAATGTGCGGGAATGACGCATCGGTGCGTTAAAAATGTTAAAATTTGCTAAAATTCTGGTTTTTATCCAATTTTTTTTGGATTGGATTTACAATTGGTGCTAATGTCTTCCCATTTTCCGTGATGGTCCATGTGGCACCGAGGCAGCACGACCCAGGAGATAGGCTCTTTGTTATCGTCCCATGTTAGTGACCGCTCCTGCTTCCCCCTCATGTCCCAAATGTGTGAACGTTCCGGCTATTTCTTTTGGCTATGCTGTAATTCTTACTGCAGCTTTAAAAACTCTCTGCATTTATTCCATGATTGATAGTGATCAAGAACAGAGCCATTCCAGGAAGAAATCAGTGAAAGAAACACTTCCGAGAGAGAAGCCAAGTAGTGTACACCAAAAATACAGTAGAGTGAAATGCACCCTCAAAATTCCAGGCTATATGTGATGATTTATCTGATATAAAATATGCTGATAGTGACAGTGATTTAGATGGTGAATTAATTGAAATGGAAACAGCAGATGATGAAATTAAAAGTGAGGGTGAGCAAGGATTATGATGTTCATACTGCCACACGTGCACATATCTTATCGTATTGGTAATGTTGTTCTTTCATTTGCCCTTATATGCATATATCCCTTTAAAGCATTCTATTGGGAACAATTTGATACCAAAATGAGCGTTGTAACACGAAAATTGATGTTATCAACTGAAAAATACTAAACATTTGTGAATGGGATATGGGTGTAGGTGGGCCAATGGGTGTTCGCTCACAGGTAACGCATGGCCTGCTTTCGGCTTGGCTGCGGCTGGAGAGCCCCACGGGTTTGGACATTATATGCATATATAGTGGCACCTCGACTTACGATTGCCCCTACTAATGATAATTTCGAGTTACGATGTAAATTTCATCGAAAAATGCGACTCGACATCCGATGGTGTCGTTGACTTACGATATTTATTGGTACACGTTCGGGTCGACCGAGCACGTGGTTCCCGGTCACGCGACCGACGTGCCTCAGTTTACTACAGCTGCCTGCTTAGTGATGATCGCGCCTATAAGAAATGTCGCTTTTGTGGTGATTTTTTGCATTTTGAATATTAAAGTAATTATTATATATCACGCCATGAGTCCCAGGAAAGTTAGTGGTAAGGCTCAACATATGAGATCCCATGTAAGGATGACCATAGAGCAGAAACGAGATCATTCGTAAATATGAAGATGGTGTGCGGGTTGTTGGACTGGCTAGTCAGCCAGCTAATCCCCCACAGCTCATGATCAATCCAGTCATAGGTTTTTCTGAATCTATAAAGAGACAATACAACAATTTTCCCTTTGTTAGAAATATTTTAACAACCACCACCATTCACACATTAAACAATTTTTATTTAACCCCTTCTAGTGCAAAATTTGTAAAAAGGAACAAAAAAATTCTAAGTGCTGTAGTTTGGTTGTGATAGGCTGAGAAATGGGGCTTTTCCCACAGAATGACCAAACAAAAACACAAATTATTTTAAAGTTAAAAAAGAAAAATATTTAATATATATTTTCAAGTTGTAAAGAGAGGGATCATGATCATGTGATGGTAAAAACTTATACTAATCATTAGGGTGTTGTGATTGAAGATGGAGATTCAATTTGCCAAAAAAAAATAAAAAATTTCTTAATTTATAGAAAAACCATGTGGAAATTAAGGGAAAATAAAACACAGTCCAAACTTGTATCACCAGCAACTTGGGTGTGGCATTAATTAACATGATCCCCTTCCCTGCCCCATTCCCCCTTCCTTTCAAAAATATATATTTTGTTTGTTTTTAATAAAGTTATAGAATATTTTTTAGATTATGGTTAGAAAAATCTAGTTTCAGATTGGGAGCATAAATAAATACACATAATGGCAAGGTAGCCCTACCAGCCCCTGGATGTCTGTGCCCAGTCACCATCACAAATATATTTGCTTCTGCTCAAAACCATTATGTATTCCTGTTTTTTCCACAATTACATTCAGGGAGATCCTATTGTCCTCATAATTATAAAATCACTACAATATCATTGAATAATACAGTACTAGAGTATACTGTATTTAAATGTCACGTTTGAGGATCTGCTGTGGTCGTTCATATTCATGTTACTAGAAGTTGGTGGATAAAATTTAGGACTGGGCAGGAGATAGAATATCTACCTTTATTGTGCATAATTGAAAAGATACTGTTCTCTTGTAGTGTTATTTTATAACCATATAATGACTTAACTAAGTACTTGTGTTCTTTGCTAGCTGTGCATAATTGAACAGTAAATTTTGAAAATGTAATGCTTTCTTGTTGTAGTTTAATTTAATTTGTCATTAATCCTTGATGTCAGAGATGTGTTCTTTGCTACTTGACCAAAAATTACTACATTCACTCCTCATATGGCACATAGAATAAAAATGTATGAATTAATGGCATTAAAATCACTATGTATAGCATTGCTACAGAAGTTTCAGATTTTTTTTTTTTTGTTTTTTTTTTGCTATTGTTCTGTGCAATTAAAACTAGTGCAACAATTGCTGTGGATCTGATATAAAAATATTGGACTGTAATAAACAAAATGGTGCAAACAAATTATATATTTAAAGTTGCACTTACATTTTTAATCTAATTTACAGTTAATGCGTTATTGTACTCAATGGGCCTGAATCGCAAGTTTTTCCATACATGGGTGAATTTCAAACTACGTACTTGTATACAGCTGAAGATTTAAAAGAGACTGATTTTTTAACTTTATTATTCAAATTTGTTGTTTTTTCCATGCAAGAACTCGAGTTCCACTTGGGCAGCTAAAGAACCCTCATATTGAGCGATAGTATTTAAGAGCATCATCAATGAGTTTTTAAAAAACATTGATGCTTTACAATTATTTAAGGCATATGATTTGAACTTTGGATTTGAAAAAACACCTGAAAGGTGGGGGTGTATCCTTTTGCTTCCTCTCAAAGGGATTACTTTTAAATTTAAGACTCGAGTAGAACCTTTATCATGGTTTCGTGCTAAATTGTTTTGTACTTGCAATTTTTTCATCTGTGGCTTTGCTTTAAACCAAAAGGCCAACTATTTTATGGTTTTATGATAACCTGTAGATCAAAAGATTGTGTGCTATTGATAATCAAAAAATTTTGTGTTAATAATAATAATAATAATAATCATAATGCTATTTACTATCCACAGTACCATCAGCTTCCAAAGCAAATAGTAGCACCATACAAGCCATCAGATGACCATGACCAATCAACGTCATTAACTAGGGCCAGTTCAGATGTATCAGATCGAGCACCTCTCTTGAAAAAGGTAAAATAACAGAGATTCAACTGAAAATCTTTAAAGATAGGTCTTATATGCTTATGTCATTTGTATCCTTGTGTGTTATGGAATGTGAATGAAAGTAAGCTTGGGCTGGGTGAAGCGACTCTCTCTCTAGTAAAAACAAAACCCTTGTAGGTGCAAATGGATGCTGTTTTGTATGTTTGAAGGATCTTCAAGGTTTAACACTTAATATAATCATAAGTGAAAAAACTTACTACCTTCATGTTTGAATGAAGGTAAGGAAAGACCCAGTACATGTGTAGGTGTAATATTAAACCAGATTTTTGGATGAATCCTACATCCTTAATCAAGGTGCTGTCAAAGTGTGTTTTCAGAACATTGTTTGACAGGACCTTCATAAAAGATGAAAATTGAATTTAAAAATCTGGTTTAATATTACACTTACACATGTACTGGGGCTTTCCATCAACTTCACAATCATGAGTATTGTGAAGAGGGTGATGCATCAAACTGAGAGACATTAGCATCATAATTACATGTTGTGTGTGTGTATAAATTGCAGGTTGGAGACAAGGGTAAGTCTGGCCCAGCAGCAGAGCACAACTGGTCAGACACAGCCAGTGAGGATCAACCAGACAGTCCAACTCGATCTCGGCAAACTGATCATGAATATCATGAAATTTCTGATGAAGAGGAGCCTTTACCCAAGGTAAAAATAATATGGATATGCATAAAAATATTTTCTTTACTATATGCTGAAATGTTATATAATTTAGCAATACTTAAACCTTGACTGGTTAACCCTTAAACTGCTCATGGCGTATATATACGCCATGAGTAACATGTCCCACGGTGTGCATGGCGTATATATACGCCATAGGGTGCCAGGCACGATTCAAAAGGCTTGAGGCTACACGGGGTTCACATTAGCTTCCTCAGGGCTCTTGTAAACAGACGCCAATTTTTAAAAAAATCGTAGGCAATATTCTCCGGTGTGAGAGCCACAATATTGTTGGAGCAACTAAGGCTGATGCATGCAGCATGAGCAAACAGCATTGCTGTTCAGCTTGTGACCACAGCATTGCCGAAAAATGTCAAAATAAATATATAACTGCTATTATTTAGTGATGACAGTATTACAGATGACTCCTGATTGTGATAAAAATGACCAGGATTGTGATAATTAGCGCTGTGGAAGGAGTGATGCTGAGGGACGGAGGGAGATAGCATCGTTTACTGACTATGTGGCCACCTGTTATTGTCTGCATTCACCCTACCAGCTCAGTGGTTCTCTATGGTGAACACAAATGTAGATACTTATATATAATGTGTGTATTAGTGTAATAACAGCAAAAGGATTATTTTGGGAGGAGCCACGTGGGTGACGGAGGTGGCGTCGTCTGCATGACTTGTCTAGCTGTGTAGAGGGTGGCCACTATGCTCTTTGGGCACCCTACAAGCTTAGGTGTACAGTTACGGTACATACAGCATGTAAATACTTATATATAATGTGTGTATATAGTGTAATAATACTGCAAACAGTATTGTTGGGGGAGAAATTTAGTACATGTGACCTTGAATGAGTGAGGGAGGCAGCCACCAGCTGACTGTGTGTAGCGCGTCTCTTAGTGCCTGAACAAAATTATATCAGCTTAGTTGTACAGTTGTGTTGAACAAAACATGTAGATATTTATATATAACGTCTGTATTTAGTGAATAAAATAAAAAACAGGATGGTGAGAGGAGAAAGTGGGCGAGTGAAGCGTTGAGGGAGTGGCAACGAGTGGCTGGCTGTGTGTGGCGGTCATTCCTCGTTGCTTTTCAACTCTCAATACCAACTTAGTGGTTCGTTATGGTGAACAAAGCATGCAGATACTTATATATAACCTGTGTATAGAGTGTAATATAACAGCAAAACTATTTGCTTATTGTTTTATGAACATAATAATTGAATCACTAATATGCACACCATACTTTTGAGTATAGCGATGATTCACCCCTTTTATTATATAAATATATCACAATACACACTATTGAATAATATTACTGCAAAATAACGAAGAAAAAATCAGAGACATTGAAATAATTAGGTAATAATATCTTTGTGGCAACTCCCACCTGTCAGCTCGGGTGATGCTGACCGGCTCTGACAACCGCTCTGTCAACGCCCACATTTTGCCAAACTTCCTTGGCCTATTGCACCCAAAATATGTCACCTACGATTTTTTTTTCCCCATGCTCAGGGAATACAAATTAACATTTTTAGAAGACAAAATATTTTAGAATTTTTTTTTCTTGCGCACGGGGGTATAAATCTCCTCAGGACTCCTTAGCAGCTTAAGGGTTAATAAATATATGTTTATACATACAGTAGTTTACATTTCGATACTGTTTTACTATATGTCAGTTAGAGGAACTTGTTTTAGAGCTTACTGTAGTGATTTTAAAATTCTTATGTATTGTAATAGTCAGTAGGTTGATGAGTACAGCTATTAAGCTGTAATTAAAAATATAAAATAGGGGTAGGCATGATCAGTGGTAAGAGACAATGTATTAAAAATGAGAAATGTTGCTACTGGTGTCCCACAGTTTGGTACTAGAGGCTGTAATGTTCATTGTCTATATTAATGATTTCCCTGAAAGGATAGAAAGTTATATGAACATGATAGGAACAATATTAAGCTACTGGGATTTTATACTTCAGTCCTTTCAAAATACCAAGAAAAAATTAGTACTGAACAACAAATAGCAAATGAAATTCCATGTGGATGAATACCAAAATGGGTAAAAATGGACCACTCCTTCATGCACTCATTCCTCCCCGTCTCCCCCGCCCCCTCCCTACATTTTGTGAATAACAAGTGGGAAAATCTTAGAGGGGGAGTTTGACAGTGATAATTCTGTGTCATCATAATCTTTCTCTTGTTCATAAATTTGTGTCTGAAAGTTATTTATGCTACAAATAAGAGAGTACCTACAGTATGTACTGTATATATAAAATTATACTTTTAATAAATATTGCCATTCCAGTAGTCCAATGAACCTTTAATATGTTGCTGTTAGTAATTATATTACAAGACCAGGAATGCAATTCCATAGAGATTATGCTCCAATGCCCGTATATCAATGATTCAATTAGCACTCCTGCATCCAGGAATGCAACCCCCATTAATAAACAAGGTATGTGCGTACACACATGCACACACTACTTTTTTTTTTATATCCCTTTATCAGCCTTTCCGGAGCAGCTCCTTTGACCTGGGCCCAAGTCTGATGGATGAAGTATTCAGGGCTCTTGGTGGCTCAGCATCATCTGGTCCATCTTCTCTGGAACCGCCAGGTTCTCTGCCACCTCTCTCCCCCACTCAACAGTCACAGGCTCTACTTGAGGACAATGAAAGCCATAATGTAAAAAATGAAATTAAAGAAATGGCTTCAAAGTTCAGCAACAAAGATAGCTCAAAGAAAAAACAGGCTATGGTTAGTGTTTTTTTGGTTGCATATAATGTGGCAGCACTTACTCTCCTTGATGATGCTTACTGTAGTCATCCATTGTTGTCCTTGCTGTTGTTTAGTTTTATGCCATGTCTTTAAACCAAACCCTACCCTATCCAACCTAGCCTAACCCAATCCAACCAAACAAAAGTAAGAGATAAAATAGTATTGTATATATTGTTTGCACAAGGTGTGTGATGTGTCTATGCTCTATGCTGTCATAATTTTAATGCTTGTTCAGGTTTTATATTTACTTTTTTAGGCATTTAAAACAAATCATTATTTTTTATTTAATATATTCGTAATGCTTACATAATAATTTGTTTTACATTTTCAGTTGATGCTTCAACTGTGTGCAAATACGGTATCCCTTTATTTTATACTCGTAAATTATTTAATTAACTATTTCTTTGTTGTCATGAATATCAATAATGTAATAGTTAAAATTCTTACAATTAAAATTCACTGCCAACATATTTGATAGCCAGTAAGTATATCACTGAATTGATGGTCAATTAAGTGACCTTAATTGGGGAGGGAATCCTACAGCTTGTAAAGGTTCATCTATTTTTACATTAGCTAAATAGTTTTCTTTAGAAGTATTAAGCCTTCTAAATATTTTACCGGTCTTTTTTTTTTTTAATGTGGGTTTAGGTAAAGCCCATCTCGGCAGCTGATCAGCGTACTTTAGATTCGGCAATAGCAATGGCCAATGAACTTGCTTCAAAAAGTATGCTAGAGCTGGACTGCAATCATGAGAGCTCAGCAGACTCTGAAGGTGCACCAGATTCTCCCATCACTCCATCATCTCCAACTAAACATGGTGGATCACGCTTCTCTTTCAAGTTAGTAATGACGCTATTCAATTCTATTTTATATTCTCATTATGATGGGAAGGGTGGGGGATGGATGGTTCAGAAGGATGGCAAAAATACTTGAGTTTGATTTAGACATTGTTATGTGAAATGCATATTTTTCGTGTTACAGATTCTCATCCAAAGGTAGTCCAAAACCAGAGAGAAGGCACTTCAGTGCAGAAGCAGCTTCAATACCAGATATTCAAGTATGTTCATAATTTAACTTTGAGTTTGAAATAGTTGATGCCACACAGGCACCAACACAAAAAATTATTTATTTATAATAACAAATTTTAAATGGATATTTTTATCCCAAAGAGAGTAAACAAGTGAGATAGTGAGATTGTCAAAAGGGAGTATGAGAGAACAAATCCACTTCGTTGATTGGTGGATAGAACTTCGGTTTCAACTCTTTTTAACCCTGTCGTAGCTCAGTCGATTAAGGCAGTGTCTGGGATGCTCCCGGACGCAGGTTCGAATCCTCGTCACGGCCCTTGTGGATTTGTTCATTTGATGCATCACGTTAGTGTGATCTCTGTGGAATGAGTATGAGAGATTGTGAATAAGAGTATTTGTGTACATTTACCTTCCTGTCTATGGTGAACAAGATCTGACTCCTTTGGGCTCTGTCTTGTAGAGATTGGTATCTGCTGCTTTTATATATCTGTTGTAATTGCTCTTGAATCTGTAGATGGAAGTGGTTTCCAACTCTTTCATTATAATTTAACATTTACTTACATCCCCCCTTATTAATTTGCATTTCTAACTTTCACTTTTGACCTCTTGTCTTATTATTCCCAATTTGGAAAAGTGTCACTATCCATCTTGTTTATTCCCTCCAGTATTTCATATACTGCATAATGATCATGTCTCCTTTGGTCTTTCTGTAACGTTGTTTAGTTGAACTCCATTAACCTGTCTTTGAAGCTTAGTTCTCTCATTTCTGGCACCAACCTTTGGACTTTTTACAATCTTCTTTTCAGGCTTTGAGAGAATTCTAAGCCAATGCTTCATAGAATTAGTCTGATGTAACTTTGCATATGTTGATATCCTTTGCATATCATGTGTGTGTGTGTTTCTAGTATTTGTGCTGGAATTATATCCACTCCCAAATATGTCTCTCAGATTATTTGTAGCTTCTTTCAGGTTTTTTTTGTTGGCCCTACTGCTTTGTTCTGCCTAGCTCTTTGAATAGTTTTTCTACTTTATCTCTAGACATATTTAGGTACTCTAGGTTGTGCTCTTAGCTTTTTATTGTCTGTTAAAAACCTTATTTTGAACACTGGAGTTGTTCATTAGTGTTTCAACATTTTCCCCTTCAGTCTATAAATCTGTTTCCTATCCTTAACCTCTGGATTTTATCTTTAAGATTAGGGATGTGTTGTCTGTTGTCTCTGTGAGTGAGGGAAAGACACTTAGTTATTTATTTTGAACTCTGATTTCTATACTGTACTATACTGTATTGCTGAAAATTACTAAATAACTAAAAATATAAATACAAATTGCTGAATCTGTCGCTCCCTCCTTACGTCACTCAAATGTATAGTAACACACTGAACCTCACTCATTAACTCACTCAAAATGTAACACTTGCTTGCCAGTATCTTCTTTATTATAGTTTATATAACTGTTGTGTAAACCAAGACTAATGATCAGGGAAGGCTCTTGGATGCTTAGATAATCAGATGTTTTGTTGATCTCTTCTTTGCAGGTTTACGTAATGCTACATAAAATAAATTCTTATAGGGTAGAAATCCATTTTTTGAGAAAGAAAGTTGTTATAGTTTATTCCATTTGTTTAATTTCTAAATAAATATGAAAGTATTTTTGGTTCTGTATTGCAACAGTCTGGAGTTCGCAATTGACTGGGCATGATGAGTGTTTCTTGGGAGGCTCATAATTTTTCTTGAACTTTGTCTATTAACAGAATGCTGTGTCATTCAAGAAGACTCTACATGTAAATTTTTGTTTACATTACTGTATATACTTACATTTTGCTTGGTGGCAGAAGTTAAGGTGACTACTTCAAATATACCCTCATTTTTCTTATTCATTTATTCTGTATCACTCTCTTCACCTTTTGGCTTATATAAACTGAAGTAGTTGTAAATGGTTACACAGTTTTTGTTTGCAGCAAATACAGTACTATAGCAATGCAAAATCTCCTTCAGATTCTTGAATTAAATATTGGAAACAAGTTTACTTTATAACAAGTGTTTGTGAAAGTAATTTTTCAGGATTTAAGTAGTTTTCACAAGATTGCAAAAGTTTTTCTGTTGATAGATCTGTATGTCACATATGTACACAAAATATACAATAAACTTTATCTTCACTGGGTGGGGGTGGGGTGGGGGGGATCAAGGTTAGTATTCCACAGTAAATTTAATAAGAATGTGATTTATTTGAGTTAATGCCCTTCAAATGCTCCTTGAGTTAGTCGTCATTATTCATCCAGGACTGTTGCCACCTGCCAGTTTCTCATTTATCTTGTCCCCACCATCACAAGTATCTTTGCATTGGACTTTTCTCTACAAATTTGTGACCCACAGGAGTGTAAAGGTATATGTATCCTTGCATCCTTATGCCTGCTAGTCCACTGACCTTGAACCCCCCCCCCCATGTTCCTGAGATGCATAATCTTTCCTGTTCTTTAAAAAATCATGCGCAATATTGTCAATGCAGTTCAGTCAGGTTTGTGTTCCTGGTATTTTTGTATATACTGTAGAAAACTTATTTTCTTGGGTGCTTAGGTCTACCCATGTCTTGTATTTGAATAGCCAATTTTGCCATGTTGATGGCCACACCAACATGTAGTCTCTCTTGGATGCATTAATAGTACTGTAGTTTGGCTTTAAAAGACAAAAAACTGATGCAGAAAATATACTATCAACTTATCTGAAGATGGTTCAGCATTTTCATGCTACTGTATAGGCTGGCAATGGCTCATTTTAAAAAGTACTAATATGTAGTATTTATTATGATTCCTTCAAGAACACATTGATTTGTAGCATTTTTCTTCATAGTTATTGCTAGCGTCTCTTTGTGAAATAAGGAATTTTGGATGATATACATAATTGCTCTACATCACAAATAGATTCTAAAATCTTTTTTGAAAGTTTTCAATCAGAAAATGAATAGCCAATAAAGATATTAGAAAAGTAATACCCTGTAATATCACTAACATAACTAACACCTTACCCACATTTTATCATGGTTTTCCCCTTTTCTTTTCTTTGCAGTTGATCGATGAAGACATAGAAAATGTTTGATATGTTGGTGGATTGTTCTTTATCTAAACTCAGATTTAACACAGTGCTTGTACTTCTTATTTTAGTTGTCTCACTGCATGGTATAGCATTAAGCTTTATTTTATTGTAGTGGCTTGAGAAGAATTATTTGTGTTGCATGACAAACCTGTATTGTAGTTTTTTGTTTATTTATTTGAACATTATAAGTGGAAAGAATTAGTAATTGGTAGCAGAAACATTCACATATTGTCATGACAATTGAAAGTGTACATATTTGGTTCTAAAGATGTATTTATGAATAAGGTACACATTTCAAAGCTTATACGTATATTTTAACCTACAGGAAGATTTTTCTTGACAAAGGTGTATGGTGTAACGTTACGAAAGTATGATAATGAAATTAGCGTAGAGAAGTTAAAATAAGTTATAGGCCGATATTCCTTGACACAACTGATTTTTTCATGAGAAGTGAGCTCGGGTAGAAATATTTTCTCATAATCTACCTGGCTTAATTCCATTACATTGTGGTAGAGCAAAACTTCAGAAGTATTTAAAGATTTTATTAACTTGTTTAAATTTTGCATGAATCTGAGAAAATTAGTCATTGAGTCATATATGGCTGAAGAGGCTGCAATAGAAATGTTGCCTAAATATGGTGGTGAGACATACTGGCAATATGAGTAGAGATAATGTAATGCTGACAATGTTTTGGGGGATTTTTGACATGGTTGGGGGATTTAATTGTTTCTACAACTGACTTGGTAGTTTGTCATCACTATCTTTGCCCTTTCATAAAAAATTACTGTATATAATAGTTAAAAAAACGTTGTATTGAGTGCATTTAATGCGTTGAATGCTGATGTGTCAATCTGGCTATGAAGATGAACTAAAACTTTGCATTTCTTGAAATTATACCAGTCGGGTCTTGTTATTTTTAGTTTTATGAATTTCTGTATTTCTAGTCAGGAGTTCACTAATATTTTTATTTAATGAAGTACCGTACTTGCCAAGTACCATACATAGCTTTGTCTCTAAATACAGTCGACTCCTGATGTTACAACACCCAGTGTGTATTCGTATCATAAAGATATCGCTATCTATATAAAATAGTGTCTGAGGTTGGTGATCAGATGCTTGGGGTTGGCCTCGCCCAACTTTCACATGTGAAGTATGTGGGATATAAGTGTGTTGTAGGCCAGTCAGGGTCAGCTCCATTGTCACACTTTAAGAAATAATGGCATTTAACTCAACCCTGTCCACATGGCTTTCATGAAATATTGTTTGTTGTCTGTAGACCAATTTAGTAGTTTCACTGCTGCTTTATATATTTCTAGCAGAGATATGAGGAGGGGGGGGGGATGGGGCAGATGTTTGAAGAGAGAAGGTGGAGAGGTAAGAGAAGGGGGAGGAGAGAGGATGTTGGGGAGAAAGGTGGAGACTGGGGGGAAGAGAGTGAAGGAAAAGGATGAGAAGAGGAGGGGGGGAGAGAGGGGGATAGGGAAAGTGATATGAAAGAGGGGATAGTTGGGAGAGAAAGGGGGAGAGAGAGAGCCCAGGTGCAGCTGGGTACCCCCTCTAGTTTTATATGGATATTACAGAACAAAATTGATACAGTCCCTGACCAAATATAATACATTTAAAATTAAACCAATTATATACAATGCACCCAACAAAATTAGGAATTCTGTTTAACAGATCCCTCTAAATAATGAGCCAAATTTGCATACTGGACCTCCCATCTAAATTTCAAATTTGTTGGAAAATCTGTGAAAATCTGGATCATGAGGCAAAAAAAATTTCTGCAGAACACATTTTGTCCCAATTTGTTTTTTCAGTGGAAGTGGCGGAAATGTTCTAAAAATGGTAATGAAACCATGTATCCTAAATTATTAATTGGAACATATTCCCAAGATATTTCCTAGGCTAGCTTGACTAAAAAAAAAAAAAAAAAAAAAAAAATTAGGGACGGTTGGGAGTGAATGAGACTGGTTTGAAAAAATCATATGGCAAGTTTTAGAGTCCAAAAATGATATACATACAGTATCTCATTAAATTTAGTTTTTTGTAGGGTTAATAACAAGTTAAAAAAAATCCGTTGGGATTTGGGAAGAAAGCATATACTGTAGCTAGTTTTCATTTTGGAAAATAGCAGGTTGCGTTAAGTTTTGTTCAGCGGAGATCTGAATTTGGTTCAGTGTAGGTGCCAGACATTATTTTTTGTTTTTTTTTAATCATATTGCTTTATTTATTGGAACAATTTCCTATTGTGATATTTCATAGAAAATTTTCACAAATTTAGAGTTTTGAGCATGGGAAAGTCAATGGACCTGATTCGTTTGCACAACTTGAGGGACGTGGTCATACTTTTGAAAACAACCCTTTGAGGGAAAATTTGTTAGAAAAATTAGGGTATAAATAGTAACTAATTCAATATGGCTTTAATTACAGTTTTAGCAGGTTACATAGATGAATGCAGTACTAGATGAAACGACTGATAAGCCAAATGTAGTGAAATTTCCTTAGACAGGTTCTCCTGGTAAATATTCATCGTATCGTAGGTTGAAATTAACATTTTTCTTAATAAAATTCACATTCATAGACCATGGATAAAATATGGGTATGTATAGTAATTTTTAATATTGCTCTGATTGTGTTCTTTAAAAATGTGTATACAGTATATGAATGTAATACTAGAAGAAACAGTTGGTGCCTTAAGAAAACCATGGAGCATATTTAGAAAATTTGTCATTTATTTCCATTATGAGTTTTACATAAAAACGTTGGAAAATGTGCTGATAATCACTGGTAAATTATTAAGAAAACTGGTTTATTCAGAAATATGAATCAACTTCAGAACAATATGATTTGAATTTTGGAGATTACACCATACAGTACTGGACTGTCAAATATTAAATTCCTCTTGGATAATTATCATATTATTGATATTGAAATTAATTATTTTTTTTTAATTAAAGGGTCATAATATTATGAAGAGTGAGTTGTGGCCATGGAACATAATTAGCATAATTCAACATTCAACGTAATTATTTAAAACAATATTTTAAGTTTTGCTAACCTCTCTTGACAATGTCTAAAATTAGAGGCTGGGCTGTGGGAAAGATCAAGGATAAGGTCCAGAATGCCATTTTGTATTGTCATATTCTCTTGATGGAAATTTATATAGGGTGAAATTAAGATTTTTGCCCGATGCATCCATCATGTGTTGGAAAAAACATGTTTCATATCTGGAATAATATTACACTCGTTACATTTTGTGAAGAATTTAGATGGGTATAACATGGAAATGAGCAGTTAAGAATACTTAAAACAAAATCCTATTTTTTTTTGCCATGCAAACTTGCATAATTTTAAATGTATACACTGTGAATGAATTTAATACATAAAAATTTATAGCCCAGATAGATTATAACTTCTTAATATCAGGAGTTGGCTGTATCTAAAAAAATACTTACCAAGATCATCATTGGAACAATTTTAAGTATTTAGAGAGTAGGTTCAAGTTGTGTATATCTTTGAGTTGCCCATTAAATAATATGGTTTAAGTTATTATAATATGTAAATTTCTATGAACTGTCCATTTACAGCATGTAAAGGAAAACATACCACTATGGGTATTTATAAAATTTCATAAGAGAAAAGGGCAGTACAGGTATTATTAATTTTAAATGCACATGTTAATACAGTAGTGTACTAGACTTTTCCGGTATAATTATCTTGTGAAAAATTTACTTATTCACAATTTGTCCTTTTTAACTCTGGATGTGGCATTATGTTGACCTAGAATATCTTCATTGCCATTTAGCTTGTGCATGTCATGTCTTAAGTAGTTGATGTTTGTCTTTGTTTTTAGTTCTGTAGGATAATAGACATGAATGTTGCTTTTTATTTAACTGAACCTTTTTAACGTTATCACTGTTTATGCAGTACTCTGAAGTTTTTCTTTGTTTTTTTATGTTAGCATATTTGTTTTTGTTTGCCCCAACACAGTCAAGCATATCAGAAGAGGCCAAAGAAGTGTACAACTCACTGGTGGAACGGCCTGGATTGGACTGTGAGCCACTGGCTTACCGCAGTGACCCTGAGCCACCAATAAGTGAGCCAGAGCCTGCAGAACACAACCCACTGCGAATGTTACGTGCTGGTGTCACTGTTAGACCCAAGATCAGGGGAAATAAGCACAACTTTAGCTCGGGCTTCAGTACAATTGAAAGAAGTCATGGTATGAGAGCAGGGACTAGAGAAGGACTGACTACAACACCCAATAGTAACACTGCTGACCTAACAACACATCAGACATTACCCAAAGGATTCAAACATAGTAAGGTTCCACCACCAGTGAAACCCAAACCATCTCCATTAGTTATACCTAATTCTGCATTTAGAGCTACTAATGAATCAGCTGGAGAGTCCAGCACTACTCCAGATACCATTAGTCCTGATGGAAGTAACCAAGACGCCATAAATTTACTTCCACTACCCCCACGGGATCGCACAAGAGCTGTTGCTTCCCTTACTAAACCTAGACATCAACGCAAGCACCCATTAATCATTCCTGGGGGAGTAACTAACTCCTTGTTACGTGGAGGTGGTCATGTTCCAGCCTTAGGAAGCTTGTCGGATAAAGTAGAGCACACCAGCAGTCGTCTTGTTATTCAGCACACACACAATCCTCAGCTTGAGTCTCACAGTACAACAGCATCTACCACTCCAAGTGGGTCACCTGCGGCAGATGGATTTGTTAGTGATGAGAGTACAACCTCACCTGGGCCAAGATTACCTCCTGCTAAGCCTCCTAGATTATTTACGTGAGTATGTTTCACAATTAGAAAATTCTTTGGGTGCACATATTGTTGGGCTGGATGGAAAGTAAATAAAAGGATTTGTAAGACATTGCTTAAAACTTCTTAAAACATTGCTTAATGTTTTAAGAAGTTCAGTTAATACATATTATTTTAAACTGGCTGTAGATCAAAGCTCTTTTCAGAAAAAAATGTATCCAATACAGTCAACTCCAAGTTCTATACAGGATGGCTTTCCGAAACAAAATCAAATTATGCCAATTTATGTAAAAATTTATAAAGGATCGTATTGGGAAAAAGAAAGATGGATTCAAGGACCAGGAATAACATTGCATTAAATAATTAAATAAATTTTGAAGTCAAATTTTGAATATTAGATTCAGTGTAACACATTTAAATTAATGTAATCTTTATAATGGTGAGGTGTAACAAAATGTACATTTTAATTGGTTGTACAGTATATGAACACTGTTAAAGTTCTGCAAAATAACTTTTATTTTGGAAAAAATAAATAATGCTTACTACTGATAACTTGCTTTGGCATCTAAACTCATGCAAAACTGACCATTGGCAGTGTTAAATCAACAAATACATTAAGTATTAGATTAGATGAAAGCAGTCTGCACTAAATGATCTCTTGCTGAACTGGGAGGTAACTGTACTTGATATTTTTGCAGAATAAATCATTGTCTTAAGTAATTTCATACCATGGTGATGTGTTTAAATTTATATTAATAAATGTGGGTTGAAACATAAACATACGCAGGAAAGGTTTCCTGTGTGTTATGAGTGATTGCATTTGCTGTGAATCAACATTTTACAATTGAAGAGTGCTACAATGAATATTATGTAGAAAGAATATTATATCACTGTACATATATTAATTCATAATTTATGTTTATAATTTTGTTGCCACAGAATTTTATATTTTATAGAATTGTATTCACTTAAATAATACTGTACTTTTCTTTTTTAACATGCATAGACTCTGCTGTTCTCTTACAGAATTTATTTTTATAATAATCTTGTATGAATTACATAGAAGAGAGTCACCAGTATCTTTGTTTCTGGCAACAGAATCCCAGGTTTCATGTCAAGATTTTTTAAGGAAAATTATTTCAAAGTTTATGCAGTTTTATGTTAGAGATTTTAGTCTGTTGTATTACTTTTGCTGTATAACACTTGATTTTATAATTTCTTACTAAAAATTTACTGAAATTTAATTTATTAGTTTTTTTTAACTATTTAAATTTGTCTTATAATTTCTTATAAGGTGTATTTCATTTTATAATTTTTTGCAATGTAACTACTTTCAACTGGTAATGTTTTGTATGAGTACTGTTTTAGTTTCACCTTGTAATTTCTTGCAACAGAAGTCCAAGTGCCTTGGATGACAGCTTTGAAAGTCAAGTGGCCAGTGAGATGGATGCTTTGGATGATATACTGGAAGAAGAGCAAAGTGTTTCACCTGTAGGACCTTTACCTCCACTCTTTCCTAACCCAGAGTCATTCACTAACTCTTCTGACCATGTAACTACTAATGGCTTTGGGGAGGGGCCAGGAGGGGGAAGCGGATCATTATATCAGTCTGGAGACCATGTGTCCTGTGAGGACCTCCTGGATTTTGCTATGGACCGACCCAACTCCAGACGTACTCAAGGACCAGCACGAGGCACCCAGTCTGATGAGGTCCACATCATGCAAAAAGTTTTGAAAAATGAGGTTTGTGTGAAGTGTTGTTAAATTTAGTTAACCAATTGATACCTGATAATGATAAAATTTTAGTCTCCAAAGTAACACTTTACTGTAGCAATGTTCTAAACAACTTTCAAATTTAATTACAGTATAATCATTCCCCATTCCTCTTCTGGTGTTCCCCCACCTGTTTCTTGCACAGCATCCCTTTTCTCTTTGTAATTATACTTAGTGCACATCCTCTTGGTAAAATGCTTAGTATGTGTTGCACATATTTTTCAGAGGAAACTTATGTTCTTTATTCTAAATTTAAATGATTTCCTTATACAATCTTGAAAATCAAGGCTGATGAAGGGAACACTCATGATGATTTTTATTTCTCCATTTTATCAGTACAGTATGGAATGGCCTCGTACTTGACTTGCTTACATTAACACTTTCGCGTCCCAGGTGTGCACGCCTCAGCCCACCTCAAGGTGGGCTGAGCGTTTACCGTGAGCGTGCACCAACACTAAAATGTGCATACTCTTTTCAGTTTTCTCACATCAATTTTTGTGTTACATCGTTCATTTTGGTATCAAATTGTTCACAATAGAATTTTCTGAAGGGATATATGCATATAAGGTCAAAAAGCCTGGCGTGCCACTGGCAGCAAACCTGAAAATTGGACAAGCGTTACCCGTGAGCAAGCACCTATTCGCACACCTACAACACATACACTAAAATGTGTATACTGTACTCTTTTTTGAGTTTCTTCATGACAATTTTTGGGTTACATCGTTCATTTTGGTATCAAATTATTCGCAATAGAATTCTCTAAAGGGATATATATGCATATAAAGTCAAAGCCCGGCATGCCACCCACAGCAAACCCAAAAATCAGTCAAGCGTTACCCGTGAGCGAGCACTCATCCGCACACCTACACTAAAATGTGTGTGCTCTGTTCAGTTTTATCACCTCAATTTTCATGCTATGTTGGTAATTCTGGTTATCAAATTGTTCGCAATCTAAGGATGCGCATCTTAAAACTAGTCCCATTATGATCAGGAAAAAAAGGAATTTTAACAAATACGTTAATTTTGGAGGCCACATGTGTTCCCGCCGGACATCCGCAGTTACTTGTGGGTTTCAGCGGGAAATTATTATAACCTCCCACAGAAATAATAGTACAGTAATTGGGAATCCAAGAGTGATATGAAGCTGCTGGAAATAATAATGCATACAGAACCCCAAACACTTTCTGCATAATGGGGAAATTTTTAACCACACTCAAAATTGTAATAACATTCATCAGTGATTATTTTCCCATCATACTCTAACACCTTTGAATCTTCTCTCCTCTCTGCCTTTCATATGGCAATTTGACTGAGAAGACGAGTTATTTACATCACTTTACACATTAGCATTCCGATGATGCTAAAACATGATACCTGTACAGTACTTTAACAGTACATCTACTGTACGTTGAAATTACTGAAACCACTTAATTTGTATTTCTTGGAGCATAGTGTGGGAATAGTTTATCAGGGTGGGAACCATCCAGAGATCATCTTGGTCACCCACCCATCATTCAAGGTGATAACTGCTCTGCTTGAGAATATTTTCACTATACTTTGAGAATTACATGCCAAAAAAGTTTGAAAGTTTTGTTTGCCTTTGTTTTTGAATCAGTATAGACTGATCATGTATCCATATTTCCTTATTTTTAATTTATATTGAAAAATGAGGAATGTTGAAATAGTAATAAACCTTCGTACATTTAGCACAGTCACACATAATCTACTATGAATACACAATTTGTTTTGCACCTATACTAAAGCACAGATACATCGATGGTGAAATATTTATGAAATTGTTTGAGCTTTGTGAGACCAAAGCTGAAATATGCAGCAGTTGTATGGTGCCTATATCTTAAGAAAGCACATAAACAAACTGGAAAATGTGCAAAGACATGTAACAAAATGGCTCCCGGAACTGAAAGACAAGAGCTACAAGGAGAGGTTAAAGGCATTAAATATGCCAAAACTAGAAGAAAAAAAGCGATATAACAACTATACAAAATAGTAATCGCCAAAATTGAAATCGACACAATTGATAAGAGAAGAATTCCTGAGATCTGATACTTCAAGAACAAGTGGTCAGAAAAATGCAATAATATCACAATAGCATGATATATCAATGAAAATCATTGAGGCAATGGAGTGACCTGAACCCACATTCTGGTGATTTGCAGGCACCTGCCTTAACCGACTAGTGACCGAGTCGGTTAAGACAGGTGGGACGTACCAGAACACCTGTTAGTCATGTGGCTGAATCAATTAAGGCAGGTCTCTGGGAATCCTACAGAATGCAAGTTCAAGTCACTCCATTATGAAGAGGAGGTCATAGATTTAAGCTAACTAAACATAACTGCTTAAGAAATACAGTGCATTCTCTCTATCAAACCTCACTCTAAGGAATTCCCGGATGGTCTGAACGAATTGCATTCGGTACTAAATATTCAGTGGAGCATACAAATGTTCGATTAAGTGATGATTGGTCGGTCAAGCTGTCACCGAGACCAAGCGTCGGGAGGTGGTTATCACCAATTATGATTCATCAAAGTGTAAACATCTGTACAGTGTTTTTTTATTTTGCTTACCCATTGTTTCCAGGTAGAAGGGGTTGAAAGATGATTAAATTGTGTCAGGGGAGGCAGGTGGTGTCACTGGTGAGGGTTATTGTCAGAGAGCAAGTGGTGTCAGTTGTTGGGGTTTAGTGTCAGGGAGGCAGGCGGTGTAAGTTATTCTCATGGGTGGGAGGCAGGTGGGGTTAGTGGCGAGTGTCAGAGAAGACTGATGGTGTCGGGGAAGGGAGGGGGGAAGCAGGTGGTGGAAGTTGTCAGAGAAGGCAGGTGGAGTTAGTCATGCTGAAAGCAAGTGAGCATAAGTGTTATAAAAGTTCAGCAGAAATACACTATAGAACAGTACTGGACAATTTTTCCCCTAAAAAAATTGTGCAAATTCAATAAGAATTCTCTTTAAGTGCATACATTTGAGACAAGGCAGATCATATTAAACCTTCATGAATTCTGTAGCAAATAGTAATGTGTGATTATCTTGTATGTGGAGCAGCAAATATTTCTCTTCTTCAGTATTATAATACTGTATATGAATATTTATTCATAAGGTGCATTTCAGTTGTTTGCAATCATTTTCCAAACTTTTAATCTACCAGCTTTGCTCCTCGTAAACAGCTGTTAATTGGTTCCTCAGATCTTACTACCACATGACCATTTGGCTCTTCTGTTCATGCATGTCTCCATGAGTTAGTTGCTTTTCTCCAAATAAACATTTCTCCCTTTTGCACTTGAGTTTAACAAATGCAGCTCTACAATTTAAGCAATAATACATTTTCTGATTTTCTTTCTTAGCATGTGTCCCCCGAAGAATGTGTTGTGGCACTGAATGAATGTGAGTGGGATGTACATCGTGCCCTTAAGCTAATACGCCTACAGCTGTTACTTCCAGCTCACCGTGTACCAATAGAAGCAGCTCGACACACACTAGCCTCTTTCTCATGGGATGTTAGCAAGGCAGCATCCTACCTTGTTGCTACACGTGGAATTAGTGAAGATACAGCGCAAGTTTGACCCATGTATCGTTCGTTAATGCAACTCGGAGTATAAACTAAAAATATATTGGGCAAATAAAATTGTGGCACAAATTTTTAAGTATATAATTTTTTATTTAACAGTATTATAGAATTGTATATAGAATAAATTATCAATATGTATCATTTCACAATACTGTATATGTTAGCTACTTTGACATTCAATATCACTTGCAGTACAGTATCCCAATAGCTTATATTTTATAATTACAATTACAAATAAAATCAAAACTTCTTGAATGTTGTTATACCATACGGTCCTACTAATTAATACCAAGCAGCAAGGTAATGTTTAAGTCAATGGATGGAAAGTATTAAGCAATTAAAATTATTGCTGCATGTTAGGATTATATATAATCATATTGTTTATAAAGTGGCTACATGTGTAGTTAAGCAATTTTTGCTTTGTATATGGTTTAATTTTAGTATGACTGACAAGTTTCAACATTCTATTTGTTCACACACGTCATACATTACTTTATTACCTTTACATACTCAATTAGCATATATTATCTTTACAAGTTAAATTATTATGAAGCAATTGGTTTTTGTCAGAATATGCACTATTCGCTCTTTAAACTTTGAGTGAGCGAGCATATCAAGTGACAAAGTAGCTATCTAACTCTTCTCTATTCCACTAACGAGATTGACTAATGTACTATATTATTAAGAATGTGCATATTTAGTGGTGAAAGTGAATTATTTATTACATTTCTTTATATATGTAATATACATTGAAACCTGTAGATAATGTCCATAAATTATTGGTCAACATCATGGCATAATCCCCATCCCTCCCCCATTACAATTAGTGCAAGAAATGTATTTTCTTAAAGTAGACTTAACGTGTCTTTGAAAAGCATGTGTGTCGAGAAACTATCCAAGTTGAAAGCAGCTTTCCCAGTCACTCATTGTATTTATTTAAGTCTTCCAGTTAATTAAATTTTGATGCGAGTATTCATGAGATTATTAAGGAGCTTTAAACTGCCTCATTCATTTACACTTTCATTATGCAACTTACCCATTACATTTTATCACTGCATAACATTAGAGTATATAGCGTTGTCCTGTAAGGATAACATTGTGAATCACTTCATTGCATATTTTCATACTTTTGTATTTTTATATAATGTCTTAACATCTGTCTGTCTAGATAGTTAAAGTATTTTAGTGACTTTAAAAAGTGATGTCTTGCATGACGTCATGCAAGCACATGAATGAATTCATTTCTTTGAGCTCATTGCACACATTTAATTTTGATTCACGACAATTTATTGTAATAAATCATATTCCAGTGACCAAGGTATGGAGTTATGTAACATTTAGCAAGTGCAATCTTTGTAAGCCTGTGGTTGAATATACATAAATGACTAAATTGTTTATAATCTTATACTTTTATACAAATTGTGACATTGTAGTACATTACCTTTTTTAATTGGCCAGAAAAAAGGCTATGCTTGTTCAGTATTTAACAAGGCACCAAACCTAGAAGATAATGCACAAATACAACAACATTCCTGGACATACAGAATGCCAATGTGAGAGCAAATAGGCAATCACAGGAATTGGATTCGCTTGGGATTTCATCAATGGACATTATTTCTGTTTTCCCTGTTCCATTGAATAAAGATCCTGAAAATCAAGACATTCTACAAGATAAATAACTAGAATTCAGGGCGGTTTCATTGCTTTGCTGTCAGAATCGCACATACGTTAGTGTGTGACCAATACATAAACCAACCAGAGATGTTTAATATTTTTAGTGGCATGAGGAAGGCTACAAGGATAGGTCACATTTGACAGTTGTACATAATTTTTTTTTTTTTTTAATACTGTAGCTAGCTAACCTACCAACCATCCCTCCAACTGTTGAAGATTGTGTTATAAATGAGAGGTAGAAACCCCACTCCTGTGCCAGGTAAGTCCACTATGGGCTCACCATATATACTGTATAGCGTTAGTGCTACCTGGAACTTTTTGTTCTGAGTACCCGAATCTAAAAACAAGAGGTGGTGGTGGTATTCCAAGTAAGGAATTCTCGTTTGGGGGATAGACCAGGTATGAACGGTTTCTTTAGTAGCAGCACCTAGTCATTATAGGCATTGTGAATATGGCTGAGAACCCAGCAAAACTGTCTTAAATTTGCTAAAGATAAGGTACACCCAATGTTCAATGTCCCTAAAAAAGTGAAAAAAAGAGCTAAAAGATGAAAGGCCCATAATAGCATTGCAAGAGTCAATTACAAGAATAGTAATTGGCACATGAACAGTATGCCTCTGAGCATAGACCTCATAGCTCTATAGCAAATATAGTCGCTGGGAAGTAAGTACTGTAAGTAATTATCAAAAGAAGGCACCAAACCAGGACGGGCTATGTAGCACCATCAAATGCGCAAAATTATCAGAAGGCGCTAAATATCACCAAGGATGCCAATACGAGAACAAACAAAAGGCGAACGATATCAAATGTATCCGATTCACCAAGAATTCTATCGAGGGACAAGCGACCGCGAGGGACGGTCGGAAAGCAAGAGACATGCTCGTCCTGGAAGTCAGGACATTCAACAAGGATATGCACGACAGTAAGAGGGACAATGCACTTTGGGCAATAAGGAGCAGGCGGCACTCCATTAAGTGACCGTGAGTTAAATGTCTCCGTGGTGTAGTGGTAAGACACTCGCCTGGCGTTCCGCGAGCGCTATGTCATGGGTTCGTATCCTGGCCGGGGAGGATTTACTGGGCGCAATTCCTTAACTGTAGCCTCTGTTTAACGCAACAGTAAAATGTGTACTTGGATGAAAAAACGATTCTTCGCAGCAGGGGATCGTATTCCAGGGACCATAGGATTAAGGACTTGCCCGAAACGCTACGCGTACTAGTGGCTGTACAAGAATGTAACAACTCTTGTATATATCTCAAAAAAAAAAAAAAAAAAAAAAAAAAAAAAAAAAAAAAAAAAAAAATGCGTATGGCCAATATGCAACCTCACCAGAGCCTTTTCCCCACCGCTGGTTACGGTGGTAGGAGGAAGGCCATGAGGATACACTACTCTTAAGAGAACGCAGTTTGTTACCAGTAACATACTTGCTGGTAAAGCCAATGACATCAGCAAACTCATCTGTAAACTGAGCAGTAGCATGTGAAAATGTTCAAGGGATAGGATGTTAGAACAGTATGGAGGGTATAACCCTTCAGTCATTCAGGTTAGAGCTTCACAAAACTCAACAGGTGGGACTCTCCATGCAGCTATACGATGGAACACATTGTGGATGTGCAGAGAAAAGCCTGTAACAGGCAAACCATGCAGCAACAGCAGCAGCAGTCTATTAAGGAGACTGAACAGGACTTTGTGGGGGAAAGTGGTCCCAGGTATGGTACAAGAGTGAATTGAGGCATTGTAGATAACAGACTATACTGATTGGTTTGGTCTTGTAATGAAACACCAATTTTTATAAATAATACAAGGTGCCCAACCTGAGGCATAATACCATATAATTGTTTTCATCAAGATTATGAAGGGCCAAGGATAAAGCTGGCCAATATACAGGACATCCATAGTCCAGTTTAAACAGGCAATTGCTTCACCTTTGTAGAATACTATCTGCACTTCAGAGGAATGTGATGAGACCAAGTATGGTAAGGGATTTGAAAACACAGTTCATAGGTAATGGACATACAACCAAGAAATGCAGGTGTCAAAGATCAGCTCCAAGTGCCACATTATCTTTATATAAAAATTTATGGCTATAGAGAACCGTGACTTTACTCACGATACTTAACAAAATCTACATTTGAAGTTTGGTGGAATCTGCTTCCACCACTTTCATTAGTACACTAGATTTGTTCACAATTCTGACATTCAAAAAATTATATTGTCTGTGGTTTTTTGGGCACTTAGTTTCATCTGAATTACCTTGTTCATATACTAACCATTCCAAATAGTCTGTCCTTGTCAGCCTGTTATATTTCCATGTTATGATTAATTATGGTTTCCAACTTCTATCTTCCTGTGAAATGAGGTATACAGTACCAGTAATTCCTTTAGTCACTAACTTAAACTCCTCAGTTCTGTAACTAGTCGGGTGAAGACCACTGGACTATACCTTTGATGCATTTTTAACAGCAGTAAATCCACACTGGTGCAGCACATTCCTGAATCAATCCCCACACACACACACACACACTTTTCTATTACTGTCTATGCTTACTAAGCCAGATCATATGAAGGACGATCCTAATCCAAACATCCAAATTTCTTAAAAGGCGCCACAAATTAAACTTTTTATTTTAGTTTATTACACAAATTAAACTACAACAAATTTCAACTTACCTTTGTGGAGTTAACTTCTGCTTGATCGATAAGGACTTCATTTACCCAACCTAACCTTAAAATTTAATGTAAAAGTTCTTGGCAAGGTCAACTTTGACTACTAGATGCTGTGGTTTCACTTGAAGTTTTTTACTTTCTGATCTTACCAAATATAAATAGATTTTAGACTGCCTCCTTTTAATATTGGCCTCTATTTTTTATAATCGGCTTTTTGTCCTGCCTAAAATAGTGATGTAAACTTCCTACTTCATGATTCTCACTGATGCAAAATTAATTAGTACTCATGCCTAGCCAAAAATCTTCAGCAACTCTCACAATGAAACAGTCATTTTTACAACATTCAATCACTTGTACTTTGTCAAGCTTCCTCATAACATATTCAAGGTAACTGACATGATCTTAGCAGAAAAAATTATTCGGTTTCTATTAAAGTGAAAATGTTAGTCAAGAAAACCTTTCGGTAATGGAATGGCACTACTGTATGTAGAATCAAGTAAAGGAAGAACACATTGGTTGTCAAGATCAAGGGGGCCACGATGAATCCATTTACCGTACAATAAGTGGGTGACCAGCTCTTATTAAAATAATTTTATAAGGAAAATATGCTATACAGCCTGTATATGCTGCTTTTAATAATTTATAATACTCTACATTATTTTGTTATTAATGCATTGTTTGATGTAATTCATGTAGTGAACACAAGATGCCATGTCATCAAGTAACCCAACTGTAAAACCCAGCAAACTGGATTTTTGTTCAAATTAAATAGTAAAAATTAAATAGTCAAAGATTATAATGGCAAAATTACTCAAAGGTTTGGGTTACCAAGATTTGTATTAGCAAGCCCTTAACAGTACCTTATATATTCCTGCAAGTGAGTTGACAAAATACTGTCTAAAACAGCATTTACAAATAATGTTCAGCCAGATGTTTTAATGAGAAGCGAGAATAAACTTTATTTTAGGCCTCTGGACGCTAATCTATTTGTCTCAATATTAACACTTTCGCGCTTTAGATTAGAGATAACTCGTCGCTTTTTTTTCTTACGATTCCGCATAACAGCCTACTTTTCTCGTCAATCAAAAAAATATTTCTATAAATTCCATTTTTTAACCGAAATGGATGGGGATACTTTTGTTTTGTAGAGAATTTATTTGCGAATTTTTTGGCACCAGAATGAATATTATATCACATAAACTTCTATGAGTAAAAAAAAAAATACACAAAGTATGTTTGGGGGTGTGGCGAGCGTGTGGCAGTGGGTTCCCTTTAGCCGTTGATATATCCAACACGTGGGAAATATTTGTATGTGTTATGTATATGTCTGTGTAGGGAATTTTACTGCGATCACTGTCATACAAATTATAAAATGTTTCAACAAGTATAAACATGACAAACATCAAACGAACGAAAACAATGCGTTCGTTTCTGCCGCGAACGCATACTGAGCGACGTGGTTCTATATTTGGCGCTTCTCTTACACATGCTTTGTACAAATGTTATACAGTTCATCTTATAGAAAATTTTATTGCGAACACATTGGTATAAAAAAGAAATACGTACATAGAAAAGTAGGGTCAGGAAACGTATAAACTTTCCAAGCATGATTTCCCCCGTGTTTTCGCCAGTGCGCTCGCGGCTAACTACTCTCCACTTCACACACTCTTGCGGGTGGGCAATTACCTATATTAAACATTCATATGCATATGTCCGTGTAGAGAATTTTATTGCGATTCCAATGACACCAAAATTAGCGATGTAGGACAACTGTAGGCTTCGCAACCATTAAGAGAGTGGAAACATTTTGTTGCTGTTTGGCGCTCTCGGCGAGTGATCTGCAAAGTTTTTTATTTGGTGTTGATAATCCTTATGCTTTGGCGGCATTTTATAGGTATGCTCTTATAGACAATTTCATTGCGAACACAGTGATACCAAATTTAAATACGTGCGCCTTCAATTGTTGTCAGGACAGTCAAAAGAGTGTACACTTTTTCGGTCTTACCGCATAGGCGAGCGAAGTGCCGAAAGCATCTGGGGTATTGTTTTTTTTTGAGCGCCGAGAGCGCGAAAGTGTTAAGTAGTGTACACCTCGCAAGAAATAGTTTTACATAAGGTTAACAAGAATAGTACAGTGAAACCTCTGTTTTCGAATGCCCGTTTTAGAATTTTTCAGTTGTCAAGTTCAGTTTTTTTTTTTAAATTGACTCGGTACTCAGTTTGCCTTGGTACTCAAGTTTGTTGATACACGTATGGGCCGACCGAGCACGTGGCACGCTTCAGTTTACCAATGTCTCCCGCCTAGTGAGCGTGCTTGAATTCTTTGTGAAAAATGTAATTATTTTTGTGCTTTTTTTGGTTTCTGAACATAAAAGTTCTTATGTCACACCATGGGTTCCAAGAAAGTCAGTGGTAATGATCCAACCTGTCCTCTTAAAAAGATCATCGCTTTTGGCCGTTTGCCCGTATGGCCGAAAGTGGACGTAATTTAAAAATTAAAAAAAAAAATTAAAATTTGGGATTTTTTTCAACAGTAAGTTAAGGGTCCTCTGATAGGTTAGGTGGGCAGGAAATTCTCATAAAGTTTCAAAACGTTATGAAAAACGTTAGTTGAAAGTTTTCTCTCCTAACCTGTCCGCGTAAGCCGGACGACTCAAACAGAAAACGGAACAGTGCGTCACTTTCGTGAGTAGATTTCATTTCAAATTACGTCCAAATTTGGCCATAGCGCGCATACGAGCCAAAGGTGACATTTTTAATTGGACGGGTTGAATGTTCAACCTAAGAAAATAGTTGTGAGGATAATGATAGACGAAAAACAAGAGATCATAGTGTGTGCGATGTCTCACTACAGACAAGTGTTAAAACAGGGAAAAACAAGTGTCTATAGACAGATTCTTAGTAAGACAAGCAAGCAGTAAGCCACAACCAGGTCCTAGTGGTATGCTTGCAAAACGTAAGAGTGTGTGTTCCCCAGAAATGTCATCAATGCCTGATGTTATAATGGAAAGGGGACTCCCCTTCCAACCCCCCCCCCCCCTTCTCCTCACCGTCTTCCATATGCCAACAAGAATCCTCCATAATGGTAAAGTACCTATGAGTAGTTTTCTGTATATAGTGTATTTTAGTTAATATTTTTGGGGTGTGGAACAGATTAATTCAATCTACATTATTTCCTATGGGAAAATTCTTTTCGTTCCGTTTTTAATTCGTCTCTGGGAATGGATTAAATTTGAAAACGGAGGTACGACTGTACTCACAGAGCAAAGGAGCAACATTATTATGAAATGCTAATATTTAAATACAGTATGTCTAAAATTTGTGACAAACTATTATAAGTCAAAATGATTATTTAAACTCCAATTGTGAAATAAGTTTTAATATGGGAACAGTTTTCATCCAAGGCCCTGTAAAGCAAAACTTATCACCCAAAGAGCAGCTGCAACTTCAAGTACATTATAAGATCTTCATATATTGTAACATACAGTACTGAATATATATATATGTACAGGTATATCTTTAACAGGTTTATGTAAGAAACTCTATACAAATTTTTCAAAATGTTTGTTCTTTACTATCAAAAGTAATTTTCTAAAGACTTGTGTATCTTTAACATATACCATCATTACTGAAGAAAAACTTGCAGCTGAATGCAATACTGCAAAAGTAGTTTGAGGGAAGGCATAAAAGATGAAAGCTCTGAGAAACTGCCTTTAGCTATAGTCTCTGCGTGGACACTCAGAGCTCCTCGGTAATCACCAGTCTGTACTGCATTCACAATTCGATGAACTCCAGACACCGTAACTGGACTCAACTGAAAATTGAAAGAACACTGGTATAAATTATGTTAATAGAGGGTCCACTTGCACAATTTGTCGATATCCAAATAATTTAATACATAAAATTACACCGAATTCTGAGGCAGCCATTATACTTACAAGAAGATACTCGTATACATCTCTGTATTATGCACAGTACACTACTGTATATGTAACTCTCCCTGTATCTTTCTGCAACATATTACTAATTTCTCCTCTTGTACAGTATTCTAATAAACCATTTCTAAATAGTAATTACTAACAAAATTTTCACTCTTTTTCACTTGTACTATTAGTTCCATTTCTTCATATACTGTATTCTGTCTGTAATGGTGAATAATTTTGTGTATCAATGTGCCTACTCTGGTAAACCTATTACAGTATCACTTGTCTGAAGTAATATTATATACTAAACCTACTAAATTTGATAATTGTTCTTTTTATTAAGCTCCCATTCCCAGCTTAAATCTGTGACCTAAGAGTGTCTGCAGCTTTGAAAATACTGTACATACATTATGACAGTTTTTTTTACTTTACAGTATTCAGTACTCTAAAATACCTAACACTTCTAGTTTACTTTTATTTATCCTAAAGAGAGATAAAAGTTTATTCTTTAATGGATCTGATTGTATAGATTTTTAGACAAGGAAGTAATAGAGATGTTTGCAAAATTGTGAGATACTGTACACGATAAATGCACCAAAAAATCTGTACGAAAACAATGATGCAGAACTGGAAGACATGCCTTGTAAAAGGGTGAGAAGGGGAAAAAAGGGAATCAATCTAGGAAGAGGCCTAACCCACAAACATACCACCACAAAAACAACTACACGGTAGTGAGAAGATATGCGAAAGGGATAAACGCAAACAAGAATGAAGTTATTCTATAAATTCATAAACCAATAGTTACATTTAAATGATAAAATCCAGAAGGGGGGGGGGGGGGGAATTTATCAGGAGAAAGTACCAAGCCATTATAACTATATAGCACTTAGAAGGGATCAGGATAAGGATTTGGGATGGGACACTGGCAAAGAATGGTGCCCAACCACTTGGATGGTCAGCGATTGAACGCTGACCTGATGAAGCGAGATCGTCGCTCTACCATTCAGTGCAAGCGCTATATAATGGGAACTAGATTCACACAAAAAATGTGTGGAACACTCAAAGTTCCCACACTGTCAGCCACCCTCAGTGGCAATGCTTCATCATGTTAAGTGGATAGTTCCAAAGTGTGTTCATGCAAAATGAGATTTTAGGGAACCAGATGCAATGCAGATTTCAGAACAAAACTTCAAGTTCCTTGATGGGTGTAGAGATGAGGTAGGGAAACTGCACAAGAGTTCAGAAGAACAAGCAGTCCAGCTAAAAAGTTTCACCTTCGGTTCTGAGAGAAAGTGCACTCAACCTTAGCAATGCGCTACACATTTTTTAGACAATCTTACAAACAGCGATCCTCACAGATACAGAAAAAAAGGCAATCATTCCAGTATTTATAAAAATTATAAAAAGAACCTTCTATATTACAGACTGGTATTATTGACAAATGTGCTAGTCAAATCATTTGAGAAAAAGCCAAATGGGAGGCATATCTGGTTTTCAATCTGGAAAGTCCTGTGTAACAAAAAAAAAAAAAAAAAAAAAAAGTACAGTACTTTGTTTTTATGATATAGCCACAAATTTTACAGGAAAAAATATGGTTTGGTCGACTTAAAATCTTAAGACAAAGAAGGCCTTTGACAGTCCTACACAAGAGGCCTGTGTAGCCCTTTTACTGTACCAACATGGATGAAAAATGTTCGGACAAAAATACGATTAGTGATTAAAAGCAATTCTAGAAATGTCACTAGTGCAGTACCACAAGTTTCACTTCTAGCATCAGTAATGATCACTGTCTACATAAATGCTCAGAGGGGACTCAAAATTATGTATGCTTGCAGATGATGCAAAATTACTCGGGAGAATATAAGACTTAGATTACTGTCATGCCCTTCAAAATAATCTAGACAAAAAGTGAATGGAGCAACAAGTGGCAAGTGACATAAATGCCATGTAAATGAATGTGGAACAGGCAAAAACAGGTAACTAAATATAGACTAAACAGTCTATAATTATGTTCAGATTCTATAAACCTCTGACAAAGAAAAATCTAGGGGGTACTACACCTATATACCACTTGTTGATCCTGAGGATCAAAACCCCAGCAGCCCTGTCTCTGACCAGGTCTCATGGTTGATGGTCTGGTCAACCAAGTTCTAGGTCAAGATAGAAAACTGCCACCAAAAGATCGCAAAAAGGAACTGAGGCACCTATGCTATGCTTGCAAATTTCAGAAATGCTTTTCAATTTATGAATGGAATAATTAAAACACAACATTCTTGATACTAAAATTGTAATACATTGGAGGGGGAAGAAAGTGGTGAGGAGGAGGAAGGGGAAGGGAGGGGGAGGTGGTGGTGAGGAGGAGGAAGGGGAAGGGAGGGGGAGGTGGTGGTGGGTTGGGGGGTGGTGGGTGGGGGAGGAGTGAGAAAGGGAGGGAGGTAGTGAAAGAGGGAGGGAGGTGGTGGAGGAGCGAGAGGGAGGTGGTGGTGGGTGGGGGAGGAGTGGGAGGAGTGGGAAAGGGAGGGAAGTGGTGGGTGGGGGAGGAGCGAGAAAGGGAGGGAGGTGGTGGGTGGGGGAGGAGCGAGAAAGGGAGGGAGGTAGTGGGTGGGGGAGGAGCGAGAAAGGGAGGGAGGTGGAGGGGTGGGGGGGGAGGTGGGTGGGGGGGGGAGGAGCGAGAGGGAGAGGTGGTGGGTGGGGAAGGAGTGAGAGGGAGAGGTGATGGCTAGGGGAGGAGTGAGAGGAGGAGGTTGGGGGGGGGGGTATGCAGCTGTGATGTGGTATCTGTATCTCAAGCAGCCCATCCATAAACTTGAAAGGGTGTAAAAGCATACAACCAAACAGCTTCTTGGCTTCTGGAGCTCACAACTAAGCTATAAGGTGAGGCTAAAGGCATTAAGTATACCAAAGCGGGTATGTAGAAGGAAAAATAGGCAACATTATCACTATGTATAAAAATAGTGACAGTTGACAAGAAGGAATTTTTTAAACCATCAACTACTAGAACAAAATGTCATAGTTTTAAGAAAACAAAAGTATTGAAAAAATATACAAAAATTCTCTTTTGTGGAGTTGTAGACTGTAGGAACAATTCAACTGTGGTGATGGAGGATGCCTCAACTGTCAGTAATTTCAAAGTGTCATAAGACAAAGATTATAGGGTAAACAGGATACCGTGAGAGTAGCTCCTATCCTGCAGCTACACTTTGGTAATTAGACACACAGACACACACACACACACACACACACACACACACACACACACACACACACACACACGATTCGAGAAATTCGAGAAATTAACGATTCGAGAAAGAGACCTGGGAGTGGATGTGACACCTAATCTAACTCCTGAGGCACATATAAATAGGATAACGACAGCAGCGTACTCTACACTGGCGAAAATTAGAACTTCATTCAGAAACCTAAATGAGGAAGCTTTTAGGGCGCTTTACACTGCCTACGTGAGACCCGTCTTAGAGTATGCCGCGCCATCATGGAGCCCCCACCTGAAGAAACACAAAGAAACTGGAGAAGGTTCAGAGGTTTGCGACGAGGCTTGTCCCAGAGCTACGAGGGATGGGATATGAAGAGCGGCTGAAGGAACTGAACCTTACGACACTAGAGAAAAGAAGGGAGAGAGGAGATATGATAGGGACATATAAAATACTCAGGGGAATTGACAAAGTGGAAATAGATGAAATGTTCACACGTAATAATAACAGAACGAGGGGACATGGGTGGAAACTGGAAACTCAGATGAGTCACAGAGATGTTAGGAAGTTTTCTTTTAGCGTGAGAGTAGTAGAAAAATGGAATGCACTTGGGGAACAGGTTGTGGAAGCAAATACTATTCATACTTTTAAAACTAGGTATGATAGGGAAATGGGACAGGAGTCATTGCTGTAAACAACCGATAGCTAGAAAGGCGGGATCCAAGAGTCAATGCTCGATCCTGCAAGCACATATAGGTGAGTACATATAGGTGCAAAACACAGTTGATCGGAGTAAGTAAATGCATATAGTCCACCGCCAAGCAGCACATGGTCAAAGGAGGAGCTAGATAGTAAACGTGAAGGTCTTATAACAATAATGAGAGAGATTATAGCGAGAGCGGATAACGATAGATCACGACTGTTGATAGTCGGTGACTTCAACTTGAAATCCACAGACTGGGAAGCATATGAAGCTAAAACAGAAGATTTTTGGACCTGTAAATTTGTAGACCTCATCCTGGAAACATTCTTGTATCAACATGTTAAACAAGCTACGAGGATGAGGGAAGGGGACGTTCCCTCCATGCTAGATTTGATATTTACCAGGAAGGAGGAAGAGATATTTGACATTCAGTACCTTCCTCCCTTGGGTAAAAGTGACCATGTCTTTTTGGGAATAAAGTATGCAATGCGTTATAAGCTGGAAGAAAATAAGGAGGTTGAAGCAGTTGAAAAACCAGACTTCAGGAGAGGACATTATGGTGACCTTAGAAATTTTTTTAGTGAGTATAATTGGACAGACTTGATGCTAGGCAAGGAAGTGAATGAGATGTATGGCAAGTTTTGTGAAATATATGATAAAGGCACAAAAAATTTATACCAAAACAGAGATGCAGGACCAGAGAAAACAGGATTGGTTCGACAGAAATTGTGAGAGGGCAAGAGACCAAAAGACACAAAAATGGAATCAGTATAGGAAGAGGCCAAACCCCCAAACATACCAGCGATACAAAGATGCGAGAAACAATTATACAGCAGTAAGGAGAGAGGCAGAAAGAAATTTTGAAAAAGGGATAGCAGATAAATGTAAAACAGAACCGGGCCTATTCTACAAATTCATAAACAACAAATTGCAGGTAAAGGATAATATCCAGAGGTTGGAAATGGGAAACAGATTCACGGAAAATGAAAAGGAAATGTGTGAAACATTAAATGAAAAGTTCCAAAGTGTGTTTGTACAAAATGAAATCTTCAGAGAACCAGACACAATAAGAATTCCAGAGAACAACATAGAGCGGATAGAGGTGTCTAGAGATGAAGTGGAAAATATGCTAAAGGAGCTCGGGAGGAACAAAGCAGCTGGCCCAGATGGCGTTTCACCATGGGTTCTGAGAGAATGTGCATCTGAGCTCAGCATTCCACTTCACCTGATCTTTCAGGCATCCCTGTGTACAGGAATCGTAGCAGACGTGTGGAAACAGGCTAACATAGTTCCAATCTACAAAAGTGGCAGCAGGGAAGACCCCCTCAATTATAGACCTGTATCATTGACAAGTGTAATAGTGAAAGTATTGGAAAAGCTAATCAAAACTAAATGGGTAGAACACCTGGAGAGAAATGATATAATATCAGACAGACAGTATGGTTTTCGATCAGGAAGATCCTGTGTATCGAATTTACTCAGTTTCTATGATCGGGCCACAGAGATATTACAGGAAAGAGATGGCTGGGTTGACTGCATCTATCTGGACCTAAAAAAGGCTTTCGACAGAGTTCCACATAAGAGGTTGTTCTGGAAACTGGAAAATATTGGAGGGGTGACAGGTAAGCTTCTATCATGGATGAAAAATTTTCTGACTGATAGAAAAATGAGGGCAGTAATCAGAGGCAATGTATCGGAATGGAGAAATGTCACAAGTGGAGTACCACAGGGTTCAGTTCTTGCACCAGTGATGTTTATTGTGTACATAAATGATCTACCAGTTGGTATACAGAATTATATGAACATGTTTGCTGATGATGCTAAGATAATAGGAAGGATAAGAAATTTAGATGATTGTCATGCCCTTCAAGAAGACCTGGACAAAATAAGTATATGGAGCACCACTTGGCAAATGGAATTTAATGTTAATAAATGTCATGTTATGGAATGTGGAATAGGAGAACATAGACCCCACACAACCTATATATTATGTGAGAAATCTTTAAAGAATTCTGATAAAGAAAGAGATCTAGGAGTGGTTCTAGATAGAAAACTATCACCTGAGGACCACATTAAGAATATTGTGCAAGGAGCCTATGCAATGCTTTCTAACTTCAGAATTGCATTTAAATACATGGATGGCGATATACTAAAGAAGTTGTTCATGACTTTTGTTAGGCCAAAGCTAGAATATGCAGCTGTTGTGTGGTGCCCATATCTTAAGAAGCACATCAACAAACTGGAAAAGGTGCAAAGACATGCTACTAAGTGGCTCCCAGAACTGAAGGGCAAGAGCTACGAGGAGAGGTTAGAAGCATTAAATATGCCAAAACTAGAAGACAGAAGAAAAGAGGTGATATGATCACTACGTACAAAATAGTAACAGGAATTGATAAAATCGACAGGGAAGACTTCCTGAGACCTGGAACTTCAAGAACAAGAGGCCATAGATTTAAACTAGCTAAACACAGATGCCGAAGAAATATAAGAAAATTCACCTTCGCAAATAGAGTGGTAGACGGTTGGAACAAGTTAAGTGAGAAGGTGGTGGAGGCCAAGACCGTCAGTAGTTTCAAAGCGTTATATGACAAAGAGTGCTGGGAAGACGGGACACCACGAGCGTAGCTCTCATCCTGTAACTACACTTAGGTAATTACACTTAGGTAATTACACACACACACACACACACACACACACACACACACACACACACACAAGCACAAGTGCATGCATACAAACATTTTTCTTACCTGCCCAGCTCTCAGCTTGTCATATAATAATTCCATTTTTGAACCAACATCCTCAAGACGTTGTTTCATTTGCTGAAAAAAATTAAAATAAATAATTTGCAAATGTTATCAACAGTACAATTGGTGGCAATATACATTTTAATCTTTTGAAAAGCTAAACAGTGCATGCCTAATTTCATACCCAAAAGTACAGAGAACCTTCAGAAAATTAGATGTTTATATTAAAGTTATGATGTCAAATGTGCAGGTAAATATTGTAAATATTGTCTAGTCTATAATTGCGACCAATAAGCAAATTAATGATTCCAACAATGAAAAGTGCTTCACAATATTATAGTTAGGTATTCAACTAGGTACATTATGATTTGAACCAAATGATATTTGTTTTTCAATTCAAAATTTCCATTGGTGGCAGTTTTTAACATTACTAACCCTTTATTTTTCTCCAGTGTTTTGTTTTCAGCTACGTTCCCACCTTGAGTAAAACCAGAGCTAAAGAGTGAATACTGTATATGAATAATATTTGTATTACATTTCTACCAAGGGAAAAAACTGCTTTTTCTGATTACACCATTATTTTGTTTTTCATAAGTAGGATTTTTTTTTTTTTACCAAAATTGAGAACAAGGTTCAAGTAACTCAGTACAGTATAAGGGCAAAATGTTCCAAAGACATACACAGAATATCCTCATATATACAACCAATAATCATACTTGCCATAAGAATATATATTTTATGCCCAATCACTTGGGCTGGACGGTACATCAGGTTCAATCCCCGTCCGTCCAAGTGGTTGGGCACCATTCCTTTCCCACGTCCCATCCCAAATCCTTATCCTGATCCCTTCCAAGTGCAATATAGTCGTAATGGCTTGGCGCTGTCACCTGATATTTCCCTCCGTCTATATTTATTACATTTATAGTGGCAAAAGGAACTGTTGACGAAACCACACACTAGAAAGTGAAGGGATGACGATGTTTTTGTCCATCCTGGACCATTTTCAAGTTGATTGTGATGAGGGAAGTTTGTTGTTATAGATTCAGCTACTGGGAACAAAAAGTTCCAAGTAGCACGGGCTATGGTGAGCCCGTAGTGGACTTACCTGGCACAGGAGTGAGGCTGTACCTTATGAGGGAAGGAGGCGAAGGCAATAAATAGGCAAGAGGTGAGAAGGAAATCTAAGAGGACGAAAAAGCAAGGCAAAAGGTTCGAAAGGTAAGGTGTAATAATGGGGATAGTAATGTGAATAAGAAAGGTATCGTAAGAGAAAACAAGGGAAAGAAAAAGATAAATGGAAGGGCTTATGTTAGGTCATGTTTGTTAGAAAGTTTAGAACATTTGAATATATACTGTGAAAGGGAAGAGTCAACAGCAACAAAGCCAGGACTCAGGTTCATGTTGGGTAGGTTGTGTATCAGAGCCGATTCAACAAGACGGCGTCTGTGTAGAGTAGAGGCAGGAAAGATTATTTTGGAGGAAGACTAATGAATAGGATGATTAGAATCCCTAACATGACAGAAGAGCATTGTTTGTGTCTGCAGACTTAACACTTCTTTTGTGTTTCTTAAGTCTGTCATTAAGTGTATGGCCAGTTTCACCAAAGTATTGGAGAGGACAAGACAAGCAGGAAATAGAGTAGACACCAGCTGCATTAGAAGCAGGAGGAGCAGTGTGAACTGATTGCTACGAAGTGTGTTAGTTTATAGAAAGGCAAGCTTTGTCAAGAGGACGAAAGGTATTAGTTAAAGTTTTGCGTTCAGATATGAAGGGAAGGCAGAGCACAGTGCTACTAGTGTTAGAAACAGGTTTAGGATGAAAGAAATTTTATCCTTTATTACACCTTATCTTTCGTACCTTTTACCTTGCTTTTTCTTCCTCTTAGATTTCCTTCTCACCTCTCTCTCTTGCCTATTTATCGCCTTTGCCTCCTTCCCTCATCACAATCGACTTGAGAATGGTAAAGGACGGACCGAAACGTCGTCGTCCCTTCACTTTCTAGTGTGTGATTTGGTCAACATATTTCAGCCACGTTATTGTGACTCCTCGTCTGCAAAAGGAACTGTTCTGCAGTTCTGATGCACTGTATAAACAGTGCATCATTAATTCAGTGAGCTATATGGGACTAGGGACTAATCCTGATTTATTGTACCCGGAGATGCCTTCAAGAGGCATTTGAAATATTTTTTTTTTTTTTAATGATGAGAAAAATATATTTCTTCACCCATTTCTTTCTTCTAATGCTGCTTCCATTTACAAAAATTAATTAAAATGCAATTGGAGTCATTAAGTGTTTCCATTCATACCCTAATGTTTCCCATACTCTATGGGGCTAATTCTAATTTCACTGAGCTAAATTTTAATTTCAACCTATCATATGATGGACAACTACCACAAGGAATGGTCTGTAAAGAGATTTCACCAATAACTAGTATACTGTATTTCCATGTCACTGCCTCAAAACCTCATTTTCAAAGTAAGGAACAGTTCCATTTAAACAAAAACCATGGAAACTCAAAATGGAAACTAACCAAAGAATTATATTTTAAATATGCTCAATAGCTATCTCAAAGTCTCAACTTTTTCTGCTAATGTTAAATCCACCCAAAAAAATCACGAAAAGCCATTTTTCCACAGGCCTGTGAACTCTGGTCCTGCTTCCTAAGCAAATCTGCATGTCCCCCACTTTACCAAATCTCCAAACACTAGTTCGGTGGAGCGGGTGAATAAATCCAAACTGAAAAGTGTGTTGCAAACCAGAGATTTGCTGAAACGAAGTCTGTCAAATCAAGGTTGCACTGTACCATGAAAATGCATTACAAAATTTTAATACATAACAAATATAGTCTTTCAAATACAATATTAATGTCCCAAATAATTCAGTACTGGACACGAGTGTTCCAAATGCAGAGAATATCCCCATACTACAAACAATAAGAACTGAGTATATTGAGTGTACTCTTTTTTGCACTCAAAGCTTATGCACTGCTTTTCCTGGAGCAGAGACTAGAATCCTCACCCCACAAAAGGCAGGGTAAGCTGAGGGATTTATAAGACTACACACCACAACAAAACCCTGCCAAGGTCAAAAGAGGGTTACAAAACTCAAAATGCTCTGAAATGTTTAGTCAGAGTAAATACCAAAAAAAAAACTTTAAAACTATCCCAAACAAAAACACTCACTCACTGCTGTCCCTCCCCACCACCTGATGTCAGAACTAGTCAACCTGAATGTAGTGCAATCTAGTCCTTCACCGAGCCTAAGCACATCCCAAGAAACCACCTAAGCAGGGAAAACTGTACAGAAAAAGGGAAGCCACTGATGGGACCCAGAAAGAGGCATTTCATTATACTAGATACTATTTCTGGGGTGGCACCTTTAGTGGTACCCCATAGCTTCTTTACCAGAGCCTCAGATGAGGAACCCTGCATCACACTCCTAATACATAAAAACTGAGAAAACATGCATGAAAAATAAAGTCACTAGTGTCATGGAAGATTCCACTGGACCCCATATGTACTGTAATGTTTTCTAAGGTAACTATTCAACACTACAAGTGTTGAAGATAAGATAACTTATCTTGTATGTACAAGATAACTATTCAACACTACAAGTACAATGTACAGGACATACAAGAATTTAAACTGACCTAACTACAGCTGTCTATGTGACCCGTCTTACATATTTCTCCTAATGTTAACCACTGGAATGTGCCAACCGAGAAAACTAGGTCGGTGGGAAACTGCGCCAACCGAGAAAACTTTTATATTTTTTTCATACCCATTCAAAGCATGTGCGCAGTAGGTTGTGTACGAAATGGACTCTTAGGACCCCCAGTGAGAGGCAGCAATCTTGGAAAAAGTTTCCAGAATGCCCTAGGGCTGCTGGCTGGGTTAGTACTGAGTGAGCAACCATGGGTGGCGCAAGCGCCTCTGGCTCCCAAACACCTGTCCGACGCGGTGTTGAAAGATCACGCTCTGTTGGTGAAATTCAGATCTTATTGTTTGAAGAACAAAGGTCACGATATTGGTAAACCTAGGCACAATAATGGCCTAACAATAAGGTCGTATGCAAGTGATACAGCACCTATGAGGACGATATAGCGAGCGTATCCAGTTGTAGCTCTGAGAACCACCCTTGCCCACTTATGCCATTTCTAGTTTATATAGAATTTTGGGGGAACACTTGATTTGATGCACAGGGGAAATGTCACAATAAACTCGGCGCAGCACGGTGGTTAAACATGTGCACATTGTAACCCTTGTAATGTTTGAGGAATCTGTCACAAAACTACAAAATAGGAATTATAACTATACAGTACTTTACTTTGACAATAGTAAAAATGAAATCTCAAAACCTTTGTACTTGCTCACATTCCAAACAACTGGCATCAAAAACCAACGTAACAAGCGTCAAAAATTTTTGTTTGCTTTGCTAAACGAACTAGAGGGTTCAGTTCCTGAACCGTTTATGTGCCTCTGTAATCCTTTACACCACCGCCCACAGGATAGGTATGGGGTGTATAATAAAAAAAAATTTAATCGAGCTGCATTTTGAGTGCTATAAGTCAATAGATGTGAACTATGGAACATGCAGCTTGCTGACATTAGTAAGCTAAACTGTGAATGGAGGAATTGTTCAAGATATTTTAGGTATTCATCCTTGCCTTCAATACAATTACCTGCCTGGCCTGAATTGTATGTATGCAATATGAAGAAAAATCTGAACAAATAATTGTTGAGAGCAAGAGCCTGTAACAAATTAACAGCACAATATCAGCCACTTGGAAACTTGTGTAAAATGTATCACTTCTCAAAACATGCACCCAGTTTGCTCAACACAAACTACAGTATTCCTACATATTATTCTTACAAGGAACAATCAAGAAAATGCAGTACAACATTAAATATAATTATACAGTACTATTAGAGTAGATATTTTATACATTTCGTGGCACCCTCTCTTCCCCTTAAAAAAAACTAACCTGATTTTGAACAACCAACTGGCAACGATTATGGACTTCATTAATAACATCTTGAATAACCTGGTGTTCAGTTGGTAGTGGCCCCTTGCTAGCTGGCTCAGGGGTAGGGGCAGCACCCACAGGTGCTGCAGACCCTCCACCTGGTGAATGTGCTTCAACTCCATACTGTGGGTGTTGGAATCCCTGAAATAAATGTTACATTAAATAAATTCTCGAGTGAGTGTACTGTACACACTGTATAGCTATGTACTGAATGTTATAGTATAGAATGGGGCATAGTACTGAATGTTAATTGTTTGGTGAATGGTTTGAACTACTGTACATATGAAGCTGATTAGAGTGGGACCCCCATTATACAGATCCCATGCCCCTCTTCTGGATTCACTAGATAACATGAAATATAAGTATCCAGTTTTCCATCTTCATTTACCACAGTTAATTGGGGTCCACCCCCCATTAACTGGTAAAATATTGCTATCCCCCCCCCCACCCAAAAAAAAAGGTATCCAAACCAAATATACCTCTCCGAGCTATTTAACCAAAAATAAAGTGGAATATGGAAGAAATAATGTTTATTAATATTGTATGAGCAAACAAAGATAACAAGGAAAAAGTTGAACATTACCACAAGAGTAGCACATTGTAAACGAGGAGCCACAATAACGTGGCTGAAATATGTCGACCAAACCACACACTAGAAAGTGAAGGGACGACGACGTTTCGGTCCATACTAGACCATTCACAGTCGACTTGAGAATGGTCCAGGACGGACCGAAACGTCATCGTCCCTTCACTTTCTAGTGTGTGGTTTGGTCAACAGTAGCACATTGTATCACTAAAACATCTTAGACTAAGGGCACAGGGAACCCCCCTTCCCCCTCCCTCTGTCCAACCATTATACGTGGAATAGGAGAAAAAAAAACAACCTAAAAATTATGTGAGAAAGCTTTAACAAATTCTGGTAAGAGAGATCTAGGTTTCTGTCTAGTTTAAGGGTTGGTTCTAGATAGAAAACTATCACCTAAAGACCACATAAAGAACATTGTGCAAGAAGACTATGCTACCTCTTAAAATTCAGAATTGTTTTTAAATACATGGATGGTGAAATACTAAAATAATTGTTCACGACCTTTGTAAGGCCAAAGATGGAATATGCAGCCATTGTATGGTGCCCATATCTTAAGAAGCGCATCAACAAACTGAAAAAATGGCGCCAAGACATGCAACTAAATGACTCCCAGAACTGAAAGACAAGAGCTACATCTTTCTAAACGAGGGTGGGGGGTGACAAGGAACGGGTGTGGCGTGCATGTGTGTGGTGTGTGTGTAAATTTAATATATATAGGATTGGAGACCGAGAGGGTTATGTGGGGAAGATGGAAAATGTGTGGGGGTGGAGATAGGGACATTGTCTGTATAAACTGAAAAGGGAACAAAAAATAATAGAATTTAACTGCATTTAATGGGATAGATGATATATCTGAAATGGACATTTGTTCATGGTAAGTTTAAACTAAGTCCGAGCTGCTTCCATCAGAGATGAGAATGATGAAACTTATACTGTATATCGTTGTTGTATCTCACCATAAACTGTTGAGACGAGTCAGAAGGAACACTTCCTGGTACGGGGCACATTATTGGCTCGGGTGCTTTTGGGACCTCGCTTTGCTGCTGCTGCTGCTGCTGCTGTAATTTAGCCTGTAACAAATTAAGAATAATTTTACTCATCAAAAAACAATAAATATACAAACATTATTACTACTACAGTACACAGTTGTGATTAGAGGGAGGAGAGGGGGGGGGAGGAAAGGAGGGAGGAGGAGGAGGAGAGGGGGGAAAGGGAGGGACGAGGAGGAGAGGGGGGGGAAGGGAGGGACGAGGAGGAGAGGGGGGGGGGAAGGGAGGGACGAGGAGGAGAGGGGGGGGGGGAAGGGAGGGACGAGGAGGAGAGGGGGGGGGAAGGGAGGGACGAGGAGGAGAGGGGGGGGGGGAAGGGAGGGACGAGGAGGAGAGGGGGGGGAAAGGGGGACGAGGAAGAGAGGGGGGGGGAGGAGGGAGAGGGGGGGGGGGAAAGGGAGGGACAAGGAGGAGAGGGGGGGGAAAGGGAGGGACGAGGAGAGGGGGGGAAAGGGAGGGACAAGGAGGAGAGGGGGGGGGGAAGGGAGGGACGAGGAGGAGAGGGGGGGGAAGGGAGGGACGAGGAGGAGAGGGGGGAAAAGAGTGGGACGAGGAGGAGAGGGGGGAAAAGAGTAGGACGAGGAGGAGAGGGGGGGGAAAAGAGTAGGAGGACGAGGAGGAGAGGGGGGGGAAAAGAGTGGGACGAGGAGGAGAGGGGGAAAGTGAGGGACGGGTAGTACCGTGTTATATACCTCAGCTTGGCCTGGCTTAATTTGTCATTTTAGCCAAGATGTCAACATAAGAGATGTTGGTTTGAAAAATTGACTAATGCACCCAAAGACAATCATTAACAATTATGACATGAATGTTACTTCAAAATGAGAGGGGAAGGAATATAGCTTAATAAAATACTTTAAAATGTCCTTCACATCTTGAATTTGCCCTCGCTCCTCCTAAATGTTCTGCTCCCCTTGCTTTTTCAGATTTTTGCATGCGAGCGAGTGAGAATTGGATTGATATTCTCATACCCACAAAATTATCCATACAATTAACATGTTACAGTATACTTGTGCATTTATGGCATTCTCATACACTGTTAGTATATAAAGTATGAAGCTCCTAAGTATTACCCTGTCAACAAATTAGTTGGTAAGCCGACATGCGACAGGGATGATTCAAGGTGAGAATATTTTGCAATTACTGTACAACATAATTTACTCAACAATTTCAGTGGAATATAAATACTAAACAACATTGACAAGTTATATTATTGAATTCTTTGTTGTACAGTGGCACCTTGCTCAAAAGAACTAACTGGCACTGGGCCTGTTATACCAAGGAATGATATCCACTGAACATTGCACAATTTGTTGTTTTTATTGCAATCCAGTATATTTTTTACCATAAATGATAAAATACATCTTTTTACATACACAACAAAATGATGTATCACAATGCATTTTAAGTACACTTGAAGATAAAATTGAAGATTATAATTTAAAGATAAACTTTTCTTTACTGCACCTTGGAGGAAAGTAGATTAACAAGGGTTAATCTGTTTAGGCAGAATGTGGGTACTATGTGCAAAACACAAACCCTTAACCTTCAAGACTATGGTGCTGCATAAATCATTTAAAAGCAGCCTCAACTAACCACTTATGTTTTGATTTCTAAAACATTTCATTTTGAATCATTTGTCACCAGTTCTCTCTCCGATTTGGAAGATTTAGAGTTTGCAAACTTTTCTTAATTTATTTAGCTATTTCTTCCATGTTAAATATTACATTTTCCCTACCCTAGTACAGTCTGATTATTACTATTGACAGACCTTTTCATCTAAAATAACAAATTTATGAAAGATTTATATTTAATTACAATTATTATAGGACAAAATTATTATACAAGTTATAAATGCAACTATTAATTAAAGATTCCACACTGCAATTGAGTTGGAGGACAAAAGAGGTGAGAGTAAGCATAGGGTGCCCACCACACTGCTGCCACCATAACAATGCCCTCTACTCTACTGTACTGGCAATCATCATAAGTAGCATGGTAGCAAGTTGGGGATCACCTGTATTCCTTGCTTGCCATTCAAGTGCCAGGCTTATTAAAAGTGCAAGCTTCTTTTAACCGACTTAGATTAAGAATGAATTTATCGGTGCAGATTTTTTTTTTTAATTATGTAAGGCTCTTGTGCCATTTGAGGATTACAAGCAACACCAAATGTGTGTGGATGGCATACCTTACAAGTACAGTAAATGGTAAGTAGCAAATCCATCTTCAATTATAAATTATAAACAACCATTTTTTAAATTGCATTTAAGAAACAAAATGAGCACAAGTATAGCTATGCAAAGAAAACTATAGTGTCTGTATTTGCCACCACAGAATGTTAAGGGCAACTGTAAATAATATAAAAGTTAAGGTGAAACAATATTAAAATATGTAAAAGTTGCAAGCCTTCTGATTCATGCAAAATATTCCTTAGTGTCTCTAACTCTATATTTATCAAATAATATAGTGCACTGCAGTATTTGATTTTCCATTTAATGATACCGTATTGGAAATTACAAATATTCTAAATGACAGAAGTAAGATCCATATTGGTGTTAATGTCTACCTCAGTATCATACAAAACACTAAATGCAAACAGTTGAGGTGTCTTCACTTATGTTTTAAACATGGCTGGTATATCTATGTACACAATGCTGGTTTCTTTGACACTATCAACTTACAGATATTTTGGATATTTTTGTAATGGAAGCTCTTGCTAATAATGTAAGGAGCATTATAAACTGCAAAGCAACAAAGGTAACATGAAGAATTCTTAACCTCAGTGTAGATCTGAAACAAACTAGATCATTGCAGTATAAAATACTTCAGAACCTTTAATAGTCTTGGGAGAATTTTCTGGCTATAATTAGCATTACTAGAAGCTTATCATGCTTCATGCTAATCATTTTGAACAAACCTGCTTCAGCATCAGTAACTTCTTGTCCCCCGAGTGACCGCCATGGAACTTAGGCTCTCCATCACACTGTTGTCATTCCATAAAATTTTATTGGTAATTAATGTTTGAAATACTATGCAAGCCATATTTAAAGTTAGGAATAATACTAAAAAGTACTCAGCCCAGGTGAATGGAAGGAATAATACTGTTTCCTACACTGCTAATTAAAAAAGCAATTACAGAAATTACTTTGATCGTTTTTAAAATACTGTACTAGAATTTTTTTTAATTTTTTGTTTAGACCCATTACAAATAGACATTCTTATCAGTTTATCAACTTAAAAATCTATATTAAGATATCCCAATATTGATTCACAAGCTATTTTGGACAATCAGGGAAAATATCTAGCAAACATTAACTTGAGGAATCAATTAATGGTTCAACATTGTGTAATTCCAACAAATAATTGGTATTCAATGTCTTTTCTTACAAAAGGCACTTGATCTTAATTTCCAACAAGCAGGAGTGACGTTCTATGTTTGATTCTCATTTTCACATTAGCATTAAGAGTTCACTCAACAATAACGAAGCACCCTTCTCTCCTCCTTGAGGTAGATGGTGAATAGATGGTTGGGAAAGGAAAAGGATGCACATACAATTTAATCAGATCTGTGTGTAAGCCTATCCAATATGAGCTGATCAATAGTTGAAAATAAGGTAGAAAGTTAAAGTTAAATTACAGTTAGATGAAAGTCTAAAATGAAAAGCATTGGATTTATCATGTACAGATTTCATTCTATTCTCATGTTGTCGATACCACTTGGAATCATTGGAAAAAGAATTTAAGTTGCTCAGCATTTTGAGACAAAGATTAGGCGAGAAAGGAGGAAAAGGACGAGGACTGTAAAAGTAAGAGAAATAATTAAGGTAAGAAGGGAGTATACCTATTAATGAAATGTGATATGGAGTAATGAATCATATCTCATGGCAGAGTACAACGTGCTTATGTGAAAAATTAATGTTTGAGAGAGTTAATGTGACTGTGATGATTGTGCATGCTCTGCGATAGGTTTTTGATTCGGGAGAAGCACAGGAACTTGCTCGTAATCCACCATCACTGTGCGATTTGAATGGTCAAACAAGAATATGTGAGAAAGTGATGGGTGTGAAAGACATTTGATGTGACAAGAAAAATAAATAAAATCTGAAGACTGAAAAATGTGCTACAAAGGAAAGTTATGTATTACCATTAGAGAACATACTTCAAGCAAGGATACACAGATGCAATGAATGGCACTGTGCAAAAGATTACAGGTTAAAATATCAAGTAAACTGTTTTTGGCAGGCAAAGACTGGGGTGAAGAAGTACCATAAACCAGACCAGGTGGGAACCACAGAACTCACCGATGGTAACAATTATGGTAATCATGCCACAGGATGGAAAACCCTAATCCCCCCTCCCCCCCAGGATGACTGGAAATGATATTAGAAGACCAAGAGCAACCAAGGACACAAACCAGGATGTAACTGTGAATGAAATCAGTAAACCAACTGTTATGAATCTGGTGAACATGGTCTTATTTTGCAACAACTGGTAGATACTGTACTCAAAGTCGATAACTGATGAAAATGCATGTGTAAAGCATTAGTGTTGTGAGGCATAAGAAAAATAATGAGTAGGATCTGTAGAAAAGAACTATGCAAGAAACATTTATGATCTTAGGATAGAAAATGAAAGCTATAAAAAAATAAGATTAAAATTTGGAATACAATTCAGTAATAAGGTTAATGAGAGTGTACACTGATGGTTTGGGGTTTCTACATTAATAAATTATATGAGTGGCAAAGTGTAAACAAGTTCATTTTGAGACAGAAGGAGAGGAAAGAAGATAAAGAAGATGGGCAGACATGTTGCATGAGTGAGGAAGTGGGAATTAAATGTTAACTGCTTGAGAAGTGGTGTGAAATTAAATTAGTTAACACTTTCAGGGTCTGGCCCCTATTGCATGTTCAGCAATAAATGGACTGGCTCGCTCGGGGCTTCATATACCTGTAATGAAGTGTATAGATATGTTTGCAGATGATTGCACTAAATAGCTGTAAAAGAAAAAAAATTACAGTACACATACTTGCATACTTTCGCAAGTAATTTCCCAGGTGATGAAAAATCTTGAAGGCTGAGTGATTATAGTGTAGCAATTATTTCTTTTGATGTTTTTAAAAATGGGAAGAGCTAGGTTGTATGGAGGAGGGGAAGGGGGGCTGGGGTACTGCTTTAAATAGTTTTCACCCCCATGAAATTGAAAAATGGGAAATAGTACTACATAACATGGTACTAATATAGTAATGATAAAGATTACACAATTACCATAAGAAATAAGATTTGTATATGCAGGTACAACTAAGATTGCCTCTGCATGTAATGTAATCTTCACAAAGATGGGTCTAATTTTGAAAGCAGAAATGAGAATTAAACAAAAGACAATGTTTATGGGGATGTAGACTTGAACATGAGGATGATTATTTATAAGGCAATATTAAAAAAGCCAGCATTTAAGCCACCAGACATCTCCATATTAGCTTTCTTGCAGAAACCTATGAATATATACAGAATACCACTTTTTATTAACAGCTCCACATTTTTACATATTAAAGTAACACACATACTAGAGGAATCATTAGAATCCAGATATAATCATTATTTACAGCTGTAAAGAAATAATATTTGCATAACACACATTCTAGAGTAATCACTGGAATCCGTATATTATTTACAGCTGTAAAGAAATAATATTTGTTTCCCAAATTATGTCTAAATGTAGTCACAATGAGAAGGCAAAACTGATATACTGGTATTTCAAAATACTTACTGACGTCAACATGTGTAGACACATCTGTTCATTGTTCAACACAAAGTGGAATAAAACTCACTTTACGAGAGGCTGACATAGGAGGAGGATCATTCCAACCACGTGGTACTGATGAATCAAAGGCTGCTGGAGTTTTGGCGAGTGGCTGTGCAGGTGGCAAATGTTGCTGCTGGTCACCATACATTGAGTTTACCGCAGAAGTAGCTGCTGGATTGAAAAACTGTGGTGGTGGTGCTGGGGCTGGCACAGCAGATTGTGATGTATTAAAAGGCATTGGATTTACTCCAGATGAAGGTGGTAGGAAAGGAGCAGGTTGTGGCTGAGCTGGGTTAAGCATGTTAGTTGGTAGTGCAGTTCGTGCAGCATCTTGGGAGTAACGGCTAGGACCTCCACGGCGAAAACCTACAAAGAAAACAGAGCAGGCAACTATACAATTGCCCCGTCTTGTTGGGCTTTTTTTTTTTTTTTTTTTTTAGCACTTATAATGTGTAAAGAAGTTAATGTGAACATACTACAGCAAATTATCTGTTGCTTTACCATTCTCATTTAAGAAAAAAGAAACTGTCAAAGATGTAATGGCCCATGCAAGGCTGCAGCTATTTATACCAAATTTACTCATAGCATTACAGTTACACAGTATTATAACTACACTTAAAACAATCCTGCAGCACCATGCCTATTATATTACTAGGCAATATGATACATAAATCCACAATCCACTTTGCAAACCAGAACAGTATTTACCAAGATCTCAATTTAAACTCCTTCAACTTGTATCTATTGTTTTATTTACTGTTGACATTTTGCACACTATTAATATCCCTCTTTTTATACCTTTTCATCTACTTTTATACACTAATCATGTTCTCCCCAGTTCTTCTTACTCCCCATTTTAGAGGATGAAAAATTAAACTTTTGTAATCTCACTTATTATGGGAGACTTCTAATTCCTGGGATTAAATGTCATCCTTCTCTGCCCACATTCAAGTCAATTTGTATCCATTCTGTAATAATGTCCAAAGTTGAACTTCATACTGTAAATGTGGCATAACAAGGGCAAAAGAAAGCTGAATAATAATAATTATATATATCTTATTATTAAAGCTTCTAAATATGAATCCCAGTGTGCTTACTTACCTTACCTATCAGTTACTACAGGGAGTGAGATCCAACTCTTTATGCCCCACTTGCTTGCCATTTATACCTGACAAGCTAATCACCTCTCTCAGCATTAACACTTATCATATTTTTTCTTAAAGTTGTGGATGGAATTGGCTTCAACAATCTCTTCCCTCAATGCATTCAATTTGCCAACCACCTGTACAGGAAATGAGTACTTCCTTACATCTCTTCAATCAAAACCAGTGTCCAATTTCTACTAACATCCCCTTGACCTACTTCTCTTTAATTTAAATAGGCTTCCTTTGTCCACTTTGTCTATTCCCCTCAGGATGTTGTATATAGTTATCATATCCCCCCCGTTTCTTCTTTCCTCTAAGGTTGCAAGGGCGAGTCATCTCAATCTCTCCTCATAGCTGAGGCCTCTCAATTCTGGTACTGTACTAATTTAGTTGCAAACTTCTGAATGTTCTCAAGTCTCTGTTTATGCTTTACACAGTGTTGGTTCCATGCTGATGCTGTATACTCAAGTAATTTTCTCTCACAGGCAGTGTGTATGGACTTGAAAGACTCCTAGTTTGTTCCAGAAATGACTTATGTTTGCTAACTTCCTATATGTTGCTGATACCCTCTTCACATGAGCTTCTGATGTTAGTGTTGAGATTATATCTACTCCCAGGTGTTTTTCTCTTATAGTTTCTTGTAATTGCCTTCCCCTTATGGTGTAGTTAAATACAGGTCTCCTGTCTCCCTTACCCATTTTCAATCTATATAAAGTTTGCTAAGGTCGTCTTGCAGCACCCTACAATTCTCTTCAGTTTTCTGATTAATGTTTGCATCACCTGCAAACATCGACATCTCACTCCCTCTGCAATGTCCTTTACACAAACTAAGAAGAGCTATAGTTCTAAGACAAAGCCTTGTGAAACACCACTTTTCACTGCCCTCCAGACTGGCATAGTGTATCTGACTATGACCCTTTGTTTCATGTCAATCAAGTAGTCCCCTATCTAGTCCAGTGCTTTTCCTGTTATCACCGCTAGTCTTTCCATCTTGCTCACTAGTCTTTTGTGAGGAACTATTAAAAGCTGTTTGGCAGTCTAGGAATATGCAATCTACCAATCCTTCACTCTTATTTTCTACCCTGTCATAAAATTCAATCAAGTTTGTAAAGCACGATTTTCCCCCTCTGAAGCCATAGTGCCTTTTATAAAATTTACTCCCAAAAATTTTCACTTTTTTGACAATTTTTTCTAGCATCTTGCATAGAATGCATATTAATGACACTGGTTTACAGTTTAGTGCTATTCAGAGGACATGTCTGTCCTCTTTTTTAATACAGGAACAACATTTGCCTTTTTCATGTTTCTGTTAGCTCTCCCATCTAGTGTAATGTGGAACCCTCCAGTTAATTGGTAACAGAAGATCCCTGCAGCTTCCTTCAGTAACCATGGTGATATCTGATCTGGTTCTACTGCTTTTGCTACACCCAGTTCTTCCAGGTATCTTTTCACCTCTACATCCTCTAGTGTTGTTTCTGGCAATGTGTCATCACCCATCCTTGGACTGGTTCCAATCTGGTTCCAGTTTGTAGATCACCTGGTAACCTTTTGTTCAGCTCTTCACATGCTTCTTTACCATTCTCCAAGAGTGTTCCTCCCTGTCCCCCGCAGTCTGATCACATGGTCTCATTCTATTGTCTTCCTCCATAGATGACTAACAGCTTAGGATAGCTCTTTGCTCCTGCCTCTATGTCATTTTCAAACTCCTGCTCTGCTACCCTCCTTTTCCTGGTGTACTAATTTCTGGTCCCCTCTATTTGCCTCTATACCCATAATACAGTACCTACATACTGTACTGTATACCCATGTCTCGTACATTCATTTTATTTTTTCCTTAAGATTCATGGTAATTAATCATGATGCAAATTTTTCTTTGAAGCGAATTTTACCACTTCAGCATTGAAAAGCTGATACCTGGTTGTGTGATGTTCAAATCAGAGTTTATATGTTCACTGTTTCACTACGTTTACACAATGTGTGGAATAACTATTTATGCACACAATTAACAAAAACAGTGAGTACTGTAAATACGCCTACAATGTAAAATGTGCACCTATATTGCCTGTAAATCCATTCCTGGCAGAACTCAAAGGAAGAGTTTTGCAACCCATAACCTTTGTTGCTATTCTGAAATCATCGTTCAATAGTAGAAAAGACCAAATTGTGATTAGATGATAATCACTAGCTGCTAACACAAAATAACCTCACTGAACATAGGCAATTAAAAATGCTATAATTTTTCATGAATCTAGGTTAACTCCAATACATCCACATGAATGTATTAATAATTTTTAATAATAATTCATTGTGTCGGGGGACAAGAAGCCAGAGTGTAAAGCATGTTTGGCTTTTATTGAAAGCCAATTGCCAGTAATAACTAAAATTAACATATGACTGCAAAAATTCACCACCAACTAAGCTTCAACTCACAGTGAAGTATTTACAGTGAGACTTGACACTAAATTAACCTTCCAGTATACAAGAATTATTATATACTGAAATTAATATGAGAAGCCAGAACAAAGAATGAGTTAGTGTTATTTAGATGGCAGCATTCTGATGCATCTCCAAGGAGGTTTTAGAAAGTTTCACTGCTATTTTTACTTTTGATACAGCAGGCACACCAATGAAAACAAAGATGCAGATTCACCCATTATCCGACTGGAAACAGCCAAATTTCAAAATATGACGATCCTGGTCTTAAAAGCAAAGTCTGAGGGTAAATAGCCGTTTTCTGTACTTTTTTTGCATAAGCTATTAGGAAATAAGTCTATCCAGGAACAAAATTGGTACATAGTGGAAAAGAATGATAAAGCATATACTGTGCAGTATTTTTTGAGTTTTGCAAGAAAGTGCAAACGTGAAATTATACAATATTTTTTTTTTAAATCAACCAGTTTTTCAGTACACAAAATATTTAACTATTTCTAATTGAGATACCATACTAGACAACTTTTAGGAAATTCAAGAGATCTCAACAAGAACATTTTGCCAAATTATTACTGTACTAACCTACAGATCCGGTGGAGGGAGGAGCTGCAAGTGGGGGGGACGTTGGCTGCATTGTACCAATAGAAGGTACCCCATAATGAGGCATCATAGCAGCTGGCTACAATAGAAATTTATTATTAACAAACACATGCCAAAACCTTTAATTCAATTAAAACTAAGCAAAGTAGCAGGGCAAAATAAACCTTTAAAAATAAAGTTCTTGGATTAACCTTTTCTTTAATGAAGAACCTGGTAGAGTAGCTAGATCTAGACCAGCTAGCCTCTGCTGACTACGGAAACTACCATGCAGGAAGTATACAGTTAAGGGGTATACACACTTGGCAGGTCAGCACCATATACTGGTATCACTTCATTTTCTCTTCAAAGATTAATTTTCAATTGCATTTATATGCACAATGAAATCACATTAATATGATCTATGAGAATAGATTTCTTTGGACCACTCATGTTTAACAAAACTGCTCATTCTTTACCAGTATTTTTTAAGCAAATGACAGTGGAAAATAATGCAGAATTATTAATCTTGACTTTAGGAAAACCTTTGATACTGTGCCTTTACTATTTACTAATTTTGTATTGAATTAGCACCCTAATTATACACTAATGATTTAAAGAGGCACAATTGAATTAGGGTGCTACAATAACTACATTAAAAACGCTGGTATGTATGAAACTGCAGACCCATGCAAGACACAAACACACTATACTCCATCACAGCCACTATAATATTTAGTAATAGTGGCTTTAAGCATTTTATGTACTAGCTCTATCTATAAATTCATCAATATTTGTATCACCCTTGTATGTACTTTACCTGAATAAACATTTGAATTTGAATTTGAATATTAACCTACACTTGAAATGATAGTGATCACATGTCTTATGTTACCAGAAACTCGTTCCATAATTCTAAAACCGTTGTTCAAAATTATGATTAATCTTTTTTGAATCCAGAATTATCCAATTTGTTTCCACCATTTTATTCTTATTTTTAGCACATTACAGCATTAATATTCCTAATCTCATGGTCTCCCATTATTAGTGATAGGAAGCTTGTTCGTCTTATCAAGGTTTCCTTAGCTACCGACAGAATTTCCCCACGATGCGACCCACAACAGGAGGGTTGGGGGACTTTTCCCCACGATGCGACTCGCGACAGGACCCATAATAGTAGAATGAGCCATTCTGCTATTGATAAAGGCTTGAAATGGTCAAATGAACTATTTTTTTTTTTTTAGTATGTAGTACAGTATATATGATTGTAGTAGTATGTAGTACTGTATGATTGTATATATCTGGGCCTCAGTTAGGCCTTCAAAATACAGAAAAGCACAAAAGCATGTGCTTTGACCTTTTGTAAGGTCAAAGCACATGCCAGAGAAAAAATACTAAACTGGATCAAGGCATAGCCGAAATACAGAAAACAGAGGGTCAGTATAAATGACAAATGTTTTTAAGAATTAACAACAATCTGGATACTGGAGTGAGTAATATTAGCCCGTTTGAGAATGAAACAAAGTTAGGGCATGCAGTGATTTCAAAAGAAACTAATGAAATGCAGTGAGACTAACAACTCCAATGCAGGACAAAAAAATTGGCAAATGCAGCATTAATGTTGAGAAATACAAATTCCTTAACCTGGGGAGAGAGAACTATAATATATAATGCATCACTGTTATAGTCATAGATAGACAAAACTGTGAGACTTCGAAGTCATGATTAGTAATAACCTGAGATTGAGACATCAATGCACAAAATAAAGCAAACAGGGTGCTGGGATTTATAATAAGTATCGGCAACAAACACATTAATCTTCAGATATAATTATCACTGGAGAAGCCTCACTTTGAATAAGGTATGCAGCTCTGGTTTCACCCACTACAAAATGGACAGATTTAAGAAAATACAAAGGACAATGCCAAGGATCAGACTTGGTATCTGAAGCCTTTCCTATGAAAACAGATTGAAGTCTCAATCTGATCTCAATTGACTTAAGGGTACAATAAGGTTTATATAAACAGGATTCCAAAACTGACAGGTCAAAACTTGCAACATTATGTACAAAATGGAAAATTTTATTTTAGGAGACAAACGTACTGATTTTGGAAAAGGGTTGTAGACAAGTGAAATGGGCTGTTGTGTAACATTATAGAAAAAAGTTTGAGAGACTTTACGAATATATTGCATAGGTGTGTAAGAGAGGCGTGTACATTTAAACAGAACCTGCCTAGTAAGAAGTCTGTTTCAGTGTCCCCTAATTCTAATGTTATGCCAATCAATGATACACTTACTGTAGTGCTTCTCATTCCCTCAGTCAAGATGAACACATACAGCATAAGACACTTGGCTTTGCTTTTAGCAATCAAGTAAAAATGTACAGCAATATATTTTTACAAACTACAATCAAGTGTATCAATATTACCTGAGGACCTGGAACTGCTGGAGGTGGTGGGCTGTAGAAAGTAGGCGATGGTGTTACATGAACAGGCTGTGACGAGATTTGATCTCCATATATTGAACGCTGTTGATCTTGCACTGAAGGTGTGAATTGACTTGGCTGAAAAACAAAAATAAAAAACAATAAAAAACACTGACTTAAAAGGGGGGGGGGGGAAGGGGGGGGGAAAGGGGGGGGGTTAGAGTGGGCAAAAATACCAGGGAACACATTGGTGACACAATCCCTAAAAAATTTGCAACCCATTCTCTGAACAAAACCTTAAAATAAGCCATATAAAAGTTTAAAGAGAAAAAAAAGATGGACAATTTCTTTGCCTCTACAGAGATAAGAGACTTGCCTTTAACATTCACATATCACAAATCAAAATCAATTATTCAAAGCACACAGTATACTATAAATATAACCCCATTATATTACTCACTAATTCATCCATATCTCAACTACTGTATCTGTGCATGAGGTTAAACCACACCTACAGTACTGAACATTAAACAAATCACCATCCAGCAAAAATTGGCTATCAAATTAACAGTCTTTTCCTCAAAGGGGGGGGGGGGGCAGCCTAGATGACTTTCTTCATTTAAGGAGTTGCCTGTTGGACTTTACCTTCCTTGAAAAAGTGGGAGGTTGGGTTTTATTTTACTTGGAGGAAGAAGAAAGGGGGGGAGGGGGGTGGAAACCTGTAGGCTATTCGAACCTTGATGGGGACACCCTGTTAAGGTTTCTTCCCTCAGGGAGGGGCAGGCAGTAGACTGTAATGCCTCCCTTCCTCAAAAAGAGGAAGGGAGGCAGCAACCTGAAATTCCTCCTCTTTCCTTCATGAGGGAAGGGGATGTCAGCCTTCATGCAGAGCTTCTCCTCCATCCTTAAAGTGGAAAGAGAGCGCCAACAGTGTCTCTTAGAGGGCTTCTCCTTCAGATACAGACTAACAACACCTGCATGGTAATCAGTACAGGTATAATGGAGATAAAAATATTTGTTTCACATAGGCAGACCAAATATTTAATGTCTGGAGCCAAGAGCGAGTATGACACCATTGCCCCATGTAACAATGGTGAATTCTGGTGTCGTCGTTACCGTCATTGAGAAATTTGCAAGGAACAAAGAGCTGGTCACACTAAATGATGCTGTAGTATCCCCTGCTTTGCAAGTAACAAAATATTTTAATGCAGGAGCAGGAAACATTTTCTGTACAATATTACAGGTATTGAATCTGGTGCACTAAAAAATGCCCAGAGGCTGATTTTACCTTTTCCACCTATATGTGACTTTTTGAATGGATGCTTTATTTAAAACAGTACATTCTACTTAAAAGTACACAGAAAATATTGTGTATTGTAAATCTAATAATATAAATCCCAATTATTTTACTATTTACAAAATAACAACATTGGTTTACACATTGTGTATATTTTTTTGTAATTTTACAATTATACTGTAATTATATTCATACTAAAAATTTGAATTTGTCAGAAGCCTACTTGTTATACAGAGCCATCAATTGATTGTGGTAAGACTTCAAAAATATTTCTACAAACAATGTAACTACAGTACAAGACAATTTAGACAACTGTCAGAGCATTTTACTGAACGTAACAATTGATGGCAGTAGAGCATCTAATAACATCCCTCCACTATCATCAATATGAAGGAAGACATTGAAGATGCTTTCTCAGAGGTAATATGGTGGACGGGAGTGAAGATAGTCTTAAAATCATCATCAAAGTACTGAACTCACAATACTAAAGTTAATGCTAAGCACTACAGTATTTTGATATGAAATCAAACATTTCTTGGAAAAGTAAGTGTCAGCACTATGGCATTTCTCCCACTTGTTCTAATGATATTCTTGACAACTGTCATGAACAATTTATCTCTTCTCCAATCCATTATGAACTAATATGATTATGAACACTTACAAATAGTTCCACCACAAAACATGTTAAGGACAAGAAAAAAATAATCACTGGAATGAAAATACACGAGCCTTGTGTGCAGTGATATGTGGTTGATCCCCAAATACTGTACCCATTATAATGACTAGGCTCCACCTACACTGTTCTCACATATTTCAAGAGTTGCATCATGTAGATGCAAATAGAATGGTTAAGTTTTTTTTTTTTAACCAAGATTCGAGGTCAGTTTATCATCGAACAATTAACAGCACTACCACACTTGATATTAAAGTATGTCATCAAACCAGTGTAGTTTAACACTTTCGCTCACCCCGCGCGCCACCCCTCGACAGGGCGATATGGGCCCCAGCGTGTCACGGAAGCGCGCGTTAATTCCGAAAAGTGTATACTCTCTTCAACTTTGTCACCTCAATTCTCCTTCTACGAGAATAAATTTGGTATCATTGTGTTCGCAATAAAATTCTCTACAGCACTAAATGCATATAAACTCCAAAAGCCCGGCTAATTACCCGCAGCAAACAGAGAAAGTGCGAACGAGTTACCCGGGAGCGCGCAAACGGGATAAAATGTTTTCACTATTTTCACTCTGGTCACCTCAATTTTTGTCCTAGGTCTTTCATTTTGGTCTCAATGGGTTCGTAATAAAATTCTCTAGAGGAACATTAGCATATAAAAAAAAACACCTGGTCACGCTCCAACCGCCGACGAGTTGAAGACGGGCCACGCGTTAGCCGTGAGTGAGCGCTCAGAGGCCTTCCTACTACACTCCCAATTCCCACCCTTTTCAAGCCTTTCTTTCGCAATTTTCTTCCTGGAAGGGCCTTGTTCATGATTACTATCCATCGTGGAGTAAGCGTAGATAGTTTCTAAAGCCGCAGTAAGAAATATAGCCACGGAAAATAGCCGAAATGTTCACACGTTTGAGATGCGAGGGGAGACGACATTGGTCACAACAGTGGAGCAAAGACAATGGGCCCACGGCGTGTGCCAAGCCGCCTGAGGGCCACGAGGCTCAACAAAGGAAATGGGAAGACATCGGCGCACATTTTAAAACCAGTCCCCAAAAAATCGGATACAAACCTGATTTTTGGCGAATTTTTAAAGTGGATGACGCAATGCTGCGTCATCCCCGGCATTACCGCCAGTAAACGGATGACGCAATGCTGCGTCATCCCCGAGCGAAAGTGTTAAGCAGGGAGGTATAAGATTACCATTGGTCTCACACTGGGTGACAAATGTCACACACTGTACATGGTAAGTGGAAAAGGTATCATTATTGTATAGGTAACTAGGCCTCGTAGCCTGGTGGGGGGCCTCGTAGCCTGGTGGATAGCGCGCAGGACTCGTAATTCTGTGGCGCGGGTTCGATTCCCGCACGAGGCAGAAACAAATGGGCAAAGTTTCTTTCACCCTGAATGCCCCTGTTACCTAGCAGTAAATAGGTACCTGGGAGTTAGTCAGCTGTCACGGGCTGCTTCCTGGGGGTGGAGGCCTGGTCGAGGACCGGGCCGCGGGGACACTAAAGCCCCGAAATCATCTCAAGATAACCTCAAGATAACTATCAGATATACTGTACCTAATAAATATTGCAGCATTAATAAACCTTAGTGATGATTTAAAATACAGGTGGAATAAGAACCTGTAAACCAATCAACTCATTTATCTAATTTATTACTTCCAAAAACGGCAATCTCCTTTTGCTTGTAAAAGTCTTCCACAAAAACATTTTAAATTATTTTCAGCATTACAATATTTAAAGTACAATTCAATTGTTACACAATGGCAACATTTAATCAAACAGAATTAAGCATGTTTAAAAATAAAATGTATGAATGTATCTGCATGTCAATATGCACAAAATGTGTACTTGCTACATCATTCAAAGTGGCATTAACTATGGCAGAGCTAGAAATCAGAAGAAAAAGAGGCGATATGATCACTACGTACAAAGTAGTACTGTATTGGGAATCGACAAAATTTATAAAGAAGAATTCCCGAGGCCTGTAACTTCAACAACAAGGTCATACTAAACAAAGCCACCAAAAAATATATCAGAAAATTCCCTTTCGCAGTCAGTGACAAACGGTTGGAACCAGTGTGAAGGCCAAAACCATCAGTATTTTCAAAGCATTATATGACAGTGGTGGGAAGACAGGCCACCACAAGCAGAGCTTATCCTGTTACTACATTTAGGTAATTATATCACTTATTTAACCTTCAAACACTCTTTAGGCCTTAGTTATAAATTATCAGTAATTGTTTCACTTTTGCTTTATTTTACTCTCCCCACCACTCGAATTCATTTTCTCAATTACATTCACTTGCTTAGCACTATCGCACGCTGTTCGTGCGCGCCACAAAAATGACGTCATGCACCTTTTGGTGCGGGCAACTGTGCGGCGGCGACACTGAAAAGTGTATACTCGTTTCAGTTTTCTCACCTTAATTCTCATGCTACGTCGTTTGTTTAGGTATCATTGTGTTCGCAATAGAATTCCCTACAGAGATATATGCATATAAGGTCCAAAGATCCACTGTGACTCCCCACAGCATAGCCTAAAGTCGGCAAAGTTTCCTGTGAGCGCGCAAAATCAGTAAAATGTGTATACTTGTTCCAGTTTTCTCACCTTATTTCTCGTGCTATGTCGTTTGTTTTGGTATTGTGTTCGCAAAAGAATTCTCTACAGGGATATATACATATAAGGTCTAAAAGCCTGGCCTGACTCCCCACAGCAAAGCCTAAATTTGATCAAGTTACCCATGAATGAGCATTAATTAGCACACCTACAGACTAATGTATATACTCGTTCAGTTTGATAAAGTTTCGTGTTAAACGTTTCATTTTGGTATCAAATTGTTCGCAAAATAAAGGCGCATATTTTAAAACTAGTCCCATAATAATAGAACAATAAATAGAATTTTAACAAATATTTTAACTTTTGGACGCTCGTCACCACAAAATTATTGATATATTTCCAGTGTTCTGACACCAATTTTCGTATTACGTCTTTCATTTTGGTATCAAATTGTTCGCAATACAGCGCATATTTTAAAACTAGTCCCATAGTAATAGAAAAATAAATGGAATTTTAGCAAATATTTTAAAATTTTGGACCACAAAAGTATTTATTATCTTTCTGACAAATTTTCATGTCACATCTTTCATTTTGGTATCAAATTGTTTGCAATATAAAGGCGCATATCTTAAAACCAGTCCCATAATAATAGAACAATTAATGGAATTTTAACAAATATTATAACTTTTGGACACTTTTTAATGCTCATCACCACAAAATTATTTATATATTTCCAGTGTTCTGACACCAATTTTCGTGTTACATCTTTCTTTTTGGTATCAAATTGTATGCAATCTAAAGGCGCTCATTTAGAAATCACCCAGAAGTTGATCTGATAAAAATTGAATTTTTTACAAATATTTTAATACATGACATGAGCCATAGTCACTCACTCAGAATCGGGAGAAAAATGAGTGACGACGGGTGGCGGCAACGGAGTGCAATAGTGTTAAAACCCCCCCTCCCCCACCCAATCACTAAGTGACAAAATCACCACCCACTTACTTCCTAATTGTGTCTAGAGTCAGTGCAAGAAGAATTGTCCATTGATTTAGGCAGAAACAAAGAAATGTGACAGGACCAGATGATGTTTCACCTCAAGTCCTAAAAGTAATGGTGTATGCACACACAACTACCACCCCCACCCTCATGCATCCACCCACCCAGATTACTGTGATTTGAAATGCATGTCCCCTTAAGCCATGCAATAACCAAGTTTGAAACCAACAACCGATTACATAAATATGAAAAAAAAATTCAATAAAATTTAAAATTTATACAATTTTTTTTTTACGATCTTGAATAAAATTATTAATTTTTCTCACATGTACAGTAAAACCTTGTTAAACCAGTTTTTTCGTTTATTAGCAAGACAACACCAATACTGTAATATTAATACAATAATTAAAATTAACCACAATACTTTCAACATTAAGAAAGTTAGTGCTTATGATTACGAGGTGCATTCTGTCCATTACCCATGTAACACTTATTTATCAGAAATATAAACTACCAACATTTTGCTAATTATAAATTACCACAATACATGTACTACCAATATATTGCTAATGAAATAGAAAATTCCACAAAATTTATATCTACAAACACAGAAATAAGGCTATAAAAACTTGTTCTAATAACTTTTGTAGAGCTAATGATTTTAGATTTGCTCTATCTAATAAGGTTTTACTGAAAGGAAATGTGCCTTTAAAAAAAAAGATTATAATTTTAGAGAAGTTGCTTAGTAACACGTTAGAAAAGCAATCTTTCACTCACCATGATGCTTAACTCATCACAGGCCGGCTTGATCTTAACTGACTGCCACAAAAAAATTTACATTAAATTTATTATTTTAAAATAATGATTAATCTTTCACAAACTATTGTCCAATTTAAAAAAAAAAAAAAATTGCAGATTAACAAACAGCAATGTATAATACAGTATACATAAAAAATGTGTTATAGGGAGTTCAAATGTTTAATAAAGCATTAACACTCCAAAAATGAGACATTCAAAGTGGCTTCAATCTTCAATCAGCACACGTACACCAATATGGTAGATGTCAATCTTATTACTGCATTATGATTCACAACATTTTCAAATTCCCATATTTTTCCTAGCCCAAGATTTCCCCCCCCCCCCCCCGAGTGGGTAATATAAGTGGATTTTATAGCTATAGAAATACGTTAAACCTGTACGAAGATCCATTCATATGAACACAGGTATACATTATTGTGCATAATCTAATGAAACCCAATTACTAGCTATATACTGTACTGTATTCTTTATTCTTAAGCCCAACTATACTTACAACACTGTAAACACCTCCAGCTTCCTTACATTCCTCCTTTAATATGTTAGTTCCAGTGCAGTACGCTAATGTAATACAAACCGCTTTAAAACTGCTGTACACAATAACATCAGCACAACACACACACAGCAGTAATTCTTTGGCTACAGTCAACATTTCTACTGCAGCAAACCTACATTTTTGTAGAGCACAGTATACCTGCATAGCCAGTTGACAGAATACTTCTTGGTATGCCAAAGGAAGCCGATCAGCATAACCTAAACTCTGGTTTATCCATGCCCTATCCTTTAATAAAATGAAAAAATTATTCAGCATATTTTTACAATACCGAGGAAATAGCACGCAATAAAAAACAGCATTATTACTGTAAATGCATGAATTTTATTTATTACTATTAGTTACACTGTACATATATGTAACATACATACATGTGACATCAACAGTGTCATCAACCTGCCAACCAATTCCCACTGACTTAAATCAACCAACAACCCATTTTTCAAAACTTCTCACCATAGCAAGAAGTAAACCTTTCCTGGGATGCTGCCTTGAGGTGCCCCAGAAGCATCACCCACAAACACTTGATAGGCATGATATTATCAAGGATCTCCTCCACTTGCATTCCTATATTTCTTCATTTAAAATACCAAACATCCTGTCACCATTTCAAGATGCTAGTTTTTTGGGGCAGACAGCACATATAGGTCCGAACAGGAAAAGCCAAGAGTAATCAACACCATCGGCAGACTTCGACCCATCAGTAAACAGTGCAACGGAATGTGAGCAAAAATGTTTAAGGAATAGGCAATTCATAACAGTAAGAGGGGTACAAGCTTTCACCACATGGGACAGGTTCTAGGTAATATTTTGCAAATAGGACCCTCCAAGTGGGAAAGGTTGGAACAAAATGACAAATTTTGCAAACCTAAACCAAAGCAAGAATTTTGCAAATGAGCCATCGTTACAGAAAAAAGAGGTGGAGAGAGGGAACAGGGGCCCCACTGAGGGGTAGCATTCAAAGCATGGCATAAGTGGGTGTGGGAATGTTGCAGGGACCATGTGAGGAAGCAAAAGTAGTAACTATCAGAACAATCCTGTAGAAGATGCCAGTTTCAACAAATAGGTTCTGGGTGGGGGAAGAACAAAAGGCACCCGAGGTGAGAAGTAACTCAGTATAATGCAGAGCTACAAGGCAAACAGTCGAGGAAGAGAGACGATTTGGCAGGGCAGCCATAATCGAGTTTAGACAGCACGAGAGAGGAGCAGAAATAGTGTGCGCGCATCAGTCCCCCAAGGAAGTATGGGACAAGACTAAATAAGACAAGGGCCTTAGAGCATTCAACTTAAGAGGTGAAAAACATGGGGAGACCAAGACAAATGGTTGTCAAAGATCAACGCCAAGAATTTATCATTATCCTTATACAGAAGGAGATTACCTCTGAGTGACAACAGAGGACAAGGAATGACACCTCCAATCAAAAGTCATAGAACAAGTCTTTCTTGTAGAGAACTTGAAGCCATGATTGGTTTGCCAGTACATTACCAATGGCAAGTTGGAGCTAGTGTTGAAGGAAAGGGGAAGTCATAACTGACAGCAATGAGATTGTTAACAGAGCTGAAAAAATGCCAGTGGGGAAGAGAGGTAAGAAGACCATTTAGTGCAACAAGGAAAAGAAGTGCTTAAAAAACAACCCTGCAAAATGCCTTCATATTGTTGAAAACAGGTAGAGAAATAACACCAAGACTCACTTTCAATTAACTGTAGCACAAATTGTATGTATACAATTGAGGGTGTCGCACATGACTTAAATGTCCCACAGCTACATGGTGCTCACACCAGCTTCCTGAAGGCTCTAGTAAATATTTTTTTTTTAAATCGTGGGTAACATTCCTGGGTGTGAGAGCCTCGGTACTGAGTGCGCAACCAAGGCTGGCACACGCAGCATGAGCTAAAAGCACTGCTGTTCAGTTTGTGACCACAGCATCGTCTAAAAATGTCAAAATATATATGTAACTGCTATTATTTAGCGATGATAGTATTACAGAAGACCCCTGACTGTGATAAAAATGACCAGGAGTCTGATAATAGTAGCATTGTGGTGATAATTAGCACTGTGTGTAGTATGGTGGGAGGAGTAATTTGGTGAGGGAGGAAGGTAGCGTCGTCTGCTGGCTCTATGTGGCAACCTGATATTGTCTGGACCCACCATACCAGCTTAGTGGTTCGCTATGGTGAACACAAATGTAGATACAACTGTATTCTACTTGAATATAACGTGTGTATATAGTGTAATAACAGCAAAAGGAGTACGTTGGGAGGAGCAATTTTGGTGAGGGAGGTGGCATTGTCTGCTGGCTGCTGTGTGATTTCTCATATTGTGTAGGGTGGCCACCATGCTGATTGGACACCATACCAACTTAGTTGTACAGCTATGGTGAACAAAACATGTAGATACTTATATATAACATGTGTATACAGTATAGTGTAATAACAGCACAAAGAGTATGGTGGGAGGAGTAATATTGGTGAGGGAAGGAGAAAGTGTCTGCCAACTGTGTGGCAACCTGTTATTGTCTGAACTTACCATACCAACTTAGTGGTTCGTTATGGTGAACAAAACATGCAGATACTTATATATAATGTGTGTATATAGTGTAATAACAGCAAAACTATTAGTTTATTGTTTAATGAACATAATTAAATCAATAATATGCACTCCATACTTTTTGAGTATAGCGATGGTTCACACGATGGTTTTATCATATATCACACTACACACTATTGAATATTATTACTGAAAACAAAAAAAGTCACACATTGAAATAATTAGGTAATAATATCTTTGCAACAACTCCCGCCTGACAGCGTGGGTGGAGCTGACTGTCTCCTATGCTTACTCTGTCAACGTCTCAATTTTGCCAGAATTCCTCACCCTATTGCGGCCAAAATATATCGCATACAATTTTTATTTATTTTTCCAGTGGTCAGGGAACACAAATGAACGCTTTTCAAAAGACGAAAAATTTGTGTATTTTTTATTTCTTGCGCCAGGCAGTGTTGTTGAAGGCTATTAATAGCTGAGCAGCACAGGGGTTAATGATAAGAAAATGTTAAGAAAAAGCACTAGATGGCCATGAAGGCCACAGGCATGCAGTTGGGCTGAATTACCTGTACTATACATTTCCCAGGAAGAGTCAAACATTTTTCAGGTCAGAAAGAAGGGCTGCAGCAAAAGCAGTACAAATGAAGAACAAGTCCACTAAGATATCAGTCATGTTGCAGCACTTGTGAAAGCTAAATTGAGAGGGGGGGGAGGGGGAAGAAGTGATGATGTTCCAAAAACCACACAAGACACGCTTTATAATGGTCCAGGATGCCCTGAAACTTTGTTTCTTCCTTTTCTGATGTGTGGTTTGGCCATCACAAGGGATACGTTAACTATACATTCAAAAAAATTGCACACACACACACACACCAGGAAAATGGGGCAAAAATCCTTAGAGGGAAGTCACTTGAGTGCTGGGTTTCTAAATAGGGAGAACAATTGCCTCTAGCTAGTTCTCAGTGACTGATGTCTCTGAAATAGTTACAGATATTCAGTAAATACTGAAAGACGCATTGAGGTAGATGATGAAGCATGCCATAGTCCCCAAGGTGCAGTGCTCGCCTGGCGTTTCGCAAGCACTTTGTCCTGGGTTCGTATCCTGACCGGGGAGGATTTACTGGGTGCAAATTCTTAACTATAGCCTGTTTAACTCAACAGTAAAATGGGTACCTGGTTGTTAAACAATTTTTCATGGGGTTGTATGCCAGGGAACATAGTATTAAGGACTTGCCCAAAACGCTACGCGTACCAGTGGCTGTATAAGAATGTAAGACCTCTTGTATATATAAAGTGAATGCCGTCTGAGCCTGCCACAATCAAACTGCAGAAGGAGAAGGCAGGCTGGAGTTAAGAAAGAAGTGAGATTATAGGGAAGTTTGAGGCAAGTGCAAAAATTCAAGGGAAGAGATTCAATAAGAGGGATTATGAGTCAGGAAAGTTGGAGGTACACGAGTACCAGAGATAACAGCAGAACAGTGCAAACCCAGTTTATTCGAGACCAACACCAGATCCATCACAATGGAACCACGGAGAAAGACAGATAATCTTGAAGAAATTTATCTGCAATTTTAAGGCTTTCCTTACAAATATGAGGGAGAATGGTGTTAACCATAATAATTGAGACATGATTTCCAACTCTCACGTTTAACTGGATGGATGGCCCTACTAGACAAGAAATTGAATAGACCAAAGTACATGAAAAATGCATCCATAAAGGAGTTGAAAGGGTGTAAACTGACATAAGAAAACAAAATTTTCCCCCCATCTTTAACAAGCCATCTGCCAAAGGGACTAACACTAAGGCTGGAAAACTGAATACTTACCACTATAGACCACTATCATTAACATGTATTCTATACAAAATACTGTACTGCAAAAATCAGGAAAAAGATTGTAGAAAATCATGCTGAACAAACTTTACTGAATTCTATGACAAAGTCACCAAAATAAGTGAAGGATGGATTGACTGAATCTTCCTAGACTGCCAGAAAGCTTTTGATATGGTTCTTCACAAAAGGCTACTTCTCAAGTTGGAGAGAGAATCAAGGCATAACAGGAAAGGTTTTGGACTGGGTACTGGAGTACCTGACAGGACACAAAAGGTCATAGTCTGAGGATAAGTCAGGCTGGGAAGGAGTGAAAACTGTTCCACAAGGTTCTGTCCTAGGACCATTGCTCTTTCTAATTTATGTATATGACCCAGAAAATCCCAGAAAGAGCGAGCGAATATGTCCATGTTTGCAGATGATGCAAAGTTAATGAGGAGAGTAAGAACTGAAGAAGACTGTTTGGAAACTGTGAAGATGACCTTGACAAACTTCAGGAGTAGCCAGATAAATGGCTAATGGAATTCACTGAAAATTGGCAAGGGAGAAAGAAGACCTGTATGAGTGAGAGAAAGACCTGGGAGTAGACATAATCCCAACAAGTTCTTATGTGAACAGGATAACATCAACAGCATACAGAAGTTAGCACACATTACATCATTTAAGAATCTAAATAAGGCATTCAAGTCTATACACAATGCCTTTTTGAGACCTTTACTCAATGGCATGCAGCATCAGCATGGAACCTTGTGAAACAAAAAGTTTGAGAAAGTTTATAGTAATGTAACTATTCAAGTACCATAATTGAAAGGCTCAGCTATGAGGATAGGTTGAGGGAATTCACTCTTAGAACACTTGAGAGAAGAAATGGAGGGAATATGATCACTACATGCAAGATCCTGAGGGGGAAATAGACAAGGTGGACAAGGGAAGTCTATTTAAATTAAAAGAAGGTAGGACAAGGGGACATCAGTGGAAACTGGACAAACAATTGAAATGAAGAGGTGTAAGGAAGTTCTCGTTCCCTGCAAGAGTGGCCAGCGAGTGGAATGCATTGAAGAAAGAGGTTGTTAAAGCCAATTCCATCCACAACTTTATGAAAGAAAGCTGACAAAAAACATTAGAAAGTTTACTTTTGCAAACAGAGTGGCAAATGGTTGGAACAAGTGAGGAGGCAGCAGCCAAAACTGTAAGTAGTTCGAAGCATTACATGACAATATTGGGAAGATGGGACCATTCGAGTGTAGTTCTCATTCTGTAACTAAATGTAAGTAATTACACACACTTAAACTTGTACCATTTAAAAAGACAAAAGTTGAAATTTGTTAATTAAGGCCTTACCTGAGACTGAGTATAACTCTGAGGAGTAGAAGTTCTTCTTAGACTTGATACTCGGGTAGTTGATTGCAAGCTAGGATGAATGTTGCTCCCAGTAGTATACCCAAGTGCACGGTACAACCTATCTCGTAGTTCAACCATTTCACCCTGAGAAAAATAGTCTTCAATTAAATAAGATTTAGCTATAGTACATTACAGTATATTTTAACTAATTAATCAAGGGAGATATCTCCAATCCCTATGCCAGACACCTTGACATACCAGTAAGAGGTTGTCTTCCCTCTCTAATGGATTAGGTATTAACAGCAATGCAGTGCAAGAAATCAGATCAGATTTTGGCCCCTTAATCTGGCATCTGAATAATTAAGAGTCCAATTACAACTATTCCCTATTAAGACAAACAGTATAAAACCCACCTGAGTAGCAGAATTTAAATATGATACTGCTGTGTTAAGTGCACCCTGCGCAGCAAGAAGAGATGCATACTGACAGAGGAGGGAGCTCACAGTGCTGCCATCACTCAGGTTAGTTTGTCGGCCGGCAGTTGACAAGGATCGCTGAAGGCCCATGATGATCTCCACTAGGTCCTAAATATTTCAATTATATATATATAATCTAAAATTCTACTAAGACTGTTTGGAAAAATTGCATACCCCAAAATTTCCCTCTTGCTTAACAACAAAATTATCTTTTTTACTGGAGTTAAATATAAATAAAAGTATAGTATCTTTACATGCATACCAGCATTAGGTAAAAAGCATAAACTACACACACCTGCAAGTCATTTGGTGTATTCGTCTTTGGTCGTGTTTTGATCCAACAAGAAACAAACTTCTCCAGACTGCCAGCACAAACATAACAGATCATTGCCGACAGCAATGACTCCGAGTTTCCCTTAGCTTCAAGACGTTCTCCCAAACTTTCTTGAATGCAATGAACATTAAAAATTCTTCACAAACTATTCAACTTGTTCTAACACAGATCAAGTTAAATAAATAGAAACAAATTTAAGTTTAAGTAAAGGTCTATAAATCAACTTTAATTTCAGGTATAATTGTTGAATAAATAAATTCTTATAACTGACCTGCAAGGGCTGGAAAGTGCTCATCACTGGAATATGTAAGAGCTGCCACTAAAGCCTCTTTCCATTTGCTAAGATTACATGTAGTAGTGATGGAAGTTAAGTCACCACGGACCACTGCACCCACCAAAGATGCCAAACTTCCATCCACTTGGGCCAATACAGCATCCCGTGTCTGTCAATAAGAAGTTTAATAAAAAGTAGAACTTTTAAGCAACAAAATATGGGCTCACCATAGCCCGTGCTACATGGAAATTTTCTTTCGAGTAGCTAAATCTAAAACAACTAAAACAGCAACAAAATTCTAAAACTTCACTCAAAAGTGCAATGGCAATTTCCCTTATGCAGCTAATGTTACCCTGCTTGATATACTTTCAGTATTAAACAAGGTTTGCTACTTATTGTAGCAATAGGTATAGTAAGGTTTACTTTTACATTGAGAAAAAAAAAACTTTGTAAGGCTTCAAGAAGCAAAGGCAGAAGTAGTTCATATGACTAACGACAGAATTTGGCAGGAATAAATTGGGATCACAAGGCAGAAGTGCCAAAAATTTAAAAAAAGCAAGGTTTAACATACTAGGTTTATACAGTACAAAGAAAAAGTTAATGGAGCAAATAATAGGCATAAAAGAATATGAAAAGGAATATGTCTGTTTATAAATAAATAATAGTAAGAGGCAAAGAATTTATTTTATTATTATAGTTCAAAAGGCTTTTGTCTTACTAGTTTTAGTAAAAGTGGCATATTTGACAATAAATGAGCTTAATGAAAGAAAAAACCATGTTGGTGATCTGAATGGTGAAGTGGAAATATGCCTCAAGTGGCAAAGTGGGTGTAAATAGTATTCATGGCGTAAGTGACTGGGTGACATTGAGTCATGATAATGTGGCTGAAGATATGATGATCAAACCTCACATCAGAAAATGACGACCACATGTCAGTTTCTTCATTTACCAATGTATGGTTTGATCATCAAATGACTGGCTGTAAATACATAAATTTATACAATAAAAAATCATGTATTACTAATATAGTCCATATTCTAAACAAATAAATACATACATGGGAAAGGGTCAGTTATGAAACAATAGCAAGAGGAATATCTGGAGGTCTGTGCTGTGTAAGTTTAAAGTGGTCAAAAGGTGATCATAGCTCAAGGATCCTGGGGGTGAAAGAATAAAGTTTGTAATATGAGTAACAGGACTCGTAGACAAGATCAAACACAGTTAATAACAGTCACTATAAGGAACTGCTTGGTGGGATGAAGTAGCAAGGCCAGCATGGAAAAAAGTGCATAATATAAAAAAAGATCAGATATTAAATAATAAATTACTGTATTAAAAATATCAACTTGCCCCAGTTATCATTGTCACAGTATTTTAGGACTTAATAGTGGAAACTTGAGGTTAATCAGTACACTTTCATTAACTGGCCAGGAGAATTATAAGTCGTATGCTATATGGCAATATAAATTCAAAATTCAAAGTTTAAACAATTCTGCAATACAGATTCTGACACTGTACTGACCAAAAACTACCATGTAAGTTTGATGTTTATACACTGAAATATATATAGTATGGAACATTTAAAAAAAATAAACAAATCCATAAAATATCCCAACTGGGGGATGAATGATAATACTGTACTAGTACAGTACTGTAATTTAATTTTTACCTTGGCAAACAGTTCTTGTCCAGCATGAGCTGCAAGAGTCAGTGCATGAGGGTAAATTCCATCCTTGATACACAGCTCAACTGCAGACTCCAGATCCCCAACTAACAAAGCTTGGGTTATGAGGCCATGGTGATTTTCCTCACTCTCCTCAACTTCAAGTTGTACAACTGGAAGAGTGGCTTCCAATTCTGGTTCAGCCACCTAGAATATAATTGCATCAATTTAAAGCCTCCAACTGGTCAAAACAAAAATTCCATTCTAATATTAAAATACCTAATATATTTAACATTTATTTCGATGCCTGAAAAAATATGTACTTTACATTAAAACAATACATTAACATAAAAACTACATTACTTCAAAGAATGAATTGGTGTTATTGTAATGCATTAGCATTCAATATTCAGTGGTTTTATATGAGGTATGGGTCAATGGTCTGATAACACGAAGGGTACCTGGCGAGAAAAAGTTCACCAACCTTTACACTAAAACATTCATGTTTCACGAAGATGATCATCAATTTACCCACTTGTAATTTCTCACTTTACAAATTAGCTAATGAAATAGTACTCGAGTAATGTTTGTTTATACAGTGAGACAGATCAGATGTGTGTAAAATAAGATTAATGTTGAAATATTAATAGATTTTGCACATTCAGTGACACTAACTTTCATACAACAATTCCTGTTGCATCTATATACAGTACTAGAACATTCATTCATGAACATGTTAGCAAAAAATTCACATAACCCAATAAATAACTTGGCAAAGTAAAATTGGAATAAACATATTTGCTTCACTGAGCCCCGAGTGGGATGTAACACTTACATGCTAGTGTCCCGAGAGTAGACTGCTATGCCAGTTGTGTTAAAAACAATTTTAAATGTTTTCTTCTGGAATTTGGTAGGGTTGGGGAAGGGGAGGGAGGCAGCAAATTTTAGTACCCATTTTTTTAATAATATTATTCAACTCGCCTAATACTAACCCATGTGTGTTTACAATGCATGTAAGTGCATTGTAAACTTACAATGGTACAATGGGTACAACCCATTGTACCTTCCAGTAAATAAAACATTATTATTATTTAGATCCGATCTTATCTGGTGACCTCTCAAGATGGAAAACAAGTGACAAACCTAACCCAATTTTTCCCATATATTATGCATTTCAGTTTGTGTAGTTTTTGCTGGAAAATAACTCCCGTGCAAATCGAGGGCTGTGTATCACATAGCATAGAGTGAATGACACAAACATATAATTACTTCAATGTCATTACAGAATGAGAGTTACACTCACTGTGTTCTGTCTTCCTTATAATATTTGTAATATAAAGGTTTGAAATTTTCAATGGATTTGGCATACACTCTTTATTTTATTTATTCTATTTGTATACCAACCACTGTTAAAATAAATTTAATTGACAACTATGAATACCATTGCCAATTTCATTGGCAAAAATTTAATTGGCTGTATTTATAAAAGTATTCTACATCTTCAGAATACTTATTTCCTATTATCAAGTTACATGAATATTTTGAATAAGAAATGGAGGAAAAACCCTTTTTTCCTTTACACTTTTTTATTTGAAAGCAGAGCCTGAACTTGTACATTAATGCAGTCTATGCAACTTGTATACTGACATCAAGTCCAAGTTTCTATGTACACCACATTATTGGGCATTAAAAGTAATCTATAAATGTTTTTATCATAATATAGTCAATAATGCCAATTATTGAAAGGAAAGTTATTCCCAATAAATTTCCTAATGTCTCTCTCACGTTTAATATAAGCTGAGTAGATATCATCCATATTTCCATGAGTTGTATAAAGCTTTATCCTCTGAAAGTCATTTAAATTTATAGGAAGTTGCTAATGAATTTACATTTGCTGAAGCATCACCACAAGTACAGAAGTATGTACTCTTATCTTAATTACTAGCAGATTTCAAAGACTCAAGATACAATAATATTTAGAAAACAACATTTATAGATACATTTGAGTATTAAATAATCTTGTACAAGATAACCATCTTCTATAACAGAAGCAGAAAATAGAACAGAACATAAACAGAAACAACAGAAAATAAACTCACCTCAGTTTCTGGAGTTTTATCAAATGACTGTGCAGAAGCAATCATCTCAAACTGCTCACTAGGATCTAGTGACCCAGTACTCCCATCCTGCAAAGGTAACAATCAAGAATGTAGTTATTTGTTATCTATATTTTGCAACAATCAATAAAAAATGTGAACTGTTCAGAAGGGCACAAAAAATTTGAATAACTCCCTAAATTATGCAATTTTTCAATATAGTAAGCATAAATATTTCATGAATATTAATATATTTTTAGCTAAAATAAAATATCTTGGGAGACAAATGTTAAACACTAAATTGCACATGCTTGCAAGTCTCAAATAAATACTATACCAACAAACATTAAAATAGCTTTAAAAGAATCATTCACTGCAACACCAAACAGATTTGAGTACAAAACACACTGATAAAAGCAACAATGTACAGGAATCAGTGGGTGAACACAGATCTGCATATCCTCAAGGTTAAAGCAGATGAAGATTGAAAGTGAAAATGTGGCACAAGTGTTAATTGGGTCTGGCCAAAGTATCAGATTGGGAAGAGTAAGGTGACTCCCCCCCCCATGGGCAAACCAGAGCAAACAATGATGACAATCCCCGTGGCGCAGTGGTAACACACGCACCCTACACCTTGCGAGCCATTTGGCTTAGGTTCATATCCTGGCCTGGGAGGATTGACTATGTGCCAAGCCTTAGCTGTCCACCTCTGTTCACCCAGCAGCGATTGGGTACCTGGTTGTTAAATAATTGGTCGGTTGTATTCCAGGGAAAACTAATAGGTAAGGCTTACCATGAGTCATGGGATGGGAATGCTCTCAGCCTGTTAACAGGAGTCAGCCATTGTCCATTCCTGTTCTCACACATATAATAATAATAAAAAAAAAAGGTTGACAACTTCAGCCTGCATGATCTCGTGAGACTGATAAGAACATAAAACAAAGGCTTTTACACAACAATATGCAACAGCAGATAAATTCTGATTTTTAGCAGGCTTTAATGCTCCTGAAAATTTATGCAATACACTAATAACACATGTGATGCAAAGAATGCACCGCACACATGGACCTACAACAGATAGGCTTGGAAATCAATTTCTAGAGAGGGCAAGATGATTAAGCCCATTTCTGTACACCCAATTCCTATGTTCATTTAGCAGTAAATAAATACACAAGAGTTAGGCAACTGTTGTGAGTTACATCCTTGGGTAAGGTCAGTCATTGGTTTGAGGGACCTCAAATCCTAAAAGGCTTCCTGTCACTGACAATGGAAAACCATACGAGCTGGCCTACATTCTCCACATAACTTATTTAACACTGCATTCAGCACACATCAGTAGCAACCAGGAGTCGCAAATAATAGCCTTGGTTACAACAATATAAAAATCACAGAACACTGAATAGTTCCAACAAATAAAAATACAAAACCCAGTGTTTATTATAATCTTGCAGTACTAAACTGGGGATTTTGTTAAACAGGCTTATCTAACCTATGAGATAAATCTGCATGGGAAAATACAATGAGACCTATTACAATAATGCAGTAACCATTCAAACTCGGGCAGTTTTGTATAGCAATCCAAACAAGAACTATATTGTTATGGTTTCTTTTTCAATTTGATAAGATCTATTCAATAAACTGTACTATATAGCAGACATCCAACAGGAATAGTAGATTGTAGTCAGGTAAGCTCATTATCAATCGTAAGTCACCAGTCATGTCCACGTCATTAAGAGATCCTGAGTAGTAGTGCACCTGTTAAGTGCACTACTAACCCATGATGCAACCTTCAACAATAATGACTCCGAGTCACTAAATAGCTGTCGCTGCATTACACTAACATGACAGTATATTTAACACTATTGCTCGCTTTGGACACTGATCACGTCCATTTTTTTTTCGAGTCCTAGCTGTGGACAGGATTCACGTCCACTACAAAAATATTTGTATAAAATTCATTTTTTATCCGATCGACCTCGGGATAGTTTCAAAATAAGTGCCTTTAGAATGCACACAATTTGATACCAAAATAAAAGATGTAACACGAAACTTGATGTCAGAACACTTGAAAGATTATAAATACGTTTTTGGATCTAAATTTTAAAGTTTAAAATGTTAAAATTCTATTTATTGTCCTATTATTATGGGACTAGTTTTAAAATGTGCGCCTTTATATTCCGAACAATTTGATACCAAAATGAGCGATGTAACATGAAAATTTATGTCAGAACACTGGAAAGATATAATTAATTTTGATGAGCGTCCAAAATTAAAATATTTGTTAAAATTCCAATTATTGCTCTATTATTATGAGACTAGTTTTAAAATGTGCACCTTTATATTGCGAACAATTTGACACCAAAACGAGCGATGTAACATGAAAATTGATGTTATCAAACTGAACGAGTATACACATTAGCTAGTGGTGTGCAAATTGGTGCTCGTTCACGGGTAATTTTAGGCTCGCTGTGGGGAGTCTTGCCAGGCTTTTGGACATTATATGCATATACATATGCAGGGAATTTAATTGCGAACACAATGATACCAAAACGAACGACGTAGCATGAGAATTAAGGTGAGAAAACTGAAACGAGTATACACATTTAGGCATCGCCGCACACTCGCCCATACCATTAGCCCCATGACGTCAAAGTCTGCGGCGCTCTCGTGGCACGCGCAATAGTGTTAAGCATCCATTCATATACAGTACTGTATACTGAAAGATGCAAAAACTTAGAAATCTAAACAAGAAAAAGGTAGAACTATCCCAAAATAAATAATGAACTGTAACAAGTATCATTAAGAGTATTGCAAACCAGTGACCCAAGTGAAAATAATTGGTACCATAGGAAGAGTAATATGGGAGTCATGCTATACTCACTGGAACCAACAACCATCCATTACTGAATGAATGAGGTCTCCTCTGGAAGCAAGCATGCGTTACAATAATTTTTATGTAAATAAATGGCAATAATAATAATACTAATAATAATAATAATAAAAGGACAATGGATTTTTTTTAAATGACAACAAAATAAAGGATAAATATCTTAGTTCTCTCTCTCTCTCTCTCAAGCACTTAAGCCATGCCCAATGAATATTTCCTGTACCGTTGTCTATAACGTGATCAATATTTGTAACTACAGTACTGTACTGTACTAATCTTGTAACAGCATGGTGAAGTCCATGACATTTTTAATTATATAATTAGTTGATTTGCACAATTAGTAGATGAATACTATAAAAAGTGAATTTCAGCCATAAAGATCAACACACCTACACCCACCTTCACCAGAAAAACTCACCGACATGATGGAATGCTGTCATCACTAGAGAACAAATTACAAGAACTGTTACTATTAGATATTGACAAAACACACAAGAACTGGACAAGGTATCATATGAATTTAAAGAACAATGCAAGAGCACTTAGCTACTGGCACTGTTTTTTAAATCACTTCACGATTGTTAAACTAAATTATAATCTCCCTACGTATGTAGTTATCAAAATGCTTTTAACTTGCAGCCTTCAAGCGACAGGGACCAATGCGTCAATCACTGGTGTGAGATTTAATATTTCCTGTAATAGTCAAAAGTCCTATAGATTCTATGTGGATGTCATGCAGTACTTAAGACATTAGGCAATTGTTTGCCATATTGAACAAAATATTCTGAAAGCCTTAGTTTCCTTTCTGTGAATTAGTGAAACAAAAAAAAAGTACCATGTCAGGTGCATCACCGTCCATTTAATGACACCCATTGCTAGGAACCAGTGACACCATGTCAAATTTCAAGGACTTATGAACCTGGAAGATATTAGTGATGAGAAATCTATTACAAATACTGTAGTACTGAAAATAAAGTTTTAGAATTTGACTTTTTCAACAATTCTTCATTTCACTACAGCCAAAATATAATGCTTAGAATTCTTTTCCTACCCTCAGACAGAAATGTTTTTTAATAAACAAAAAAATATATTTTCTTTTTAAGCGCATCTGAAAACTGACCTAATTTAGGGTGTGCAGTTAGAGGGCTAAGAGAAGAATTTGTAAACCTCAAAGTCAACAGTATGTTAACTATCAACCAATGTGCTCAACTGTTATGATGGTAATATTATACAAGAAACAGGCAGGTTATGTACAGTACTGTACTGTGCACTTCCGGAATTCTGAAAGAACATAGCCAAATCAAACTTTCACTTGCAGTTTTGATAACTTTGGCAAACATTTTTGTATATGTACAGCCAAAGCAGCTGGCATTTTTTGAGGCTGGAGCTTGTCAACATACTCATATTCAAAATGTACCAAATTACATTATAAATATTTATACTTTACCCTTAAATAAGCAAATTAATATCAACATTTAGTAACTTTATCATTAACTTTTAATTTTTTTTTAGGGGTGGGGGAGGGCAGTTGGGATGGTGTTTACTTTCTGGACCCAGTCATATTTATGCTTACCTTCCTACCAACCACTGTACATACATTTTCCCCTCGTATGACTTGCTCGATGACCCTCAGCTAGAAAATCATTTGTGTTGAAGCATGTATAAATACTAAAATTTAGGATACAGTGTATATAAAACTGGAATGAGAGCAGTGATGATATAATGTCTAATTCCCTTCATATTGCATAATACACAGTCATTCCATGCCATTCTTGAAGCCTAAGGCTAGCCTGTTCGTTTATAGGAAATAACTATAGCAAGACATTTAGTGATGGAAATGTTTGGAAACAAAAATATTTATTCCCTGTATTTTATGTTATTTCTAGATTGAAAGTGATGAGTTACCTATATGTCATAGTTGTGTGTATAAATGTTTGAATATATTAATATTTCATGTACTGTATCTATAAATGGTTGTACAGTATTCTGTATGAGAAAATTGATAAGAGCCATGAGGAGGATTTGAACTTGCTCACTTGGTACTCCCAAGCAAGCACCCTAGACCACTACACCATGACATGGTCAAAAGCCATGCATCCTGGGATTCCACTGAAGCCTAATTAGGGTTTCACAAGAAACCCAGTTTTTAAGACAGTTGAGAGGCGGGACCAAAGAACCGAAGCTCAACCCCCACAAGTTTTGTGGGGGTTGTGGGGGCAACCCCCATTTGTAATTAGGACCAGTTATATCAAAACCTTAAGTGCCACGATGTTGTAAGAGCACACAACTAATACACACTATTTGACACTAAATTCTCTAAATAAATTTCATATTATGTATATGTACTCAAATTAAGTGTTTCTGTTCCTGGGGATTTCTCTAGACTAACAATTAATATACTGTACTGGCACTGATCAGTTCCCCAGGAATGCCCATGATGCAGCTACCCACAGAAAAATGTCTTTGCCTAACTATAGTTTATAATATGTAATGCCAATCCAGATTATAGGTTATTCAGTTCAACATTTTCTTAGTACACACACTGACTTTTGATAGCCACATTCTGAGGACGAATTAAAAAAAATTGCATTATACAAGATAAAAAAAAAATGGTTCAAGCAACCAAGCAACTCAATACCTGATCATGTGTGTTTACAATGCATAGAATATAAAATACATGCAACAAATCAGGCTTTTTTTTTGTATTTTAGGAAAAAAAATTCCCTTGCACTGATTTGGACACTAATTTACTTGATTTTTATTTTTTACATTTCTAATTTCATATAATGCTCTTTTAATATTTACCCATTGATTATGGCATTCATAATCAACAATGAACAGGAATTTGATATTTCCGATGGATGTAGATCTACCACATGAAGTGCCTGTTCTCGCTATGTCAAACAGCTATAGGGGGGCCCAGATTTTTGTTCTGAAGACCAGAACAAAAATGAATGTTATTGAAAAATTCAAAAATGAAATGATGAACATTACAGGATGTAGAAACTTTGATGCCTTTGATAAAATTTGCTTTAACCACCGTGCTGCGCCGAGTTTATTGTGAAATGCCCCGTGCGCATGAAATAAAATGTTCCCAAAAAATTATTTTTTCTTCGTAAAATGATAAATTCCCTTCCCTGAACATGTCTATGTAAAAAATAAATACCAAATTCCACTTACTTTGGTTGTGGGGACGTGGACAAAGTGCGCTGTGACGTCATCAGGGCCTGGTCGCCCGTGCATGAATCGCCCAGACATGGTCGCACGGGCCATTCACACACTGGGTGTTGCCACAAATATATTTTCAATTATTTGTTCTATGTATTTCCAATGCGGTTTTATTTGTTTTTCTATCATATATGATGCATATTTGTGTCCTTTACAATATGAATACAGTAGAACGTTCATAATGTACCATGGAACTGATACTGTACATGTGTCAGTAATGTGTCCACAACAAATGTTTATTCTCACAATATTACTTGTTAAAAATTCACTAAAATTAAAATATGTACAGTTTCACACACTATTTACACAGTAACACACTGTATTACACACTCAGTACTTCGGAAGCGAGTAATAATCAACGAAGTAGTCCATGGTGCACAGCCCGACTTCGCTCTCAGTGCACCAGGTACAGATAAATTTTTGCTTCCTGTTTCTTCATTCTGTGTGCTTGCAAATAACACACTCACGTACACCCTTGGCTTTAGTACTTGTAGGTTGTATGTAGCCAAGCTTGTAAAGCATAAGGTAGTATTGAAAAGATTATAGAAAAACATCGATTTGTTAGGTAGTCTTGAAGAGATCGCTTTATATGGTCCCATACAGGAAGAGATTCAGCGGGCCTTAAAGAGTGTCCGTCAGTCAGAAAGAGATTCAGCCAGCCTCAAAGAGTGTCCGTCAGTCAGGAAGAGATTTAGGTATTCTTGAAAATATCTATGGAAAACACCACAATGGAAGCCGCTAAGACTGTTCATCTATGCTATGCTGGACAAAGAGTGCTGGGAAGACGGGACACCACGAGCGTAGCTCTCGTCCTGTAACTACACTTAGGTAATTACACAACACTGGCAATGCTAAATTTATTGTCTGATTAGATTTAATCAGACAATCAGATTTAAAACCTCCATTAAATTTAAACCTCTTTAAATCTAATGGAGGTTTAAAAGAGTCAAGATTTTCTTCCTACCATGCACCTCATGCACAACTGATCCATACAATATATTTTGCAGCTTTTAGACTGTAGCAAAGAACACTGCCACAGTCTCATGTGAACACAATTAACTAATGCTTATTAAGCCTATGAGCAAAACCGTGAACATATGTGGGTGACTTCAACCACGGAAAAATAGACTGGGAGAATGGGGAACCACATGGAGAGCTCTTAAGAAACTCTTTGACGTGGGAACAAGAAACGTTTTGAACCAACATGTCAAGGGACCCACAAGAATGAGGAGCAATGGACCAACCAGCTAGATTCGACCTAATATTCACCTTGAGTCAGAAATAAGGGCAGTCAAATTTGAAGCCCCGATGAGAATGAGTGACCAAAGCGTATTGACATTTGAGATGGCATGTATTAGGCCAATAAATGCCTCAGATGGCATGTATTAGGCTTTGGATAGTTAGGATAGATTTCTATTTTAGCAGCATAAATACAAAACTTTTTCCAATTTGCCCAAATTCAATAGTCTGTACCAAATTCTACTTTTCTAATTGTCCATTATGTTAATACATGTACGATGGTCCACATCATTACTATAAGTACAGTACTATCTAAACAGGAGGATGGGCTGAAATTAGGCTATAACTTTATCCTGAGAATTTAAACCATTTTTTTTTTAATTATTATTCTTTTATTTAACTGTGGAGTAGAGGGACTGAAACCCCACAAGCCATTCCTTGGCACAGTCATTGGAATTGTAAACTACAAAAAGATTTTGGAGTGTCAGGAATTTTTTTTTTTTTGTATTTAACAAGTTGTAGACGGTTGGAATAAAACCTTTAGATTATCTACTAAAACCACAGGAAACTTTAAAATTATGATAAAATATAAAACTAAAACAAGACCACATGTATAGCTCAATCTTCAACTACAAAAAGGAATAAACTGAATAGGCAACACACATGTATACTAGCACATGCAATCACATACAGGTATAACACCCCCACACAAGCATGCATGCTCATACACACAGGAAATTAAAAAGAACAAAAATTACCGAAAACCTGATAAACTTACATTTGTAGCCAAGTTTGTCATCTTATCAGCCAAAACTTCTGCATTGACTCCTTCAATCTCAGGCATCAATGGGCGAATCTTGCTTGATACTTGGGTAGCAGAGTAACCTAAAAGTTCCATATACTTATTACGTGGAGAAGAGTCAAAGTTGGCACCAATGTACTGCCACAATATCTGAAAAGATGCAAGTAAATACATGATGCAGGTGAGCTAGTATATTTAATTAAAAAAAAAAGATGCTAGCTAAAGAAACCAGAAAATTACTCCATGAATTACCGGTACCTCATTCTTTCTGGCTTACAAGTGGCTTCAACCTTTTTCTGTAATAGATATATAAAACCACTGGTAGCAAACCCAACTATCTCATTTTGTGACTTTTTGTAGTAAAAACCTATTTAATGAATTTTGGCAAATACTGAACTTGCCAATAGCAAGGGTTGATTGTAATGCTCATGTCAAGATAATTTTAACACGGTAAATGCTATGGCCAGGCTGAAAAAAAAAGAAGCAAGCTAAGTAAATAGTTAAACTTGCAAAAGACATGGAACACAACTCCTACCCTTAACTTTGTACAGTATTATACAATCCCTTGAATGTCAATCATGAGGAATTATCCAGCAAATTAAATATTGCAGCTGCACTTTAATTCCTTATTAAATACTTTTAAAAATAAATGTAAAAATATATCACCTGATCATTGCGTTGGGTAGCTGCTTCAACTTTAGCCTGACAAAATGGAGCAAAATGTGGCTGTGAAAGTGCTCCTTCCAACTGACTGCTGCGCTCAACCAATGTCTGCTCAGTGACAACTTGTGCAATTTCTACACTTCTGCTCTGGTTGTTCCAGGACACTAACCGCCCACCAAACTGATGAAAGAGAATACTCAGGTAATCCTTGATCAGGTCAATTAAAATTTAATACTTTGTTTTAGAGACAAAAACTTATTGTCTTACATAATTATGACAATTAAATCCCTAAGGGTAAGACAGGAAACTAAATAAAAGCGTACATATAACTGATTTACTTATCTATGTATGCCTCTACATGCAACCCTCCTAAATGATAATACTTGTAGCACCTATTTGGTTAAACATACCAAAATGGACTGTTTCACCCAACAATGTTCATATTTTGTACTAATAATTTTGTAGAGGGTACAAAGAAAATTCCCAAGTCTAGTACAGCACATATGTACTATATTAGGCCTAAGATTGGTTTGACAGATTATAGGTTAGGTTCTTTACTTACTCTTCCATTTGTAAGTACTGTACTGAATTTGGGCTAATTCAATAAAAATATTTTTAGGTCCAACAGTATTTTTGTACATTTGATCCAACAGGTGCTATAAGTACAATACTATCATTATTGGAGGATGTGCTGCTATATATGAAGTAAAATAAATACCAGCAAAATTAATACAGTACTAGAAGCAATCAAAGTAATTGTATATCTTCACCAGGGAAATTCTACATATGGTTACACCTCACTAATACTGTATAATAATTGATCCAAGATGGTGGTTCAGTGTTTTGTTAATCATTACATTTAGGGGATAATCTAATGTAACTAACAGGCAATGCAGCATTACGAAAATCAAAGATAAGTAAGAAGAGGGATAAGTGCTTGCCATTTTTCCCAACATAATAATAATAATAATTTATTTAGGAAAAGTACATACATAGATGCAGAGTTACAAACATTCTGATTGATTTATAGATAGAGCTAGTACATACAATACCTAAAGCCAGTAGTACGCATAGCGTTTCGGGCATTGTGATTATTGTGATTTACATTTATGGCAGATGTTATATTAAAAATATAATAGATGAATTGAATAAAATATTAGGGAAATTGATTAATGTGAAATATTACTTTACAAAGTTACATTATTTACAAAAAGGAATTCAAATTATGCTCTGGAATAAGATAAAAGTGATTCAAACTTACTGCAAAACTTGCCCCAGCTGTCTGAGCAAACCACTTTGGAGGATTTCTTAGCCTAATGGGTTGTGGGGTGGCTCCTTGAGGAACAACCGGAGGAATTTCCATGCCAGGAAATGAGTCTGCTATCTGTGAGAACTGTCAAAAACATATTACTCATTTATCTCAAGCCATAGGCAATTAAATACAATACAATTTCAGCATTTACCATGTACCATGTGTATGTACAGTGCTGCCTCAATTAACAAATTTAATCCATTCCAGCACCGAACTCATCATTTGAAACATTCGTCTTGTGAAACAACAACACTGTTGTCGGAGGCATCCAAGAACCAGTGGGAACACTAGGAAGCACCATGTGGTTTGCTCGTTATTCAAGCAAAAGTTCATCAATCGAGACAAATTTTCTGCAAGTGGTTCACTCATTACTCGAAATGCTTGTAACTGGAATCGCTCGTCATTCGAAGTTCTACTGTATTTGGTACATTATGGTTAAAATATGCATTTGAATTACATTGCTCTTTCAATCTGCATAAATCATTAAATTTACTCAATTATTCTTGGGACATTACTAACACTATGTTAATATATCAGGGTCTATTCCAACTTTATACTTCAAGATCATCTATTACAATAATTATTACTTTTTTATATCATACCCATCCTATTCTTTAAGGTACCAAACCAGAAAACATTCTCTGCTGTCATCGCAGTACAAATAGTCACATTACTCTTTAAAGTGAATTTCACATACTGTAACATGTACCTTGAACTCTAGCAGGAGAAAATATTCATTGCCATATACCACTTAATTTGTTAATTAGCTTACTTCTCCCATACTAATTATTTACTTTAACTCCTATTCTTATGCATTTGCTGCTGTCTTTTCCTTGCCACTTCCTTTTATCTTTGTCTAGCATAAGCCTAGCACACTAAACATCTGTTTCTCAAAACCATCTACCACTTTGGAATATTACCGTTTCTGATTTCTCACTAATATTCCACATAGCCATATCAGCCTTCCTTTACTTTCTGGGCCCTGCTGGGTAGGTGCCTAGTGCCCAGAAAGATCTGAGGCTAATTTAGATTTCAATAGGAAATTTTTTGGGAGATGATGGTCCCTAGCCCGATATATCCCATTCCTATAATGCAGGGAATGCAAGGCTAACTGCACAAAATGGTGGTGGCCAATGGGTTCACTACATCCCTACACCTTCTGACATGCAACACAAAGTAACAAACAGCAAACAGGTTGAAACCTCCACTCACTTTATCTGACTGTGTAGGAGGCAGACCCCCACCTAACAAGGAGTAAACACTGACACAACCATCAACAGATGCCGTAGCAACCAGGGAGGGATCTCGCTGACCCCAGTCCATGTCAAAGCTCCATTGGTTGTAGGAAGGAAACTCTCCAACAATTTCTGAACCACGCTCAACTGCATTTGGGTTCCACACATAAATTCTGAAAATAAAGACATGCAATAAGGCCAACTATTATTAGAATTCTAGGTAAAAATCAGCTATGTTAAAATTTTGCAAATATGTATTTCAGCTTAACCCTTGCACTGTGCCAGCTGACATATTAAGGTGTATGCTGGTGTGCCAGCAAAAATGTGATAATATGAGTACAGTATATCATAAGATTTGAAATTCTCATGCATACAAAGGGGCACATACATTGTGTACATATATTTAAACACATCTGTATCTTTTCAAAGTTAAATATAATGACTGACACAAACATAACCATCTTTGACACAAATACAACTTGTTAAAAAAAAAAAAAACTAAATAAATGTGCTTCCTGGGTGCTAATTAGCAATACCAAAAGATGAAAAATTTTTGGAACAATTTATTTTCAGCGCACCATGGGAATGTCATTTTAAAAGGTGCGCAGTGCAAGGGATTCAACAAAAGATTTCACTATTACACATTTAACAAAATATGCATACTGAGCTTCATTCCCACTCTTATTCAGTACTTCTCAAACAAAACTATTTAAATCTCTTAGTTTACTATCCCAAAGGGTTTACTAAATCTACAACTTTGGGTTTGTAGCCAAGACCTTGGTTTTCTAACTTACTTTTGCCTATTTTTCCTCAACAATTTGATCTCTTGGTCCTTTCAAGACATCTACATTCTTAACTAAGAGGCTGAGCACACAATTACAGCAACTCCATTATATGCAATCCTCAGACCTAAAACCTCCTGGGAACTTGAGCATACATTTTCCAACTCCTTTCCAACAATAGTACACCCCACTTGAGGAAACACATACAGGGCCGTATATACCTTTGTTTAATTTTTTGACATTTAATTTGTTTTACTGTACTAGTATTTTACCAGGGAGAACATGCATAAAGATACTGAAGAAGTCTTAACAAAAGGGAAAAAAATTTATAATGCCAGAATCCATAAAAACTGGTTAAAGTTTATTTGGCAATGTTTGTGTGCAAAAGGATACCTGAAACTTCACCACTAGCCTTACCTAGCCCCCCATTTCATTTAACTAAATTTTAGCTCTATTGGACTTTGGTAGCAAACATTAAGGCTTGTAAAGCTTATAAATAGAACCCAGAAGGTTCCCACTGTGTTAGTGCTTGTACATTATGACATGTAAAAGCATACAATACAAACATTATTTCCTTCACCCTTTTAAATGTCCAAAACTCCTATGCCTCTCACAACACCTTACTCTTTTTCCAAGAAAACACCAAATCCCATTGCACACGGTAGTGGTGAGGTGCTGGAGGCCAAAACCATCAGTAATTTCAAAACGTTATGTGACAGTGCTGGGGAGACGGGACACCACGAGAGTAGCTCTCATCCTGTAACTACACTTGGGTAATTACACTTGGGTAATTACATTTTTTGTTTCCCAGAAAATACCTGTTACTCACTTGTTATCCTTTGCTGTGGTGATTAACAAATTACCATCCTGAGTACACCAAGCCGTTTTTAGGATGCCACGTTGGTGCCCCTCCAGGGTCTTGAGGGGAGAAGTAGCATAACGGAGATCCCAGACCTGAGCCCATGGTGTCATATCATTATCACTAGCTAACAGTAACTGAGTTGCCACACTGGGATTCCAGATGATGTTACTTGCTTTCATCTGCAAAAAAAAAAAAAGCAGTTCAGTATGTTCATTATTAAACACTGACTAAATTAGGTTTTATTCCAATTTAGTAACAACTATACCAAACATAATAATGTACAACATTACAACAACTTGGTTACTACACAAAGTTTACCAAATCATGTAAGAAAATGCATCCATTACATGACAATATACTTCAACGTATCCAATCCCTGAAGTTTTAAGCTATTAATCAATACCCTTGTTGATAATGTATTCTATTATATATTAGTCTTATTCACTAGCCTGTATCACCATGTATTCCATACTAAGCAAAATTAATAAGATTAATTTTAAAAATTATCATTACCATCAATGCTTTGTTAAAAATTGTCACCATTCAAAATTATTTTAAGATAAAATTTACCCTTGAAACAGTGTCAGAGATGGTCATGATAGACGAGTGTTTTCTAAGGTCCCATACAACACAGTGACCAGCACAGGTAGATGCAAAGATGTGCTCCACTTGTCTGTCAAGAGTTTTAAAAAATACTGTAAGTACAAGATGAGATGGATATTAATTACATTGAGTTTTGTTAATACAGTATTCTCATTCAATTCACTGTCCACATCCACTCAAAGCAGCTTAACTACTGGGAGTGCCTACATGCCTCAGGTACACTTAAAAAAATCTTACTCCATGGCAGGTGTGAAGAAATTTTACATAATTTGAATCACTATGGAACTATTCTAAATTCATTTACAAGAATTCCTTGAGAGAACAGAAGTCATGAGAAAATATTGTAAATAGTTCTAATGAAAAATACAGAAGCAATAAATCTTCAGAAAACTAACAAAATTTTCAAGACATTTCCATATTCTCCCTTTGAATGTACCCTCAAACATTCAGCAAATTATTCTCGGTTCAAAAAACAGCAGAGCCACAATAAGACAACATGCAACAGATGCCAAGAGCCTGGTGAGTAGCAAGGTAGTCCAGCGGATCAGTGCAGATTGTTCACACGTATCCATTCTAAATTTGCTTAACTGATATTCACCAGTACACTTTGAAACTACAGTACAGTATATGAAAGTGATTACTCGCATTATTCAATAGCACACAAACTGCAGTGGTTCACATCATCAGCTGACAACTGCGAGTCCTGGGTTCAATCCCTGTAGCAGGATAATGGTACTTTCACTTGAGGTTTCTGTTCATCTAGCAGTTAACAAGTATCCAGACTTAGACAATTGTGGGTTGCATCCTGAGAAAAGTTAGTGGTTGGCCAAGAGGTACCTCAAAAACCTAAGTACTGTACAAGCTTTCTGTCCCCAGCAATGGGAAACCAAACATGTGCAAGATTGAGAGCAACAGTAAAGGCCAGATATGCAAGGTACTGTATGTGGTACAAACATAGAACAGGTCAAAAGAAATTTTCTAATGGTTTGAAAATTAAGGGACAGAGGATAGATCAAAGGTATAAGCCTAAGGTATTTAGATCATGACTAGATCATGTTAAAAAAAATAATTGCTGCTCTCATGGCCAGCCCCTCTGAAGAACAAGGCATCAGATACACATACAGGGCAACAAATATAAACCTGCATTTCACCTACACCTAAAATAGACATTTCCAGTAACTGGGCTTCCTGGATATGCATATACACTTCATTAATGATGTCCTTAACTAACCACCCTTGGTGACAATAATACAGTAACAAAAACATTTAGACAAAAGTATAACCATACATACATGAAATACAAGAAAAGTGGAAGATTCCTAGGTAAGACAAGTACAATGCCTAAAGCCACTAATACACTTTCGGGCATATATAATGATAAAAAATTGGTAAACAATTTAGAAGTTTAATGGGGGTAACTCTTAAAACTAAATTAAATCAAGCATATATGAATGAAGAGAAATATAAATAAATTTTAAATTTGTACATGATAATTGGAGCTGAAAATATTGCAACAGAACAAGTTTGTAATTTTCACAGTAAGCAATTAAAAATTGAAGATATTAAATTTTAGATTAATATTTTACATGGCAGTAATTTTTTTTCCATGATTTTACATGATTTTTTGCATGATCAGTAACCATACAGGTTAAATAATTAATGTTCAATAACAGGACAACAAAATATTTACTACTGTAGTTACTTTGCCTGGTGCTCATAACCTATATGGTAGCTAACTCAAGCTTTAATTGCAAATTATAAAAAATAAGTAATTGAGTACTGTACCTTATTATAACAGACTATATATCTAAAATGTAAAATTACTACATTGGTCAATTAGAAGTTAAAATTGTCATACCTGTTAAATTCAACACAAGATACATCTCCACCAAGTGACAGCTTTTTTCCAGGTATGATGGGAGCACTGAGATTAGTGATATCCCAAACTGTTACTTCAGAATCTGAAGAACCACACGCTACAAAATTTGCCTGAAAATCAATTTATTCATGTCAGGTCACCACTAAACAGCACGTTCCAAATGAGTAAATTACATCAAGATACTGTAATGATGTAATATGACCAAAAAAATCCTCTCTTTTGCAAAGAAAAACCCTGCAATACTAATGTCTTCTTTCTTCACTGGAAATTGTTTCCAGATTCAGCAACAAAAGCATTTACAAGAACAAGATTTCTTAAAAATAAAAATGGTTGAAATTTGTAATTACAGAGAAAACATGTATAGTACTGTAAGTGTGCAATGAAGTTGATTATTTTAGATATGCTAATACTGAATGTAGCTTTAATTTTAGACCAGATACAAATAATCTGCCAAACACATTTTTCATCATTAATATGAACTAACAAACCAACCAAGATGTCAGCCTGCTTACCTTTAAATAGTTACAGCTAAGAGTGAACACTGGGCCAGAGTGCAAACCTTCTGTGTTGCACACGAGCTTATCAGGAGCATTGGTCAGAAGCTTTGCAGCATCATAGATATAGATGGCGCCATTCTCACACCCACCATATATGAGGCCTGCATTATTACCTCCCAAGCCACTCCACTGTAGAGCATGGAATCTGTAAATTGTAAAATATACAGTACTGTATACCTAACTTAACTAATATTTCCTTTCACCTCATGCCTCTTCACCTAGCAGTGAATGGTATACAGTATATCTGAAGTTATGGCAGCTGATGTAGGCTTTGCATTCTGGGCATGGTCTAGTTAGCTTAGTAGATTAGATATAGAGACTGTGTAGACATATAGAGTATAGAAATGTTTGTCACATTGGGATAAGGAATTGGATCAATTTTCTTCACACTAAATAATTTACATTTGTGTTGAACTAGTAACATTTTATTTGTACACTTTGTCAATCATGTACTTGACACCTATCCAATGGTACAGGCATAAAATATATTCTAAATACAACCCATTCTAAGACATAAGCTAAGTACATAAATTTACTAAATCTGAAAGGCTTACCTGGCAGGCAGCTCAACAGATGCTGCAAGCTTCATATCCAGGTTGATTTGACCAACATTTAGGTCATAGATCTTAAGTGTAGAACTGGTATTGAAACTGGCATCCAGCTGTTGGGCAGCAGTACCACATGCCAAATATGCTGGGTATACAGCTGACGGAGACCAGGCCACATTGGCAGTTTCATTTATTTCTTTAACCTTCATTTTGTCCCTGGAAACAATACATTTTCATTATTTCTATCAATACTGTGACTGTGTGCCATTCAATGTGTATATGGGTGAACCGTGGTTAGATTATGTTCTAAATTCTATTGCCAAATCATATGAAATGACCTGTATCCAACATGTTTAACCTGACAGTACATGATCCTTAAAAAATAAAACATTTTGTGAAAGACATGTTACCATGGGTTTTATACTGCTACCTCAATGCTGGAATAATACTGGATTTCCTATATGGTATAAGCATTTCAAATACTGTACTGTACATGTTTATGTATACAATGCACTGCACCCTAAAAATTCTGAACCATTTTATAACTAATCAACTCCATTGAGTTGGAGTTGATCAGTTGATCAACTGGAGTTGTTGGGTATAAATATTAGCTGATTCATATTAGCCAATAGGCCACCTATAGTTTCACCTACTGGTATGTTCTTTTGTTTGCTATGGTGCTCGGCGAGTTCTTTTTTTAACACTGCGAGAGGTCGGTCAGTTATATGTAAGGAAACAGTTAAAAAGCCTCAGGCCTGTGATGTTGATCGAGTTCTTTCTCAGCATGCCTATTGCAACCCTAATTCTCTAGCAACATTAGACAACCAGACTGCTTTGCGGCTTCCACACTCCTGTGATTGGTGAGAGGAAATGATACATATTGTCTTGAACAGGGATGAAATATATAAGCGTTACTGGAAGGTGGGCGAGGTCTGACAGTCTGACACAGCTGATGCCCACTAGTCATCTTGGCTGGGCCACCACACCTACACACACACACACCTGCTTAAACGCTCACACCACCACCTGCATCACATATAACACGGCGATTCACGCAATACTTGAACAAATATTACCTCAGAGTTAAGTTAGTTAAAAAAGTATGGTGGGAGACGGCTCATCAGCCACACTCGAGCGTTCTTGATGTCAACTAAATTGTTGCTACGTGGCCAGCGGGAGGTGCCGGCCGGGCCCCGGGCCACCACACTCCTCAGGAGTGCTGGCCCCGGCACTCCAACCTTCTCATCACTCCCTTATTAACGCCACTTTACCATTATTTCCCCAGCTGTAACCCATGTTACAATACCATTTATCTACCAGCAAAATAAATATTGCTGTCACTCTTTATGACCAAGAAATTGTATTTTATTTTATTTTTTCTAGATCTTGGTCCTGAATATGGGAACTTGTTGTTTTGTGTAAATTTCCGAGTTATCATTTTGCAAATATATAGGCCTATACTTAATATGAGGGTGGAATTTAATTTAATATAACAAGCGTCTACTTAAATTAGCTTTCAATTTGTCCCAAAATTTAATTATTGTTTAGGCTAATTAATAATAACCCCAAAAATCGCGGTGTATTGTCATTTCGGACACAAGACTATTCTACGAAGTTCGTTTTCTATAATAATAATAATAATAATAATGACAATATCTTGAGATCTTGAGGTTATCTTGAGATGATTTCGGGGATTTTTAGTGTCCCCGCGGCCCGGGGACATCATCACAATGATGATGATGATGATGATGATGATGATGATGATGATGATGATGATGATGATGATGATGATGATGATGATGATGATGATGATGATGATGATGATGATGATGATGATGATGATGATGACGATGATGATAACAACAATAATAATAATAATAATAATAATAATATTTTATTAGGTAAACGGACATACATACAAAATGAGTTACAAGTAGAATGTTGGATTTCTAGATGAAGCTATAGTATATACTATGCCTAAAGCTTCTGTGCCAAGCAAGTCCACTACGGGCTCGCCATACCCCGTGCTACTTGGAACATTTTGTTCCCAGTAGCTGAATCTAAAACAACAACAACAACAACACTAATACGCATAGCAATTCGGGCAAGCGTTTCTGTTTGTTAAAACCATGAATATGAATATACTAAAACCATAACATCCATGTTATGCTAGGATGTATTAGCTTAAGTTAGACTGTATTTTGTTCTGGTGGGTTGGGTGAGTTAAGGTTAGGTGGGTGTCAAAATTCCTTTGGCGAATCGTCTTGTGTACAATGTGACGCATCCAAATCGCGCACGAAAGTCGCTTTACTTTATATTTATTTATTTATTTATAAAATAAAATATAAAGAGGGGTCCCGGTAGTACAGTCGGCTTCGTTCTCAACTCACAATCAAATTCAAATTCAAATTTTTATTCAGGTAAAAGTACATACATAGAAGATGAGTTACAAACATAATGGTAGATTTATAGAGCTAGTACATACAATTCCTAAAGCCACTAATACGCATAGCGTTTCGGGCAATCGAGAATTCCGGGCTCGAATCCCGGCCGGACAGAAATGATTGAGCGTGTCGTATCACCTCATGCTCCTGTCCACCTAGCAGTAAATATGTAGCAAGGAGTTAATCAGCTTGTTATGGGGTTGCATCCTGGGACAGGATTCGACCTTCCCCCACAGGAAGAGGGGAGACCTTGATATAAGGCAAACATGTACTGTACATATAAGCTGGCTGTTTGTCTCCATACACTACTCTTGGGTGGCTTAATCTTTATCAATCAATCCATACACTACTACCTTGTGTAACTTCCGGGGATCAACAGCCTCGCGGCCCGGTCCCCAACTGGTTGGTCGTCTGGTCAACCAGGTTGGAGTTAAATTACGACTTTTTTATAACAAATTGATTTGGAGGATAATTTGTTTTTCTCAGGGATATTCCTGCGCGGGCTTTAAGCCTCTGGCTTAGACCTTAACTTAAATCCACAACGGTAAAGCCCGCAACAACTTAAATCCACAACGGTAAAGGAGTTTGCAATCCAAGAGGCAGATCCGGGGCTATGGAACATTAATGATACTAACACAATAGTGGCTGGCCCACTAATAGATGATACTGATCCAGACCACTTCTTCAAAAGGTCGGATATAGCATGAACAATGAGCAATGATTTCAAGCTCAAGCCACAATGCAAGACAGAAAACATGAGATGCTTCTTCACCCATAGGGTTATAAACTCATGGAACTCCCTACCCATTGATGCTATAAATGCCAATACCTGTACACTGCTGCAATTTAGTAGCATTTATAATTCCCAGAATTAGGCCAGGATACAGTATCCATACCTATGGCATGTGGTTGCAGGTAATGAATCCCCCGTGGTAAATATTCTTATTATAAACTACAGTATGAACAAGAGCTAGGACACATTCTCCAAACACCAATATGCATATTCTGATGGCAGATTTGCATTCTTTATCTCTGAACATTTAACTGACACCTTTTGGGTTCAACCCAGGTACTACTGGGTATCTCATCAAAAGTTATTCATAAATTCATTTGTAACAATGTTATTCTATGGAAGCAGAACCTGCTGCTGTAGTACAGTCAGCTTCATTCTTGACTCAAAATTAGGGAGACCGGGTGAGACAGAAATGGTTGGGCACATTTCATTTTACATTATGCCCCTGTTCACCAATCAGTTAATAGGTACCTGGGAGCTAGGCAACTTTCTTGCAAGTTTCCCCAGTAGCTCCTTGTTCCCATCCTTTCCTTTTCAGGGGATTCAGGTTGTCCTTGGGTGGTGCACATTTGTGTTGGGTCACCTACATCTGTTGAGTGGACCAGATAGTTTCTGGTCTGCAGTAGACTTTTATGACGTGCAAGGGCCTGGTGGGACATGTAAGTTTGGAGTTAACTAGGTGGCTGACTCCAGAATGCTACTAAGGGATGCCCTCCTATTAAAGTTATACCAACATACTCTGCATAATAATATATATTGTATATTGTGAAATACATGTTAAAGTAATTTTGTTGGCACTTGATAAAATCCACAAATTGCCCTATTGATTTAGTAGAGGGAACAGGAGAGAAGACAACAATCTCACCTAGCCTCTCCTAGGCCTAGTACACCGTAGTACATATTCTATATGTACTACATTAGGCCTAAGATTGCTTCTATTAAACATAGGAGAGGTTAGGTTGTTGGTTAGGCTGATATATTATTTTAAAATCCCTTAGTACTGTAATACAATAGAACAAATATGAACTTTTTTAGGGTGTTATCATTTTTTGAGGATGGGTTGAGATATACCATAGAGTATATAAAATAACCAGCAAAGGAAATAATACCAAACAAGTCAAAATAGAAAATATTTATACAGTAATTACACATGATACATTGTTTTTATCATAGATCATAGAAACTTGTGCAATTAGACACAAAACACAGTATAAATAAATTCATAAGATTTCTCAATCTAACCTACTATACAGTATCATCATATCAATATAAAATTATTCATTAAAACAAATGCACAATCCAGCTTTGTAAATGTTATACAGAATAAAAACAATTACCTATGAAACGTTGTGTAGCCTATATCAAATTTTGATATGCAATAACAAATGCATTGGAATAATATTTATAATACTATATTTTAAGCTATCTTTTTTTATAAATGCAAGGTTTAAGAATAATATCAGGAAGCACTGTTGTCTTCTTCAGTTTTCGATTCTTCTTAAATTCAAATAAAAAAAAGTATTTTCCATTAGTGTCCTTATGTACACAATGGAATCCAAACTTTTTTAACACATTCACAAACTCTTGAACATCTCCAAATCGACTCTCCACTTCAGCAATTTTCATAACTCCTCTGAAATATAAAGCCAAAAGATTAAAATCTAGGGGTAAATAGCAGATGGCATGAACTCAAGACAGAGCTGTCTTACCAGATAGGCCCGATGGGCACTTGTCCGGGGACCCCACGAGCATAGGACATGTTCATTATGGAAGCAGAATGTTTAAATATTTAGGTCTTGTTGCAAACACACTTATATAACCCTACATCCTAGTGTGGGACTAAATATTTAAGACATATATTTCCGGGTGAATAGCCCCTTCAGCAGAAATGAAACAATATTTTGAGTGGAGCAAAGAAGAGCAAGAGAGCTGCAGAGAAGGAGAAGGAGAAAATAGGAAAATTTCCAAAATTAACATCATGGCTCAACACAGGTGCAACGACAGCCACTAATACCATTCCTTCAGATATAGCATCCATACCCGTAATGTCAGCCACTAGTACTGTTCCTTCAGATATAACATGTACGTACATCCATTCCTGCTACCAATCATCCAGTTTCAGCAGACATACCATTATTGCCTGTTGCTGCTGCTGGTGACATTTTACAAGAGGAAATACCCAAATCTGTAATGGTAAAGGAGTTTGCAATCCAAGAGACAAATCCGGGGCTATAAAACATCAATGATACTAACATAACAGATTTTACTGGATTCGTAGTGGGCCCCTCATCATGTCAGAATCATGATAGCAACCCTTTACTCGTGCAGTGTGTATAAAAAGAGTAGGGAATATGAAGGCAAAATATTTATCAATGTGTTCAAACGTGAACTACGGAAGTGCAAGTATGTAAAACGTGAATGGCTACTCTATCCACCATCCTAAAGTCGTTTGTATTGCTTTGTATGTCACCAATTGCCCAAGAAAGTATCTCCCTTAGCTACATTGGGATTCAATGACTGGAAGCACAACAATGTTTAATAAGGCATAAAGAAACTGGAAGTGTAGATTCTTAATTACTTGAGCAACATCGCTCAGAGCAGGAATATTGGCATAAAGTATTGACACGTGTGGTTTCTGTAATTCGCCTTTCTTGCCTCTAGAGGTTTGCAATTTCGTGGAGAAAATCACATTATTAGCTCAGCCAAAAAAATGGCAACTATTTAGGTATAATAGAGCTGCTGAGTAAATTTGACCCTTTCTTGGAAGAACATCTCAAAATGTATGGAAATCCCAGGAAAGGGAATCCGTCATATTTATCTGCAAATATTTGTGAGGAATTTATTGAATTAATGGGACAACAGGTTCTTTGTACTATTCTTGAAGAAGTAAAAAGAGTCAAAGTATTATTCAATAAATCTAGATTCCACTCCAGACATCTCACACACAGATCAACTCTCATTTACCGTCCGATACATTAAAGGCTGTGAGCCGGTGGAACGTTTCTTGATGTTCATCCCCATATTTTCTCATGGGGAAGCTTTTCTCATGTTCAGCATCTGTAAGTATCTAACAGACATTGTCGTGGATTTTCTTAATGTGAACAAAATTCCACTATCAAACTGCCATGGTCATACAATGCCTTAAATATGTCTGTAAGATATACTGCACTGGATTGCAAGCATGGATTCGTCAACTCAATAAGTTTGCCATTTATGTCCCCTGAGCTGGACACAGCCTGAACCTGGTGGGAGTAAAAGCAGCAGTGTTTTGTCTATAGACTGCCAAATTCTTTGACTTTGTTCAGCATCTGTATTAATTTTTTGTTGGCTCTATTCATCGCTGGAATGTATTGACATCGTTTTTAGGAAAAGATTCTGTGGTCAAGTGTTTGTCTGACACACATGTTCAGCACATTTTGATGCTGTTCATTCTCTGTATAGGGGTTTCGAGAAAATAAAACCTGCACTGGATTCTATATCAGCTGACAATGAACAGCAAGTGAATACAAGGCGAGAGGCAGAAGGATTGAGCAAATAAATTGAAAACCTGGAAACAATCTTTCTCACAATTCTTTGTAATGACATGCTAGAAAGAATGAACAAAACAAACAGGGTCCTGCAATCAAAGGATGTGAACATCCTTGTTGCCACGAATCTTCTTGAGTCTATGAAAACCTATCTTCAGGAAACTTGGGCAAATTTAGTGAATATGAATTCAAAGCCAGGATTCAAATTTAGGATAATTTGAAATCTGTATTCCCGAATGTTGAAGTTGCACTCAAGAGTGTTCATGTGCATGATGGTGACCAACTGTACAGGAGAACAATCTTTTTCAAGGCTGAAACATATAAAAAAATCTGCTTCGTAGCACAATGGAGCAGCATCATTTGAACTGGCTTTCACTCATGTGTATGGAAAATAACATCCTGAAGACCATTGACTTCAAGCCAATAATATAGCAATTCTCAAATGATTGGAGGCAAATGATTGTTATAATAATAAGTTTGTAGTAATTTCATAGTGTGTCATCTAATATGTGTAGCTTACCGAGTATTATTGTGTTTTTCAAGCCGTGTGTATTCTTCAAATGTTTATCATCATGTTGACTAACTGTTGCGTTACAGCATGTTTTTAATGTTTTAACACCAGTTTTGTTGAAGTGCTAATAAAATAAATACATGTTTAATATTATCGACCATTTACTTTTTAGTCCTGCGAGTGTTTGTCGTAGGGGCCCCAGCACACTGGTTTGCCCAGTGGCCCATAATGCTGCTAAGACGTCCCTAATTCAAGAACTTGTATTTAATAATATGGGAACATAGTACAGTATAAAAGTGAAAAGAATGTGGCAAACAAAACTGAAATGGTGATAATGACTTAGGATAAAACTTGAATTAGACTTCACACAACAATAAATAAGAATGTGACAGTACACAGCAATACTATGGATCCAAAATCAAAGCTTACTGTCAAAATTAAACTTCTATGTTGCAGGAATCTATTACATGTGATACAAATGGCAACACCTGGATTGTTTACTCAGCTGCCATTCCTCGAGCAGTTTGAATGTGAATTTGGAGGTACAGTCAATTGCAAAATGTTGCTCGCAATGGAATATTTTCAGAATTTTCTGGGCCAAACTGACTTATATATCAGCCAGACTGACTGGCTGATATATAAACCCACCACTGATAACCTCTAGTTATAATATTCACCTAATAACTAGATACCACAAACAAATAAAATACTAACCCTTCTTTCAAAACTCTATTAGCCTCCAAAATGAAATCCTTTATGTTGGTACACATAAGAGAGAGGCAAAATACAACAACATCTACAGCAGCCGATTGCAGTGGTGAATGTGCCATGTCACATGCTGTAACTCTTGAGTTTACTGCAACCAAGTCAAGGGAATGAACTTTCTGCTGGGGTACACGGAGAGCCAGAGCAGCTTCACCACAACCAAAATCAGCCACTACCCATTCCTTTGGCCTGAAATACATTGGTATTATAACATAACTAGTCACATTAATTTGATTGAAGTTAGATCCCTGTTACATGATCTGTCTGTGTAAAGTGAGCATGATCCAGGCTAGCTCTAAATAAAGCGATAATGCTGAATATATTTTTATACGTACTTGAATTTATAACTTATACAATTGTTATCCAGTATGTTCTTTGCACTGCACATCATTGGCTATGCAAATTACTAGTTGTTATATTTAGTTTAAATTTCATCAAAGTTTCCATTATGTTTTGCAACTTTAATTAAACTAATAGTGAAGTTGTATGTCTCCAGTTTGTATGATTTTCTACTGTTGCTATAACTAATATTGTCATTATTATATCTACTATTGTTATCTGTACTTCTGTTATTATAGTACTACTACTTTTGTTACTGCCACTACAGGTACTGTTATTGGTTACTAGTAACACTAGTACTAATTATTAATACTGCCTACTGTTTTTATTAGTACTACCGACTGTTGTCATAAATACTACCAACTGTTGTTATTAATACTACTACAGTTAATATTACTGGCAATGTTAATATTAATACTAATGCTACTAGAGTTGTCAACAGTTGGAACAATTAAAGTAAAAAGGTGGTAGATTCCAAAACAATTGGTAGTTTCAGTGTGTCATATGACAATTATAGGCAAGTAGGGACACTATAAACATAGCTCTCGTCCTGTAACTACACATAAGTAATAAAACACCTAGGTAATTACACACTCCACATATACACTTGTATGTATGTATGTATGTATGTATATATATATATATATATATATATATATATATATATATATATATATATATATATATATATATATATATATATATATATATATATATATATATATATATATATATTTATATTTATATTTATAATTTTTTTTTACACACGCACACCTCACGGCTGAGTGGACAGCACTCTGTAGTTCTAGTCCTATGGGCCCGGGTTCGATTCCCGGCAGAGGCAAAAAAAAATGTTTTTTTTTGGTTGGAACAGGAGAATCACCCTGATTCTCCTGTTCACCTAGCAGTAAATAGGTATCTGGGAGTTAAATGTGTGTGCGCGCGCGTACGTGTAAGAGAAATATATGTAGTTGACATAATAAGAGGAAAAATAAATTGGTTAGAAAGGCAGGGTCCAAGAACTAATAGCTCCATCCTGCAGATACAAATAGTAAATACACTGCACTACACACAAAATAAGGCTTAACAATAAAGTGTAGCTATGCCAATGATAAGCTCACATTACAAAAATTAATAGACATACTTTTTGCAAAGCCACTTCACAATAATATCCTGAGGGCTGACTGGCCAGTGTCTGACTTGTGCCTGATAGCCAGCATGGTAAGTTTTAAAAGATTCATGATCATTTTTGAACATCCTGACAGCTTCAGCACTACTGCTTGTATACAAGGCCTCATTCACCATTCTGTTGGAGGAAGTTTTATTAGTTTTTCTGCATATCAGATGGATATTGTAATGCAAAATATGAACTATAATAGAAGTTCAGCAAATAACAATCTTAAAATGGTACAAAATATCTCTCTTTATCATCTTGCCATGATTTTCTGTCTGAATCAGTATCAAAAGTGCATTTTGAACACTGGAATTGAGGGGAAGCTTTTTTTTCAATAAAAGTGGAGTCAGTTGCGTCAAGTGTAAAATTTTGTTCATTAATGAATGAGAAATGAATGCTGCATGTAGTTCATTTAGGCTCTTTATCTTAAAGATGGGCTGCAAACAGGATTATTTGCGTAACCATACCACACAGTAATAAGGACATAAAACAGGGCAAAATGAATGTTCCTGTATACACAACAAATTTCAAATGTTAAAGAGAAGAATGTGTACTAGCCATTTACTGACTCAAGAGCATCCAGAGTCACAAGATGGCTATTTCCTGGCTAGAGAAGTACTGTTCTGTATATGCTTATTCACCACAAAAGGGTTATACAATCTATGAAGCATTACTACATGACTTCTTTTTAACTCTGAAGTGATATCCTAAGAATGGAGCAATGGCCAACAGCTTGCTTAAGTTGAATATCACTTGTACTGGAGACTAGAGTGTAACCAGAAGCATTGGAACCATTGAGTCAAACAGCAAGCCTGGAGCAAGGATATAAGTACAATATACAAATGAACTAATCTGTCATTTAATTAATATTATGCACCATACACCTACATTGAATAGAAAATATTTTAATCTGAAGAGAAATTATACCTACCAAGAGCAAGATTACAGTACTACTGGTAATAATTATATTTATGCTGTGTGACAGCATAGAAGCATTATATTGATAAAATATGATGATACAGTATACTCTACTCCATGAGAGCAATCAGAATGGGCAGCTGGAGCTTATTAGTGTAAAATACTGCAGTGAAGATACACTGTAGTGTATAGTATGTTGGTGCAACAAAAATAGCTACTCATTGCTGTATCAATAAAAAACAGTACAATATAATGAAGCTATTGAACATAACTAATATTGTGTATATTATATGCATGATGTTTGGTTTAATGTGCATACTTTTATATATCTATATCAAAGTTTAGCAGATTATAAATAGACAAACATGTATTGCGTATTATCTCATTTAGTGTATTGTTATACAGTACAAAATAGTGCAGTATACGATTATGTATAAATACAGTATATAGAAAATACAATAGTTGCTAAAGTTAATACAAATATGTGATACTCTACATAACCAATTTTTAAAGATAATTATACCATCCATATAAGGATTGCATGTATCACTGGTTCAGTATACTCCAGCACCTCTCCCAACCACTGCTCACTTGCATCTTAATTATAAATAAATATTATCCAGTTATAAAATACTGTACCCCAAGTTAGTTTACATTCACACCCAGCCTCGACACTCTACTCGAGTCATGAGCTAAGAGCTTTCTGACAGGGAACTCGGTATACTGTATTTGAACTATAACCCCATTGTTATGACTGATGAATATGGTTAAATGTGAAGTGCTTACCTGAATCTTGCAGCAGTCAGTTGATCAGTCATCTTCTGCTTTAAAGCTTCTGCTGGGCTAAGTTCTAATGGTTTTGTTTCTTTTGTAACTTTTGCCTCTTCGAGCATCTGAGCTAGCTTGCCCTTGTCAAATTTTTTACCTTTATTATGTATTTTGGGACTCGAGGTTTCACAGGAATCTGTTTTAACTTGTTTTTTGTCTTTGATAATTTTTTGTTCTTTAATAGTCTTTTTCTTTTTTTCATATACTGCATTTTCATTATGTTTATGGTCATATAACTTCATGTCTTTGTTCTGTTTCTTTGTCTCCAAATTGTCCCTGTCATATTCAAAAGCATTATCATCTTCACTCTCTGAACTTCTAATATTATCCTCTTCACTAAGTTCTGAATTTTTATTACAATCATTTATATTTTCATTTTCTCTTGAGATTATAGAACTATCATTCAAATACATCCTTTTCCGTTTTATTGGTTGTGAAACATTAACATTGTCAAAATCTAATTTCTTCAGCAAAGTCTCAAAATCTGATTGAAAATTGGGGTCACAGTCTTCATCATTGGACTCGAACTTTAATTCTTTGACGGTTTCTTTAGCTTTGTTTTTTTTCTTTTTCTTTTTTTGCTTACTTCCTAATTCGTTACAATCATTATCTTTTATAGAATTTTCTATTTCAGAGGACAATTTTTTTTCTTCAATTTTCTTTTTTGTGGACTCTACATAATTCTTACTTTCTTTAATTCTCTTATTTTTCTTACTCTTTTGGAGTTTAATGTTTTCAATTTTAAGTGTATTTTCATTACATTCATTTGGAATCATTTGATTATCTATTTCAATTTCAGTTACATTAGAGTGTCTCATAATATTTTTTGAACGAATCTTACTTGTCTTATTCATATTGCTGGCTTGGTGTTTACTTCTGACTTTTTCTTTTGCTTTGTGACTTTCTTTATCATCAGTAACAAAATATTCTGAGATTGCAGTTGCATTAGTTGATAAGTCACCATTTACTGCACATATCCCTGTTGCATATTCATTACTAGTACTTGACAGATTGCTTTCTTCAAACTTCTGTTCTTTCTTCTGATTAGCATTAATTTCTTTGTATTTATTTCTATTTCTCTTTTTCTTCTTTTCAGCAACTCTTTTTATTAAATGTTCATTATTATATATATTTGGATTTGTATTGCCATTTGTAGTCATTGTCTCGGTGCTCTCATTTTCTACGGTATTCTCTGAATTACCAAAAATTTTGTTTCCCTCCTCACCGACTTTAAATTCAAGTCCCTGCTTCATCTTATTCTTTTTCTTTTTATCTGCTCTCTTTTTGGATGAGTTTCTTGGGAACAACAAAGAATCATTTTGACTGTCATTGAGATCCACATCACATGGGTTCAAACTATTACTAGTCTCATTTGTTTGTATTTTCTTTGGAATTTGCAGAGGGATTTGATTGCATTTTATTTTATTTTTCTGTTTCTTCTTCAATTTTGTTGATTTACTTTTAAAAGGCTCTGTGGTTAATGCCTGAAATAAAGAATGTAGTAAAACATGAGACAACAATCAATACTGTGCAATGCAATAAATAACATGCTGAATTCTCTTATTAATACCATATACAATATGTATGAACTATCAATCTACAATGCTTCCCTCTGATGTTCAATGTTCTCTGATTGTGCTTATGGCACCTCTACTCTTCACTGGTTTTATTCTGCATTTCCTTTCCGTGTCGTTTGTTCCAATACGTTGTTATTTTACTGTGCAAATTAAGGACCTGGCCTTCCAGTATCTTCCATATATGGGACGGGGGTGAAAAGGAATGGTGCCCAACCACTTGAACGGTCGGGGATTGAACCCCTACCTGTATGAAGTGAGACCGTCACTACCATCCACCCCAAGTGGTTGAGCAAGCCAAAACTAGCCAGTCATAAACATAGGCCAAGATGAGGACTGCCACAAGATTAGCTCCCAGAGTAATGTATAATATCACCTTTATCATTCTAACACATCATAACCTAACAATATATTTGCTTTTAACAATTAGAAAAAGCTCTGTTGAAATGCCTGTGAACAATTTGACTGTACAGTACTCCTGTTTAGCATACTTTGGGATCTGAAGTGGGCTATATTTTAATTGAAGATAGTTGTTATAGTTTTGATAGCTGATTTTTTAATTTGATGTATTGTAGTCGCGTCTTCATGCACAGATATCCAAGTTAGATAGAGATGAATTAGAGAGTGATATAGTGTGAGAAAAAGAGAAAGGACATAGCACCTGATTTGTTAAAAAGCATACCAACTAATTTAAGATATTTTATTGGCTATGTGTTGCATGCAAGTCAAGTGTCGAAGTGAAGTCTCTTGTAAATGTCTAAAAACAAAAGCAGGTTCCTAAGCAGAGTATTTGAGATGTCATCAGTGGTATAACTTTGTATGGCTCATGACAGGTTTTACACACTACCTGTATAGATGGTTTGGTTTCCCATTACGGGTACAGGAATTTAGGATTATTGAGGGTCCTCTAAGGCAACTACTGACCTTTCCAGAATGCAACCCACAGCCGTTGACTAACTCACAGGTACTAATCTACTACTAGGTGAACAGACCCGTCAGGTGAAAGGAAACATGCCCAAACCCTTTCCATACCATCTTCCTGTAGAATCTGAACCGAGGACCTTTGGTTGTAAACCAACTGTGCTCATCAGTGCTACAGGACCATAATTTTGTGTGTGTGTGTGTGTGTGTGTGTGTGTGTGTGTGTGTGTGTGTGTGTGTGAGAGACATTGTGGGTTGTGTCAGTACAGATTTTAATGATTAACTGGTACATTCTTCCCAAGCCACTAACAAGCAGCATTACAAAGTACAGTAGCTGCTGTTTCTGTGATTGTGTAAAAATAATTATCCGGCAGAAGCGCTAAGTCAAGCGATTGTGTAAATTCAGTCCATTTTATTCATATTTCACATATTTTCCAAATGGCATATCACCAACACAAATCTGTGAAGCTAGGCATTGTATAATGTACTGAAATACATACCGACGATCCTGGTAAATCTAACTCATTATGATAAGAGAACGCGTCCCCATCACCCCAGTCAGGGATAAGGAAACTCATGGAGGTGATTTAGGCGCAGGCTGCAGAGAAACCTTGATTGATGAAGATTAAGTCTCCAGCAGAGAGAGAACCTTAGTCTCCACAACACATCCCCTGGTGGCACTCGCTGCGGGGGAACGCTCCCTGCCCACCCTCACGCACTCATATTACGCCTTATATTCTAACAATTATAGTTTGATTCAAGAAATCTAAAATAAAATGACTATAAGTGGCGATGATTAATATAATTATTGTAACTATGAATTAAGAGTATGTTGTAAAAATAATGAGAGGAACAAATAAAAATATTGGTAGAAAAGTATTTCTGGCTAAAATTAATAACCGTATTGACACATGCAAAAAATCCTATATAATTTAAAGGATTCGTATTATGAAAAGTAATTAGTAAAAACTAATATTTACTTTTAATTTTATATTGATAGTCCTTAAGCCAAATCAATGACGGAAACCAGCGAACATTTTAGCCAACAATCAAAATCTATATTATTAAATTAATTACAATTACTTTTATTTTTAACTTTTTTTTATTAGCAAGCTTAGGTATACACAGCAATATTGTTACCATATTCTATATGAAAGATTACACAATGTAGATAAAAAGTTAGCTATAAGTTCATTTAATATTCCCATCTCATACGGGGGGGGGTCCGGCCGCTGGCCTGCGGTGGGGGTGCAGCGCCGGTCCCCAAGTGTCCCGCTGTCCGCAGCTAATACTTTGCCCAGTCTAGGTGCTAGTAAGCCCTACTTGTAGTCACACCCCCTTCTCCTTATCCATTAGGTCTTTTACGGCCTCTTGGCCGGGTACATTACGTGTTATGTGGTCTCTCACTTATTAGTTATTCTTTGTGTCCTGCCTGTTATATCCTAGTGTTATATAATTACTACACATTTGCACTCGGCCTTAATTCTAGTACCAGTTAACCTTTAGGTTTCTGCAGAATTAGTTTCCATGTCACTATAGGCTAAGGTCTCATACTTACTACGGGTGTACCTTTTAAGTTAAATCTAGTCCTCGGACTTGGAATTGTTACTGTTAATTCTTACTTTATATATTTACTTTATATATTTTAATATAAACGTTATATAGTCCTTAAATTATATATTTTGAAACTTTATATATTTACATGTTCAATATTAAGTTTAATAATATCAACTTTGTTATAAGCCTATAATATAAACCGTGTTTAATATAAACTTTATATAATTACTTACTTTATATTTGAACTTTATACATTTACATGTTCTGCAGAATTTAATCTTCAATAAACTTTAACGCCCCATACTGCCAGTATCTTTCTCCCCCTGGTCAGAAAACATGGAATCAGGGGAGAAAATACCAGTCTCAAATACAAAAACAAATAAACTCTGACTAGACAACAACTTCACGATTTTCACAAGAGCTAAGCACTGAATCATGGAAATATTATTTTATAATTACTCCTACCAGTTTCTACAAGACTCCTCTCAAACAATGTCTTTTCTTTTTAACAAGCCAATGTAGCGAGTAGATTATCCCAATAATATACTCGCTTTGTTAATATTCCTGTCAACCTTTGGAGATGAATGAGGTGAGGCGTTGCCCGGGCAATACGGTGAGGAGTTGCCCCGGCATATAAGCAGCAATAGCAAACATTAACAAGAGTCAACTTTCAAGTGTGGTCTAGAGCAGACACTTGCGAGATACTGTACCAACGCTCAGTGCGCTCAACTCACACCAACGTATCACCTGTGTACTTCTGTATATTCGACCAAATATATATATAGTATCTTAGTGTCTGTGTTTATTTGTCACCATACTTTACGTAACAATAGAACCGTTACATTGGTGACCCAGTGAGTGAAAAGAACACCTAGTCACAAACTAGATCTTCGTCATGGATTTATCTACCAGGTTTCCAGCATACAACGCAGATGAGCCAGAATTTTGGTTCATGCAGATGGAGGCTATTTTCGACCTTCACGAAGTTTCGACGATACCCAGCCACGATGGACTACAACATGGACTCTCACTGGACCTCTAGTGCTACTGTTTGCTGTGATGGAATACTGCCATTACCCTCGCCACAGCTATGATTTTCATCGTGTCCATCTCTGCATTTTCATCTACTACGGCTCGCTGCTCCACGATCGTTACTCACTCATCTGACAGCCTCATCAATGATTACATCATGTTGGATCTTCAGCTTGTCCTGCCGACTCTCCGTCGCTGCCAGGACACTGCTTGTCCTACGCCCACGACAGCTGCTCTGTCATCAGATTCATCTACACGTTCACTGCATTTTGATACTCGGCGACTCAAGCCCTTTGCGCAGTACAGGACTTACAGCTTGCGTTTCCGACACTTCGTCGCCTTCAGGACAATTCAGCTCTAGATGTGATTACCTCGTTGTCCTAACTACGTGCCTACATTACCTCCTAATGTCCTGGTGCCCGAGCCCATCCGCCCCGGATCTAAATGCTCCACCAGCGACCCAAGGACGCAACAATTATGCACATTCTTCTCTCCTGCTACACCGAGCTTGTCCACACACTGCCTACATCTTTTAGTACCAGACTACAATTTCCACAGTCAACAATGTAGTACTCGGCGTGTACAGTCCTAATCAACCCAAGACGTTACAGCTTCGACACAGAGCAGACAGCAGACTACGACCGCATCGAGCCGCCACGCTCTCGCTCCCCGAGTTTAGACACTCACAATTCTCAATCGAGCCGCCACGCTCTCGCTCCCCGAGTTTAGACACTCACAATTCTCAATCGAGCCGCCACGCTCTCCCACATAGAGCTCCACGACTCCGGCCTCACTCAGCTCTCTGCTCTGCTCCAGGCTTCGTCTCAACGTCTGCGACACTGCTAAATCCAGAGACACATCCGCCGACTACGCAGTACACTTTTCGACCCCAATTACCAGCCGCACCACAACCCTCCTACGACGACGGACGATCCTGTGCGACCTCCCACCCTACGACCCCAGTTAGATGACATCAGCGAAGAGGAGGAAGTTAACTTTGATGGTTATGTAACGCGAGCAGGGCGTACAATTCACCGACCAGCTAAGTTCCTTGATCAAATATTTTTCCTTTCATCCCCTGGGAGGGGGAGTTCTGTAGCGAGTAGATTATCCCAATAATATACTCGCTTTGTTAATATTCCTGTCAACCTTTGGAGATGAATGAGGTGAGGCGTTGCCCGGGCAATACGGTGAGGAGTTGCCCCGGCATATAAGCAGCAATAGCAAACATTAACAAGAGTCAACTTTCAAGTGTGGTCTAGAGCAGACACTTGCGAGATACTGTACCAACGCTCAGTGCGCTCAACTCACACCAACGTATCACCTGTGTACTTCTGTATATTCGACCAAATATATATATAGTATCTTAGTGTCTGTGTTTATTTGTCACCATACTTTACGTAACAATAGAACCGTTGAAGAAATATAACACTTACTCTAAATGGTGTGGAACTGAGCCGTGTACAGAAGTACAAGTATCTGGGCATGTATGTTGGATACACATGTGAGAGTAAAAATGCTGAAATAAATCATATCAGCACCTTATGTAAAGCCCGTCTGCATCCTCTAAAAGCACTGGCTTTTTCTGGTAAAGGTGTTGGGGTACCTATCTTGCGGATGTTATACATAAGCACTGTTCGATCCCTGATAGACTACGCAGCACCCGTATTGTCTTACACAGGCCAAGGCAGAATTCAAAAAATAGAGCTGATACAGAACGAGGCTATGAGGATTATTCTTGGATGTCAAAGAAATGCAATGATTGAAATAATGAGAATGGAATTAAATTTACAGAGTGTGTGTGATAGAGTCCGTGACATTAACACTAGAGTATCTATTCGTTTCATGCGGAGAAAAGGAGGGGATAAGCTGTTTGAGAGCGTTCAGACCTGCTTGAGTGACGTACACACTTCCAGGAAACTGAGGGAGACACGCTATACGAGAGGATTAGCTCATGACCTCAGGGAATACGACGTACTTGACTGCTGTAAACCCTCTCGACAGTGTAATATGTCTGCTCCCTGGATAGTACAGAAAATAGACGTCGAAATTGTACCCCTCAAGGTGAAAAAGATTCATCATGAACCGGGACAATTACGGTGTTTGTATGGAAGCATGATATCTCGGTTACCAAGAGGCAACAGTTTACATGTATATTGCGACGGGTCGGTGGCGGAAGATGGCAGGGCAGGGTGTGGTGTCCTAATAAGGGATTATACGGAGTTTGGGACTGTGGACAGGATAATTGAACTCCGGCTTAGTAATTATATATCATCCACACAAGCTGAACTGCAGGCCATTCTGGCGTGTTTGGAGGAAGTACGTCATGACGACAAAAATGTTTTTGTATTTGTCGATAGCCGAGGAGCACTGGAGTCCTTAAACAGTCGAAACCCAGTCTTCATGTCTATAGTGGAGGACTGTAAGAGAAGAATAACTGAGATACAGCTGAAAGGTTATAGTGTGAAATTCATGTGGATTCCGTCTCATGTTGGAATAGTGCTCAACGAGGTGGCGGATGACTTGGCCAAACGTGCCACATCAAAACCACAAGTTGACATTGAATGTGAATTCACAATGAGACAAATAAGAAGCAAAATCAGAAATATTCAGGCACAGGCGGGAGTGGAGAGGAGAGAGATAATGTATGAGAGAAGTCAAACCATGCAACACTACATGTATGTGAGTCAAAACACCCATTTCACTTATGGTAAAAGGAGAAATGCTTGGAGTGACTCTGTGTACATGCGGCTCAGGCTTGGGTACAAATATTACTGGGAATATGGGATAGATGTTCATGGTAATGACACGAAGTGTAAACTATGTGGTATGTTAAGGTCTCACACCCTTGCCCATTATATTCTTGATTGTCCGTTGATTAATGTATATAGAAACACTGAGATAAGGACTGTTCCTGAACAAATAGCCTGGATGTGTCACAACGGAAAGGTTGATGATATTCTTGAGAGATATAAGAATTTTGCACCAAGATTGTAATATTTTGTTGAATTATCTGCAGGTGTCTTGCAAATTGTCTATACAGTATACCTAGGTCATAAAAGTATTTGTGTGTACGTCTGATACCATACTACTTGTGAAGGAGGAAATGTATATGTTTACCTCTCAGAATGTTTGGTAATATGTTTATTGTTTGTGATGTGTGTCTATGTATATATTAACACGTTGTACTGAATGGGGTGAGAATAGCTTGAGCTACCTCATCCCTTTGTGTGTATTTTACCTCAATAAACTTATTTCAATTTCAATTTCAAATAGAACCGTTACACCAAGATACACACAGCAATGAATGTGCTGCTACCCCATTCTGTATGAAAGACCACACAGTGTAAATAAAAACCCAGCTAAAAGCTCATCCCATATTCCCACCTCACAGGATGGTTAGTCATACTGTACATGGAATCAGGAGAGAGCCTGAAATGTAAGGCTGATCCATTAACCTCCACTAGCAAAATCTGGGTACAGCACAAGAATATCTTCCAATATTCCTGAGTCTAGGGAACTAGGCATCAGGTGAAAAGAAAGGCAAGTTGTAGTGCAACTAAGTTGGCAAGTTGTATGTGTAGAGCTTAACCATTTGTTAATGTCACACTAATAGTCTGAACTGAGCTGAACATTTGAACTGAGCTCATCAATGAAAGCTCGTGAGGCCAATTTTTTAGTTAGAAACTTTCCAGTGAGGATATTAATCCAATGCACGGCTACTTTGCATATCTGATACGAAATATATTGATATCTAGCGATTATATGATATAGTTTTCTGCTGAACAATTCTCTAAAATCTAAATTTACTAAAAATTGTTTAGTGTATCCAAGTTTATCAAACAAGCTTCGGCAGCATATACAGTATTGGAGTTCGCCATAAACGTTCGGGGGTATGGTTTGGTGTTTGCTGAGACGTGGTTGCTATTGCGACGTTCCATGTAAACAAAGTGGCGTGTTAGAGTAGTAGTCTATTGTCTACAGGAAACGTGGGAACTGACAACAAATAAGCACGAAGTTAAACACTTTGCAAGGAACATGGCCACAGATGAACAAACAGTTATGGAAGTATTACCGAGCTCAGAAACGCGTGAAGAAAGTGTACAGGAAACAATGAGTGTGGGCGGAACTGAAACTACAAGCGAGGGAGCTTCAGGTGGCGGTGATGGTGGCCGGACTTCTGAAGTTTCAGGTGGAGAGAACAAATGTGGATCATCAAGTATAACAGGGAAAAAAGAACCGCTTTGTTTAATCGTTCTTGGCATGGCAGGCTCAGGCAAGACTACTTTTGTGAAAAGGCTGGACTCTTATTTGAATATTCGAAAGCCCCATCATGTTATCAACTTGGATCCAGCTGTCGACAAAGTTCCATACATGTCATACATAGATATTAGAGATACTGTGAACTATAAGGAAGTTATGAAGCAGTATGGCCTTGGCCCAAATGGTGGAATTGTTACATCTTTAAACCTTTTCTCGACAATGTTCAATGATGTTCTAAAACTAATTGCTAAGAGAGAAAAGGAAATAGACTATGTAATATTTGATACACCAGGTCAGATAGAGGTTTTTAACTGGTCAGCCTCGGGGCCAATTATTGCGGGAGCTCTTGCTGCTACTTACCCAACGGTCATTGTTTATGTCCTGGATTCTGTTCGTTCCACAAATCCACAGACATTCATGTCAAATATGCTTTATGCTTGTTCAATTCTTTATAAATATAAGCTTCCCTTCATAATTGCTATGAATAAAATTGACATAGTTGACTGTAAGTATGCTATGGATTGGTTGCAAGATTTTGACGAGTTCCAAGATGCTCTTGCCTCAGAATCATCATATGCCTCAAACTTGACAAGGTCATTGTCTCTAGCACTGGAGGAGTTTTATAGCACCATTAAAGCTTGTGGTGTTTCAGCTTTTACTGGGGAAGTAAGTTCGTTAATCTTGAATATACAGTATTTAGATATACAGAGCTGTACAATGCTACCCATTAATTTTTATTTCTAAATTTAAGCAGTTTAATTTGTTTATTATGAAACCCACATCCATACTTGTGGTAGTAGCAGAATGGTTAGTTACATAATGGGTTCAGGAACTGATTTCCAATGTTCTTAAGGGTAAACAATTTACAATAATATACATATGTTATATTTTTATTTGTGTATAATGCATCCCACACCCCTCCATTACACAGTGATGGAAAGGTTACAATCACACACTTAGCTCAAGAAATGTAGGCTATATTGGTAAACTTGGGCAGCATGGCTAGCATTTTGGGTACTACACCTATACTGTATTAGTTTGGACAATTTTTTGTTTTACATTACACTTGTAATTGAATATTTGTGATAAAGTCTGTGAACTGGATTTACTGGCCTCCCTTTGCTTACACTTGCAAATTCCTTTTGCCTCTGCCCTGGGCCAAAAAGCATGAGTTTCAGTACTAAGTGCAACTGAGGAATTCTGCTAAAAAAATTGCTCCTGATATTGACTGAAATAATGACTTTTTTTTTTTACAGTTATAGTGGCACACTTGTTTCATTATTATCGATAAAGTATTTCTGCAATACATATACTGTATATAGATATGTTAAATATAATGTTAAATATTTCTACAGGGGATGGAAGCTTTCATGCAACTTGCAGATGAAGCTGCCATTGAATTTGAGGAATATCGTGCTGAACATGAAATGCTCAAAGAAAAGAAAAAACATGAAAATGAAGAACATCAGAAGCATGACTTGGAGAAAATTGAAAGCGACTTGAAGGAAGATGGTTTATGTTCAGTGAGAAAGGCAATCAGGTAAATCATGTTTTGTATCATGTTTTAACTTTTCTGAAGGAGCCCTTGGTGGCTCCTGTAGCTATCTCATTGACAATGGCTTTCCCCTTACTGAGACTCAATAGGAAGAAAGCCATCTCAGGGAAATGGTTTTAGTGAATCATCGAGGCCTTACCAGAGAGAGGCACTAAATTACATTCAATACTAGTTTCTTGATTATCATACAGGTACAGTATATCTATTCTGTTCAAATATTTTTATCTTGAAGTAATACAAAATTATTATTACTACTGTACATCCACAGGTAGGATGTGATATGTAGGATAACTTGAGATATATAGCTAATACTGTATAATAATAATAATAATAATAATAATAAATATAATTCACTGTGTTAGGGGGGATCAGACAGCCAGTGTATATATACATGTTAAGGTTATGATACCTGGTTGATACCTGGTTGATGGGGTTCTGGGAGTTCTACTCCCCAAGAGGAGCTTGAAAAATAGTATACAACATACACGCCACCTGAGGATTTGAACATACACGAGACCAATCTCCAGACAGCCATTGCAGCTGCTGCAAACAAAGCTGTTCCAATCAATATCCCAGGAAACACTAAATGGAAGAACTATTGGTTCTATAGTAATGAAGTTAAAGAACAAAACCAGAGTCAACATCTTCAGAAAACATCTAAAGAGAAACTCCACACCAGAAGGAAGAACTCTGCTAAGAGCGGTGATATCTGAAGCAAGACGAGTTTCTAGAGAGATAAAGGAGGCAAGATGGTTTGAGTGGTGTCAAACTCTAAATGAACATATTATTCATTGAACATAGTAATATCATTTAGAGTTTGACACCACTCAAACCATCTTGCCTCCTTTACCTCTCTAGAAACTCGTCTTGCTTCAGATATCACCGCTCTTAGCAGAGTTCTTCCTTCTGGTGTGGAGTTTCTCTTTAGATGTTTTCTGAAGATGTTGACTCTGGTTTTGTTCTTTAACTTCATTACTATAGAACCAATAGTTCTTTCATTTTGTGTTTCCTGGGATATTGATTGGAACAGCTTTGTTTGCAGCAGCTGCAATGGCTTTCTGGAGATTGGTCTCGTGTATGTTCAAATCCTCAGGTGGCGTGTATGTTGTATACCATTTTTCAAGCTCCTCTTGGTATATATTCCAGTTGGAATATATGTATGTAAGATTATGTTGATCTTGGTCATACTGTTGTTATGTGGCTAGGTTGTGGACAGAAGCATTGCCTGACACTGGCTTGTGTGTGACTGATGCTGTCCTCTCTAGGTCCATTATGTTTGCTGCCTTTCTGGTAGAAGCTTGTGGTGAAGCCTCAATAGCAGTTTTCTTCGGTGCCTGCTGCACCTCGGTGCACTGTCCCTCCTCGTCTGAAAGCTGCCTCCATTGCCTTTTTCTCTCTGACTTCCCCATAATGTCTCCACATAGTAAGGACCGGTTGACTGTCCTACCTAATGCCTGCGACACTCCTAGGCCTGGAGAAAATCATTCTCCTCCAACGGAGGTCGTAGAATGATTTCCCCAGGTGGAATCAGAGATACCTAACACCTAAATGACTTGTTTGGTCTACCTTTCCCTGAAAAGGCTCGGTTTCCCTAAGGTGTCCTCTTGTGGCAATGCCCACAGGGTAACACCTTGCCCTTCAGGGTAGGACTCTTAAGTGACCTGGTCAGTGATACGGTTATCTTGAGATCTTATCTTGAGATGATTTCGGGGCTTTAGTGTCCCCGCGGCCCGGTCCTCGACCAGGCCTTCACCCCCAGGAAGCAGCCCGTGACAGCTGACTAACACCCAGGTACCTATTTTACTGCTAGGTAACAGGGGCATAGGGTGAAAGAAACTCTGCCCATTATTTCTCGCCGGTGCCCAGGATCGAACCTGGGACCACAGGATCACAAGTCCAGTGTGCTGTCCGCTCGGCCGACCGGCTCCTCACAAAAAAAAAAAATGTCGGTCATGGGCGACGAGAGTGTGGTATGAAAGTTTGGGTCGCCTGTGTACTGGGTTGCGCAGACTGACAGGTTGTCCAGTCAGCTGGACAGTTGGTAATCAACAACGTTGTTTGTCTATCAATTGTAGACGAAATCGGAATTGTTTCCTTCCAAACAAGATATTATCTGGGTCTTGGAGTATTGATGTATTCTTCCTCACAAAACCGCGATGACTTGAGCTGATGAGTGCTCAGAATCGTAAGTTTTACCAGTAACAAATCCGTGTGTGGCCAGCTAGCAATTGCGACGGCAGCGAGTCTCTTCTGCTGGTGTTTGCTGGTTGTTTGCTGCATCACTACATACCTTTGCAGTGCCCCTTTTCTGTCTTGGGTAGTCCCCTCCCCCCCCTTTTCCCTAATTTGCCATTTCTTTGATGGCAGTGGGTAACAGTTCTTCATAGAAGGTTGCTACTGATTCATCTGACCATGTTCTCTCACTGGAGTACCCATGTTCTCTAGGCATCTTAAGGGTAGCTTTCGTTTTTGGTGGTTTTGTGCCCTTCTCACAGAGGCCTTTTCTTTGTAGTGGGTGAACTTAGTAGGGTTTCCTGGTGAGGTTAGCAGCATTGGTGGTTGTCATTTCTGCTGAGAGGCAACTTACTTTCCAGGCGTGCACTGTTACGTGCCGCCTATATAGGCTTGTGAATAGCTTAGCATCACCTGAATTGCCCCCAAATCTCCTGTGTACAAGGTTATTGACTGGAGGGAAATGAGACACTATCTTAAAGTTATCTTGAGATGATTTCGGTGCTTAGCATCTCCGCGGCCTGGTCCTTGACCAGGCCTCCTTTTTGTTACACACCCCCAGGAAGCAGCCCATAACAGCTGTCTAACTCCCAGGTACCTCTTTACTGCTAGGTAACAGGGGCATCAGGGTGAAAGAAACTTTTTGCCCATTTGTCTCCTCCTCCACCAGGGATCAAACCCGGAACCTCAGGACTACAAATCCAAAGTGTTGTCCACTCAGCTGTCAGACGCCCTAGGCATAAGAAGAAAGACAGACTGCAGATGTGGTATACACAGACTTTGCAAAGGTATTCGATAAATGTGACCATGGAGTGATGGCACACAAAATAAGGTCAATGGGAATGACTGGTAAAGTAGGATGCTGGATACTCAGTTTTCTGTTGAACAGAACACAAAGAGTAACAGTCAACCATATAAAATCGAGTCCAAGCACAGTTAAAAGCTCTGTACCACAGAGTACAGTCCTTGCACCACTGCTTTTCCTTATTCTCATATCAGATATTGACTCAAATACAAGTCACAGCTTCATATCATCTTTTGCAGATGACACAAAAATCAGCATGAAAATTATCTCTGTTGAAGACATTGAAAAACTACAAGCAGATATTAATAAAGTTTTCAACCTGGCAGCAGACAATAACATGATGTTTAACAGTGGTAAATTCCAGGTACTCAGGTATGGTAAAAATGAGGACCTTAAACATAATACAGGGTACAAAACACAATCAAATTTGCCCATAGAAGGAAAACAGCATGTAAAGGATTTGGGAATAATGATGTCTGACGACCTAACGTTTAGGGAGCATAACGAAGCAAATATTGCGTCAGCCAGAAAAATGATAGGATGGCTCATGAGAACTTTCAAATTCAGGGATCCCACACAATGGTTGTACTCTTCAAATCACTTATGCTGTCCTGGCTTGAGTACTGCTCATTGCTCACTTTTCCCTTCAGAGCAGGAGAGATTGCTGAAATGGAGGGAATACAGAGAACATATACGGCATACATAGACGCGATAAAGCACCTAAATTATTCGGATTGTCTCAAAGCTCTCCAAGTGTACTCACTAGAAAGGAGACAAGCGAGATATCAAATAATACATACAAGGAAAATACTGGAGGGCCAAGTCCCAAATCTTCACAGTAAGATAACAACTTACTGGAGTGAACGATATGGAAGAAAATACAGAATAGAACCAGTGAAGAGCAGGGGTCCCATAGGCACAATCAGAGAACACAGTATAAACATCAGAGGCCCACAGTTGTTCAACATCCTCCCAGTAAGCATAAGAAATATTGCTGGAACAACCGTGGATATCTTAATGAGATAACTAGATAGTTTTCTTCAAAGAGTGCCAGACCAACCGGGCTGTGGTAGGTATGTGGGCCTGCGGGCTGCTCCAAGCAACAGCCTGGTGGACGAAACTCACAAGTCAAGCCTGACCTCGGGCCAGGCTTGGGGAGTAGAAGAACTCCCAGAACCCCATCAAGCAGGTATCGAGTATTCACCAGTAATATAATACAAGCACAACATACAAATACTCATACAGTACATATAATAAGATTATGGATATGTGGCCGATATAGTATTAACGACCAGTGTCAGGTAAACACAAATAAATCAAAGGCAATGGGTAACTAATTATCCACTAGTGAACTCCCACACTTGAAACACCCTCCAAGACAAACCATTGCTAGACTAGACAATATTTATCTTAAACTAAGCTGCTGTGCTCAAGGCAGGGGGGGTGGAGGGAAGACACCCATCACCACTTGCTGCTGGCCTACAACTACCTCACAGCCCGCCTGCTCAGGTACCAACACTTCCAATACCATAGGCCTCATTAACTTATTACTAACCATGTTTCTGCAACCCCACGGTCATTTACCTAGAGCTACTAAGTAATACAATGCTGGTAATTTACTGGATCATTTAATTAAGTAATGAATTGGCTCAAACTGCATTACATGGTACATAAATAGATGTCTACACAACAATTAGAGTGGTATCCCTGAGCAGGCCTCCTATGTACCATAGTTAATTACTAACTCGAATTAAGTCTCTCTTAGGCAAAACAAGGGGAAAAGAACAATCAGTCACAAGTGATGAGTACATGAGCAAGCTACTGCATACTGTAGACTCCTAACTGAATCCTGACATTACACATGATAATTCTGTAAGTGAAACATGAAAGTAATATGCAATTGAGTGCCACATGACCAACAGCTGACCTGACTGACCCCAGGCTTCCCAGCATAACATGGTAACTCAACACTATGAATAATCATTACCCAGGATGGAAGCATGCATGTACTGATAAGCATTAATACACACATTTGATGTGTGATACTCCACAGGACTCTCAAATACTTTGGGGTAACAAAACAGCAGGCAAATACTTATGCACCACCCAAGACTCGACAAGGGTTGGTACCACCAATCACCCACATCTGGTTCATATCCTTAGGCGCTAGGTCCAACTACCATTCCACTCTAAATCTGACGCTCCCACTCGCACGCACACCTATTCATACAATACCAGGGATACCAGCCACCACATACATTAATACATCACTCGTAATCTAATCACTCGGCACAAATCACAGACCTCGATAAACGACGAATCCTACATAACTTTATTTGGTCTCATGCCTATAGGGATAATTCCCATATCTTTATTCACATATGCTTAAATACATTATGACTTGGTTATTCACTCAATTAATATAAACTGGGTCATAACATGCACATTCCTGGTTGTGCTCATAATTGGGAAGAGTTGCACCATGGTTTTAACCGTATTGGTTGTTTTTCCATAGTTTATGTATTGTACTGTTTCATTCTAAAGTTTTTCATCCTTGCAGAGAAGACACTGAAATCTACCTGACTTGTGGAGATGATAGTGAGGAAGAAAAAGAAGAACTGGATGAAGATGACACAGAGGAGAAAAAAGAATTTGAGTCATTTCAACAATTTCTGGCTAACCAGAAGACAAAGAGGGATCTGCAGAGAAAAAAATGTACTGACTCCATAAACCAATAAAATTTTTTTCAAACCTTGTTGTATATAATTACTGTATGTAAAGAGCAATGGGTAACTAGTTTATTAAATTTTCATCAGTACTGTATTTGCTTTAAGTTGTCTTATGCTCCTTCGAGTTTATAATCACAACCTCATCACAATGAAATTCAGAAAACTTGTCTTTCATATCGTGTTTCCTGTGTGTATGTCCACTTTTTTTTTAGGATAAGACTTATGTTAAATGCCTTATCTTTTCTTGAGGGGGATGGCTTCATTTAGAATTTCATTTAAACATTTTGGATGCTTTTACATGATGAACACTGGAAGGAGAACATTAAATATTTTCATTGAGAATCAAGTATGTGTGGTAAGAATGAGCATTACCTTAAGAAATATATACAAGTTGTGGTCAGTAATTTCAAAGAATAATTTGATTGTAGCATACTAAGTGCGGCAAAAAGTGAAATACATCTTCTGAATACATGTTATCTCGGTACTCAGCCCCTCAAAAGGTGTTGCATCATCTCTCACCAGTGCATGCAGTTGGCAGGATATTGTAGCCATTCATGGGTTTTGATCATAAAGTACATGGTTTACAGTGCCTGAGAAGCATTGATTGGTAAATCAAGAAATTTGATTGACCCTAGAAAACAAGTTGCTGGTGCAAGAGGTCATCATGTCCCACATACTGAACTTTATTCACACATCTGCTATACAGTGCTGGAAGGAGATGGAGGGCTTACTACTAAGACACTAGACATGTGTTTAGACATGCTCTTCATTTTTACAATTCATAAAGTTAAATACAATACAGTTATATTTAACTTTTGAATTTTTCTATTCCACTTCCTACATAGAAAATGGAAAGGATGAAACAGGAATTAAACGAAAGGCACAGATAAAGAAAATAAGTAAGACACAAGAAAACAGTATCCCTTTCAAGATTAGTGTGGAGGTGGATAAATGGAGAGTAGACTACTTATGTATGACTGCAGTCTAAGTGCAACCATAAGAAAAGAGCAGCAGTAATGAAATGGATAAACTTTATTTTATCTGGATATGTATTTATAGTCTTGTTACTATAAATATTATACAGCTGCAGAATAAAGTTGGGAAGAAAAGTTAATTGGTACTGTAATATTTTAGGTTTCTATATAAATTATGATTTTGTGAGGCATTGCTTTTAAATATGAATATTTTCAATCTTGGTTATTGTACTAAAGTATATTTTTATTTTGGTTGAAATGCCATGTTCTATCAGCAAAAATATTTATTTAATAAAATTAAAAAATTGGTATTTAAAACTGTTTATTATAACCTAAGTATGCCTGCCAAAGGAGAATCAAAATTTTAAAGTGAATAATTTGTATGTTAAACTATAGTCCATGATTAATATAAAGATGGAATTTGTCAAGGTATTCTTTTTTATGTCATTATATTTCCTGCAGTCATTACTATTAATGAGAAAGGTACAGTATAAAAGCCTGGCCATCCTGCTTTATTTAATTTGCTTTGCTATGGAACATTAATGATACTAACAATAGATTACTGGACTCATAGTGGGGCCCTCATCATGTCGGAATCATGATAGCAACCTTTTAAACATACGCAGAGTGTATAAAACAGCTATAGAAGAGAATAAGAAAGCAAGGAATTTGTTAATGTGTTCAAACGTGAACTGTGGTATGTAAAATATGAATGGCTACTCTATTCACCATACCAAGGTCGTTTTTACTGCTTTGTATGTCACCTGTTGTCCAAGAAAGAATCTCTTTGCTACATTGGGGTTCAATGACTGGAAACACAGCAGTGTTATTGTACAACATGAAAATGGAGAAGACTGTTGAAAGTGCATGACAGCATATTTGATAAGGCATACAGAAACTGGAAGTGTAGATTTTTTATTACTTGAGCAACATAGCTCAGAGCAGGAATACAGTATTGGCATAGCGTTGACACGTGTGGTTTCTGTAATTCGCTTTCTTGCCTCTAGAGATTTGCCATTTTGTTGAGAAAGTCGGATTTTCTGCTCAGCAAAAAATGGTAACTATTTAGATATACCAGAGCTGCTGAATGAATTTGACCCTTTCTTGGAAGAACATCTCAAAATGTATGGAAATCCTAGAAATGGGAATCCGTCATATTTATTTGCAAATATATGTGAGGAATTTATTAAATTAATGGGACAACAGGTTCTTTGTACTATTCTTGAAGAAGTAAAGGTGTCTTAAGTATTATTCAATAAGTGTAGCTTCCACTCCAGACATCTCACACACAGATCAACTGACATTTACTGTATGATACATTAAAGATTGTGAGCCTGTGGAACGTTTTTTGATGTTTATCCCCATCTTTCCTTTGGGGGGGGTCATGAAAATAAAACATGCACTGGATTCTCCTATCAGCTGACAATGAGCAGTAAGTGAATACAAGGCAAGAGGCAGAAGGATTGAGCCAAAAATGGAAAACCTGGAAACAATCTTTCTCGCAATTCTTGTAATGACATGCTAGAAAGAATGAACAAAACAAACAGGGTCCTGCAATCAAAGGATGTGAACATCCTTGTTGCTACGAATATTCTTGAGTCTATGAAAACCTATCTTCAGGAAACATAAGATCAAATTTAGTGAATATGAATTCAAAGCCAGGAGTATGTGTCCAAATATATTTTACAGTGATGGTAAAAAACAAGAACGAAAACGAAGTGTGAGTCTTAGTAGATTGGATGGATCAGCAGAAAAGGTACTTCTCATTAAAACCGAAAAATTCAAGGTGGAAACTTGGAAACTTTTCTGGACAATCTAATCTTTGAATTGACAAAACGTGCAGAGGCTTATTCACAGCTTGGAAATCTGTGAATAAAATCTTCAGTGAATTGAAAACCATTGTTTCAGACGCACTAAAGAGAGTGTGAACATCTGGCTAATATGTATCACAAAGACCTGAATTATGATGACGTTTTAAATGAATGTGAGCATCTCAAGCACTATATGGGTCTTAATGAAAATTATGAAACTGCACTAAACAAAAATAATTTCGGACAATTTTAAATCTGTATTCTCGAATGTTGAAATTGCACTCTAGCGTTCATATGCATGATGGTGACCAACTGTACAGGAGAACGTTCTTTTTCAAGGCTGAAACTTATACAAAATCTGCTTCATAGCACAATGGGGCAGCATCATTTGAGCTGGCTTTCACTCGTGTGCATGGAAAATGACATCCTGAAGACCATTGACTTCAAGCCAATAATAAAGCAATTCTCTGAAAAGAAATACCGCAAATGCTTGTTATAATAAGTTCGTAGTAATTTCATACTGTGCCATCTAATCTGTATAGCCTACTGAGTATTAGTATGTTTTCAAGCCTTGTGTATTGTTCAAATGTTTATCATTTTGATTAATTGTTGCGCTACAGCATGTTTTTAATGTTTTAACACCAGTTTTGTTGAAGTGCCAATAAAATAAATATATGTTTAATATTACCGAACATTTACTTTTTATTCCTGTGAGTGGTTGTCGTAGGGGCCCCAGCACACTGGTTTGCCCAGAGGCCCATAATGCTGTTAAGCCGGTCCTGATTTTTCCACTATTTCATCTTTCAAGATACATTTGGCTACATCTAATGAACATTATTTAAATACCCTAATTTCTTTCTATGCATTATCATCCTTTCTTTACTTTTCCAGTTAGCAGACTTTGTTCTTAATGGATTAGCAAGTTCTAGCTATTTTTCTTTGAAGGAAACTCAAATTAATTTGATCTCATCAGTTGGCAGTGCTTACAGCTTGGCTTCGAAACAAAGAATAGAGTTTATTGAAGACGATGAGTCACAATAGCGTACCTGAACAGTCCGTCCTCCAAAGACACAAAAGTGATTCCATCCAGCCGACAAACCCCCTGTTTATGAATGAAAAACGGTATACACACAACTTGTAATCCCACCTAAGCTGCCAACAGTATTAACAGCTGTTTTGGTTGTGGTTCTAGCTTTCTTGGCATTGGGAAGGAACGGAGTACCAAACGTCTGTGGCTTTCTCTTTGGTTTTATTACAAAGTTATAAATACTCTCTGCTGGTCCACCGAGCTAGTTATATAGTGTGTTTGCAGGACGAAGGCTCAAGATGGTCTGATCGTGGGCGGTGTTTTCGCGTGATGCTTCATCTGCAGTTCTACTGACTCCGTTGTTGACTATGCAGTTGATATTAGGGCATCAATAGTCATCACATGTGTGCGTCCAATGTGTGACCAACACAAGTCCATTCCATCCAGCGGGCGACCCCGAAGACGCATTCATCAGTTTTAACATGATGTTCATTTAAAAAGGAATGTTCTCAAATATAAATAAATATTTTTATATATTAGCATACGGTACATATTTAGGGACTGAGTTGTAACACCAACCAATTGTAACACCGCTCTAACTGGAACACTAATCTAATAATGTAAATACTACTTTTCCTGAGTAACACTTCCCCATCGGTTGCACTTGGTAACACTGTTATGAGCTGACATATGATGGTTACACCGGAACTAAAAAGGTACACTGCCAACAAGGAAATGCTAACACAAGGATTAAATACGCTGCCACCATCTGCCTTTGACCATTGAGACTATATCAAGCAACGAGGCAAGAAACATTGCTTGACTTGGAGAGTACTTTCTATGACTGTCATTAATTATGGAAACGGTTGTCAGCCACTAAATCCAAAAAGGCTAAGAGGATTCAACAATTGACACAGACGGGAAATTTAACATGAGTTTATTGTGACCAAAATTATGTCAATCACCACATATAAATCCTACTCTAACACTGGCAAAAAGTTAAGAAATTTGGACATGGAACAAAACCTCAGAGATCACACACGTTACCTTAAGACCTGTCTCTCCCTGGCTGAGATGTTCTTCACAGCCCTCTCTGGACCCCGGTGTCCGGCACTCTGTACTTACTAAGTCCCTACAGGACCTCTATATACAACCCCCACAGGGGGAGGGGGAGATCTGCTGTTGCTACCTGCCCCAAGAATGTAAAAGCTCGGCCACACGTGTACAAACACTCAAGAAATATTTCAATAAGCTTGTTTGACATTCACCATACACTCTTCAAGAGAGGAGTTATTAATTACGTGTGTGACTGACCTCTGACCTGGCCAAAAGGGGGAGATCCAGGGATGTTTACACATAAGAATCTGGAGTCTAATTCCCTTGCCTGAAATATTACATACTTGAAACTATGCTGACTAAGACTAACCCAGGAATTTTTAATCAATATACAAGATAAACCGGAGGTCATCTGGGCTGACCTCTTGGAGAAGGCTTCCCTGGGTGTGAACTCTAAGGGGGGGGGGGGCTTGAGGTCCTGGGTGTTACAGAGTAGGTGTTTAGGTTGTCCCCGATTATTTGTATTTGTAGTACGTGGGGTAAAGCATTTACAGCGTTATGGTTCGAACAGAAATCGTCAGTGAAGCACTTGTTCCGGAAGTGTTCGAACGTTAACAGTTGTGAGTCGTGTGTAAACCGTTTTTCATTCATAAACAGGGGGTTTGGCGGGTGCATGGAATCACTTTTGGGTCTTTGTTTGGAGGATGGGCTGAGGGTGTATGGAATGGACTTTGGGCCTTTGTTTAAAGGAGGGGCTGCACAACTGATGACGTCCGAACACTTCTGGAACAAGTGCTTTGCTCACGTCCTCTGTTCGAATCACAATTTTATAACTATTTCACCCATATACTTCAAATACAAATAATCGCCAACAGATATTAAACACCTAACCTAACCTACGCCCTACTGTAAATAGAATTTTTATGTACAATAATATTAATTTATATATGGGAACAAACCCGTTTTTCTAGGCTTTAAACAGCCCATCATGCCCGAAACGCTTTGCGTAATAGTGGCTTTAGGCATTGTATGTACTAGCTATACCTATAAGTTAAACAATCCTTGTAAATATTTATTGTATGTATGTACCTTACCTAAATAAAATTGTATTGTATTGTATTGTATTGTATAGTTTGAGGATGGGTTGCGTCCTCACACTAGGCTTTTTAAAGCAGCTTAAAGGGGGTTTGGCAGCTGGATTAACGAGCATTTGGTCTTTGTTCGTAAGAACGGGTTGCATAAACAATGGCCAAAAGGATGTTAATCCACCTATCAAAGCTCCTATTTATAAATGAAAAACACTTTACACATTTCAAAATATGTAAAACCCATGCCCCGTAAATAATTGCCAATACAACTGAAATACCTAATCTATCCTTGGTTTAAATCACCAGGGCCGGATGAATTGTTTGCTAGGGTGCTTAAAGAATGCAAAGAGCTTTCCGAGCCACTGTCTACCATATTTAATAAATCAATAGTCAGGCAGAGTGCCAGAGTCGTGGAAGATTGCTAATGTGGTACCAATTTTTAAGAAAGGAGATAGATCATTTACATCAAACTATCGGCCAATTAGCCTAACGTCTATTGTGGGAAAGTTACTTGAATCGATAATTGCAAATACAATTCGTCTACATCTTGAAAAACATAAATTAATAAATGATTCGCAGCATGGTTTTACAAATGGCCGTTCATGTTTAACAAATTTCCTATCATTTTATTCCAGCATAGTTGAGGCAGTTGATAGTGGTAAGGATTGTGATGTTGTGTACCTTGACTTTAGCTAAGATTTTGATACAGTGCCACATGAAAAATTGATTAAAAAGATAAAGTCTCATGGTATTGGGGGTGCTGTATTAAGTTGGATTACGGCATGGCTATACCAAAGGAAACAGAGAGTTAGTATAAATGTAGTTAAGTCAGAGTGGGAAAATGTTGTAAGTGGAGTGCCTCAAGGCTCTGTCCTGGGTCCTCTGTTGTTTATAATATATATAAATTATTTAGATTCAGGTTTGAGTAGCAACATTTGCAAATTTGCCGATAATACAAAAATCGGTAGGGAAATAAACACGGAAGAAGACTCACTGTCACTTCAAGTCGATCTAAATAAAGTTTTGAAATGGTCAAAAGATTGGCAGATGCAGTTTAATGCTGATAAATGTAAAGTTTTGAGGCTAGGTAATGATAATAGAGTTACAAAATACGAGCTAGATGGTGTTGAGATTGCCAAGTCGGATTGCAAAAGGGATCTGGGAGTTATGATTAGTAAGAATTTAAAACCAAAAGAGCAACGCATGAATGTTCGTGATAAGGCAAATAAGACACTGGGATTTATTAATCGAAGCGTTAGTAACAAGACACCTGGTGTTATTCATCAACTATATCTTGCTCTGGTTAGGCCCCATTTAGATAATGCAGTTCAGTTTTGGTCGCCATACTATAGAATGGATATAAATTCACTTGAACGTGTCCAGCGTAGGATGACAAAGTTAATTCCCCAAATTAGAAACCTGTCATATGAAGAGAGATTAACAAAGTTTTAATTGCATTCACTAGAAAGGCGAAGTTATGGGTGACATGATAGAGGTTTTCAAGTGGATGAATGGGCATAACAAAGGGGATATTAATAGGGTATTAAAAGTATCAACACATGACAGAACATGAAACAATGGGTATAAATTGGATAAATTTAGATTTAGGAAAGACTTGGGTAAATACTGGTTCGGTAACAGGGTTATTGATTTGTGGGACCCATTACCGAGTAACGTGGTGGAGGTGGGGTCCCTCGATTGTTTCAAGCGCGGGTTGAACATGTATATGAGTGGGATTGGGTGGTTATAAATTGGAGCTGCCTCGTATGGGCCAATAGGCCTTCTGCAGCTACCTTTGTTCATATGTTCGTATGTTAAATATGTATACACATATAATGTACATTAATATTAAAAAAAATCGAGAAAATATCGTTTTTAGTCTCACAGTACTGTATGTTAAAATTTACGAATGTGACTTTGGAGTCGGCCGCAGCTTGGGCGAGTATGTCGACTCTCAGCCTGCCATATACTTCACTAATGTATTGCAAATACTAATATTTGAGAACAGAATCTAAACAATTAACCTAACCTCGGTCTAATTATAAATACATTTCTAACATTTCTAACATATAAGAATGTTAATTTTTGCTTGAGGAAAACCCAATATTGAATACACAGTATGTTAAAATTTATGAATGAGTCTTTTTGGATGAGCATAGCCTGATACCTGGTTGATGGGGTTCTGGGAGTTCTTTTACTCCCCAAGCCCGGCCCGAGGCCAGACTTGAATTGTGATAGTTTGGTCCACCAGGCTGTTGCTTGGAGCGGCCCGCAGGCCCACATACCCACCACAGCCCGGTTGGTCCGGCACTCATTGAAGGAAACAATCTAGTTTCCTCTTGAAGATGTCCACGGTTGTTCCTGTAATGAGGAAGTCAAGTTGGTAAAGTTAGCAGTGATGCAGGCGACGAGTCACAATAACGTGACTGAAGCATGTAGACCAGACCACACACTAGAAGATGAAGGGACGACGACATTTCGGTCCGTCCTGGACCATTCTCAAGTCGATTGTCTTGAGAATCGACTTGAGAATGGTCCAGGACGGACCGAAACGTCGTCGTCCCTTCATCTTCTAGTGTGTGGTCTGGTCAACATTAGCAGTGATGGGTGGTTAGAGAGGTGTCTGTGATGTCACTGGATATGCAGGAAGGCTGAGCAAGGTGATGTCCATGATAGACTGGTACATGTATCGTGCCATTGATGTCGCTTACAGCAGACGCATGCACCGTGTCTTTTAAAGTAGGAGACAATTTATTTTGGAAGTAACTAAATAAAAGTTTTTCAGTTACTCTGAGACTAACTGTGTTAGAGGAGAGTAACAGAATAAACAGGCTGGCTAAGAAGTTTTTAGTTATGTTACTAGACAATATGTTTTTGAAAGAAAATATTTTGCGTCGTCGAGAACTTCATATATGCTTATACATATACATTCGCGCATATGTGCGAGCACACACATGTGTGTGTGTGCTCGCACATACACACATATAATCCCAGGAGAGAGAGAGAGAGATAATCTCAACTTCTGCATACAAAAAATCTTGACAGTTCTGCATGTCACTGAGATGGGATCACAATATCTCTGGAAGAAAAATAAATAGGTGTTGTGGTACTACACATGCATGAGTCAACCCTACTGATACCTATATCCTCTTCAGCGTTGGCGAGGCAGATGCCGCCACCAACCTGCATGCGGAAGTCAAATCCAGCAAATATACACTGGGCCATCAGTTTAAAATGTGTACCCAAAGCTTCCAAGACGTCTCCCCTGGAACAAGCGTGCAAAGGCTGCCAGTTTTTCATTTCAATGTCACGGTGGGACGATTCATAGAGAAAGCGCCTCTTGTACGTGACTTTAACGACAACGGGAATTTTATTAGATATTGGGCTGATATAAGTTGCCAAATTTTTGGTAGGATACCATTAAAATTAGACCTCTTAGAATACTTCGTCAATGCTCAATGATTACTGATCAGTTCGCCTCTTACCGTGAGTTTAGCTTCATTCTGATTAGATTCTCGAGAAAGTACAAGTAACAATTTCAATGAGTTTATATATATAATGTTGGAGTGGTAGGGGGTAAGGCGCCGGGTAAAAAATATAATTAACGACTGCTTTTCAGACTGCCATTTATTCACTACTCTCGGTAAGCTGCTTGATAGCTTTGCTAACATTAAAGTTCGCCACATTAGGACAGAGAATGATGCCGTTTTCTCTGCTGTCTGGAAGTCAGTGGGTAGATTCCCCACATTCCAGGGAGGCCCGGGAAGAGTTGCTGCGGGACGACGCCAGGTGGCAGAGCGCGCGGGCACACCTGCGAAACACAACAGTTTGCTGTGGGACTTGTGACGAGTGAGGACTTACGTGCAGGCTTTACCTTCGCCTTTCCACAGGTATGATATGAGAGCTTTCAACTTGTGTTCGATTGGTAGATAAGACGTGTCCACGAAGTATCGCGTATATGTTGTTTTAAAATAAATATATGTAAACGGTTATTTGGAAAGGAAAAGCCTGGCGGCTTGAAGCGACCAGCTGAGCGGCAGACCGAACAGTCCTAAGTTGACCCGTGTAATTATCCTTTTTGTTTTAACACAGCTGCTTAGTTTTGCTTCAACTCTCTTTCTGGTTATTACTCATCCTTATGGCCTACGGTAACCCACTGGGTGTGCACCATAGATCAATTTCAATTTCAAAATGTGCAAACTTGAAAATTTTGGTTGTCGCCAGTTCGTCACCCGCAAGGTCAGAGGGAAGGAGGTGCCGACGAGGTATTTTCTCATAGTTTTCTTAAGATACAAACTTTCTCACGTGTATATACATATGTCACATATTGATGTTTGCTTATGCATGTGAGTTACCTACTGTTAATGATATACAGCACATGATTACATAGGTATACATGGAATTGCATTAAAGGGCCACACAAGATGATCCCCTCTGATAGGACTAAAAGATTTTTCGTTTCACCGAGGGCTAAGTGGTAGATTGTATGGTAACAATGAATGGAAATCGTGATAAAGTTTGTGATAAATGCGGTGGAACATGGGGCTCATTTCTTAGGATAATCTGCACCATTGAAGTCACTGGTGGGAAGAAGGCGACGCCGGCTCCACGCAGTGATTAGGATAACTGCTTTAAAAGTTTGGCGATGAACTGAAATGAAAGTATGAAATGAACAATTATTTTACTTTTCATTGTATATATAATACTTTTCATTGTATATATAATACTTTTCATTGTATATATAATACTTTTCATTATATATATAATACATTTCATTGTATATATACTTTTCATTGTATATATAATACATTTCATTGTATATATAATACATTTCATTGTATATATAATACATTTCATTGTATATATAATACATTTCATTGTATATATAATACATTTCATTGTATATATAATACATTTCATTGTATATATAATACATTTCATTGTATATATAATACATTTCATTGTATATATAATACTTTTCATTGTATATATAATACATTTCATTGTATACGTAATACATTTCATTGTATATATAATACCTTGATTTATAAGGACGTCTGTCATGACTAATGTTAGGTATATTAATGTTGTGAAATATATAATATTGTTATTGATTACTATCGACTTGGTAATGGCCCAGGACGGACCGAAGCGTTGTCGTCTCATAGTCTTCTGGTGTGTGTTTGGTCATCATACTGATTACTAGTGTACAGTATTTGTAAACTACCAGTAAATGCCGCGTGAGAAGCTGTTAAGATATTCCCAGGCTAGTAGCATACAGACTTGAAATGTCGTACGGTCTCCGACTTGTTAAACAAAGAGAAACACTGCATAATTAGCAGACGTACAAAATAATGCAGCATTGCATCTTGAAGTAAACTTTATATAACCAGTGCATATTTGTTATACACATTATATGTATTTTACCTTATTATATCCTAAATCTGTTTTAAGAAGGCAGAGGTAGGCCTACGTGGTCCATCGTCTCTGAATTGAGACGTTAACAGTAGGATGCATAATTGTTCAAACGCCCGACAAGATATATTACATCATCACGGACCCTTCTAATATTTTGACCCTAGAGTAATATTGAAAATATTATAATTTTGCTAGAATTTCTAAAGTTTGCCGTCAGAATTAAATAAATTTCACGGTAATGTTGTTTTCCGTATAATTGAACACACAGCTACATTATGCGGCCTGCGAATGGTAATAATTTCAGTAATTTAAAAGGCATGCAACCCTCACTGCCAGAAGTTTATCGCGTATACAGTCATCAACAAATTAGTTTAAATATTTAACATTTGTTTACAACGACCTAAATTAAACAGTAGGACTATTTAGCGGAGCAATGCCAGTACTTGTTTTCCCTTAAAATGCGAGATTCTTGTTCTAAATAATTTGATAAGTTTAATGCAGTACTTTCATTTGCAAGCCAGCAAGATCTTGTTCAGCTAACTTATAAACTCTAAATGCCCAATTTTTGTACTGACTGTACAATAAATTGTGGGTTATTTGCAAGGCAAATGTAACCTAGAAAATGTAACCAAATTAATGAGTCAATAGTGTTGTATAATGCCATGATGTCGGTTAAGTAAACCAACTGGTGTAACTATAATTAGCGTAACTTAATCTGAACAAAAAATCAATAACTTTTCTACTGCGAACTAGTGCAAATCCTTAACAAAGAAATTCATAACTAAATAGATTCTTGAAACTGAGCTGGTCGAGATGAGAATAGACTATTGAAAAAGTGTTAATTTCGTTTTAATTATAATTACTTTGATCTCGTGATTTACCGACTTGTAAATAACATTCCCGTTCACCGAAAGGAGAAAGAGTTTTGAGATGTTTCTGGGGGAGATAATATAATGTAACATTCCCTACTCTGCAACGGAAGCAGTCCATTCTCTGTGCAAGTATGTGTTTGGCTTCTGAGCTTCCGGATCCGGCTTGGAGTAGCATAGGCTACCGGTCGCAGCCGTAAAGGTCTTTTTGGGTAGTGTAAATGAGGATAAAATAATGCATTCTCCATCTTTACTCTCTCCTTCATCCTTCTATCCTCCCTTTCCCTCCCTCCCTCTCTCCTTCATCCTCCTCCTCCCTTTTCCTTCCCTCCTTCTCTTGATCCCTAGACATTTTCTTCCTCCACCCTGCTATCATTATACTGCTTGATGGGGTTCTGGGAGTTGTTCTACTCCCCATGCCCGGCCTGACTTGTGACAGCTTGGACCACCAGGCTGTTGCTTGGAGCGGCCCGCAGGCCCACACATCCACCAAGGCCCGGTTGGTCTGGCACTTCGTGAAGAAAACTCTAAGTTTTCTCTTGAAGATGTCCATGGTTGTTCCAGCAATATTTCTTATACTTGCTGGGAGGATGTTGAACAACCGTGGATCCAAAACTAGTCCCTTTCATAGTACTCGTTATACTCTCTTTTACACACAGAGATCACACTAACGTGATGCATCAAATGAACAAATCCACAAGGGCCGTGACGAGGATTCGAACCTGCGTCCGGGAGCATCCCAGACACTGCCTTAATCGACTGAGCTACGACAGGGTAAAAGGGTTGAAACCGAAGTTCTACTGCACTCGCTGGATCCTGTCGTAGCTCAGTCGATTAAGGCAGTGTGTGGGATGCTCCCGGACGCAGGTTCGAATCCTCGTCACGGCCCTTGTGGATTTGTTCATTTACTCTCTTCTACGTTCCTCAACTGAGCTTAACTCATTCGTTACTTACTCATACGTACACCTTCTCCATAATTCATCTCCCCCAACACCACCCCTCCCTCCCTCTCGCTCCACCCTCTACCTTTTCATCTCCCCGCTTCACTTCACAACCATCGCCCTTCTCTCCTTTTCCTTCCCTTTTTTCGCACCTTCCGCGCCCAGTTCATAATCTAACACTACGCCATTGCCAGACACCAGCACCAGTGGAGCGTGACAGAGATAGCCTCCCGGAGCTCCGTCTCTGGCCGACCGGAACCACCGCTGTTACGCTTACTTATCACTGTCTACTGGGAATGAGATGTAGCTCTTGGGGTCCCGTCTCCTAGCCATTTGTTCCCTGGTGTGTTTAAGTTTATCTTTGTCATATTTTCTTTTGAACCCGTGGATGAAATCGGCCGACACCAATTCTTTTAATGAATTCCACTTTTTGGCCAGATTCGCTCTGTATGTGTTCATACAATTTTTGGGTTTCGCATCCCTTGCAATTGAAGGCAATGTTTCCATTAATGTCAGGGAAACCACATACCACATCAGTAAATCAAACTGATGACCAAACCACACATCAGTAAAGGGAGAAGCGACGATGTTTCGGTCTGTCCTGGACCATTATAAAGTCGTGTTCCTCCATTATCTGAAGTGTGGTTTGGTCAGCATATCTTGAGCCACGTTGTCTCTCATAGTCTGCATGTTGGGTCAATGGTTTATCTACCTGGGTAGACTTTTTGCTATAGTGGAGCCTCTGTTTACTGTCCCACTGCGTCTATATTTCTCATCATGCATTTTCCATGGGGGGTTTCTTCCCAAATTTTCTTGGCTTCACTCTTATCTTCTTTTGACATTTCCTGACTAATTTGTTTTGCGGCATTTCCCCTTCTTATTTTTCGCTACCGGATAATGTGTGTATATTTCACAGGGGTACTGTTCTAAACAGATGACCTTCACTGGTGGGTGCCATTCATTGTAAGATCTCCCATCACTCAATAGCTTCCTCACTTGTCACAAGTTATTTTGTTTGGTTAGATATTTTGTGTTTATCACCTTATTTGCTTCCTCTGGTTGTAAATGATGACTTTATTCCTCCTCTATTGCTACTTTGCTACATAGTCGTAATGGTTTAGTGATTTCTCCTGATAACTGCCTTATCTTATCCCTGCCTGGTGCATATCACAGCCTGCTAGGCCTATGCTGCGACTAACATTCTGATTTATTAACCTGCTTTATCTCTTGAGATTTGACTTCTATGAACATTCTTTTGACCGTTTTCCATTGATTTGCTACAGTCAGTACTCGCTAGACTCATTTGATGCATTAATATCTTTAATTAATTATCCTATCTTCCTCTTCCTTGAATCTGTCCTGTGGTCCCAGTGGATATTTTCTCCTCTCTATGGGTCTTTTTTCGCATTGCTCCCGTCCTCGGTCTGTGGTGGTCGTGTTGCAGACAACACTTTCCTAGTAGCAGCAATAGACATTTTGTTGCAATTTTGGTACACTACACTAGTAAGTAAAATAAAAAGCTCAGTAATGTTGACGACGAGATAATATCTCAAGTTGTAATAAAACTGGCCGTCGTACACTTGAGGTCGACGGGGACCCGTGCCAGATTTGACCCACGCCAATCACCATATTATTAAAGTAAATACAAACGCAAGATTATTTGAACAGTTAAGAATTAAACACATGAAAATTAAAAGATTCATTAAATAAAGACCAAAGAAAAAAGACCGAAATATATAAATGAAAGAACCTTTGTCTGTTTGACAGTGTTAACGTAAACTATTCTTTTTTTATTTGATACACGTAGTTATTCAGTAGAAAGGAAATTTAGTATTTGTGGGTCACCAAAGAAATGGAATATCGTCATTTCAAATTTGAGAGCGTTATATATAGCAAGCAACGTTCTAAAGCGCAGAACAGCCCTCTGGTTTTAGCACTAGGCTTCTGCCAAAATATCATATGGTAACTGGCCAAAGCTCCAAATGAACATCAAATTTAGCAAGCTGGATTTCAAAGGAAAGCGACGAGAATCACTCGTCTAATGCTTTAGTGGAACGCCAGATTAGATACTAAAGTTTCCAAGAAAAGTTAGCTTAGGCCTAGTTACAGAAGTTAGAGTAGAGAACAACTAAAGAGGAGCTGCGAGGCGCAGGCAGCGGCTGTTCCCGGCTGTTATTTAGACAGCTATTTGTGGGTGGCATGTGGCGCCTCCCGTGTTGGGACAAGCCCAGCCCCGTTTTGGTGTCCGCTGACGTATCTGCCCACGCCATCTTTTCGAGGGGTTTATCTCCTACATAGTATAGCAGGCAATATTTTACCTATGTCAGGGACAGGAACCCTGTTAAACTTATCAGGGCCCAGTTGCCAAGTGGTCACCCATCCATTTAGTCTACTTGTCAAACCCAAAGTCGAGAAAATAATC